GAACGCTGTACCTTATCGTTCGGATGTTAGGAAGGCCAACGCCGAGCATCCATCTAGGCATTGTGGAGGAGAGTTGGGAGGTAGTTTCAGAGCTGCTGCTTCATCCGCGCTGTACTTCTCACTCAGATTCTGTGAAGCGTTCGCTCGAGATATTGTGTTGCTCAGCGGTGATCGGGGAAGAACTACTTGCAAGGGCGGCACACGACTGGGAAGACCGGGGCAAGCGCGTTGTGTTGCGCTTAACTGAACTGGCGCACGGCGACTTGCCTCTGGGGAATGACTCGATCGCAGAACTATCGACGAAAGCCTTAGCGCAGATGTGTCACTCCGATACGCTGTGTGAGCGCATGATCCGCGATTTGAATGTTGGTGGAATACTTCTGACCAACAGCCGCATTAAATTGCGTAAGTACCCGACCCAAGTGCTAAACGCACTCCTTGCGCATGAGATCACGACGAATCGTACGTCACAGTTAGCAGCGCAACTTGTGGATCAGCTGGACGATATGTTAACATCGAGTAGCGAACGCCGACTGCAGCTGCTGGAGCTGTTGCCTTCATTGCTTGGGTCACCCGCGTTCGAGGCTTTAAACGTGGGTGACGGTATTTGGAGTATTTTTCACTGCATCCTGGCTGAGGCGAACTACTCGAAAAACAGCCAAGATTCTTTAGTGTCAGTTGTTAGAGCATTGGTAGCCATCTTGGACGCTTGCGACGCCAACAGCATGCCGAGTGAATTGTTTGTGGGGTTGCAGAACTCGTTGATGCAACTGCTCAGAGACCTCCAAATGGCTGCCGACTTTGATGATACCCCCCGAAAATGTCAACACCCCACCTCGATCCTCGAGCTACTCGTATTCGCCAGTTTAGTCAAACTTGGTGACTGTGAAGCGATTGTGGAGCAATACAGTGTGCGGTTCTTCTCGCTGTTGATGAATTGCAGCACGTGCCGCCACTGCAGCATAGACCACGAAAGCAAGCTACTTCTTCAAGATTCGCTGGCGTTTCACTTCTTGGATGCTGACGTACAAGTGGACCCTTCTACAACCGTGATGAATTTCCGACCCTACTGGCGTACATTAACGAGAATGTTCGTTAGCTTTCACGACGCAGAAGCACACTTTGCTGTAGCAACGATGCTGCTACAGATACTTCAGAGTCCATCTAGTCGTGACTTCCGCCGTTTTGTCGCTGACACGTGCCAAATCAATTTGGTCGATGTTCTGTGGTGGCAAGTCTCCACTTTCAATTTGGAGACTGAAAACAGTGAGCTTCAAGCACTATGGTATGCTCTCCTGGACCAGTTGTGCTGCAATCGGGAGGTCGCGTTAGAGATCATGGCGAAGCGTTTCTTGGAAGATTTCGTCCTGTATGAGCACCAGCACCAGCTAGAAGATGAAGAAAGGCTCTCTCAATCAGGAGATGACAAGCTTCTTCGTCTGGTCTCCACTGTGATTCGAGCAACCACCACTTCCGACCACAGCCATTTCTTCGAGAAAAACTATGCGACGTCTGAGGTCTTAGCAGAGCTGTGTATTCGCGCTGTAGTCTCCATCTCGGACATGAACAACTCAAAGTGGAATGCCACGGAAGTTCTACACGCTCTGGTCCTGCACGAACGAACTCTTGTCGCTGTCCAAAAAGTGTGTTGCGTCTGCCCGACGGAGCAATTCGACTACGATTCGATAACACGCCCAACTCGGCTACGCGCAGTATCGGAGATGCTTCTGCAGTGTGAAAGTGACATCGCTGACCTCGTCTGCGTGCTTACCTTGGTGCTTCAAGTCTGCGGATCGCAGCAGAGCATCTCACTGCTTGTTCATGCTCGGAACGCACCCGACTGCTGGCCTATGACCGATGTTCTGATCGAAGTGATGCACCAATGCATTGGAACTCTTGCTGCGGCAGACCGAGCACTCCGATCCATAGTGCTGACGACTTCCGGTCCTGCTGACTTCCTGCCGTACCAGCTGCCGACAGAGCTGCACACGAAGGCAACAGTGTTAGCATTGCGCCTTGTCCATCTATGCGTTGGCGATCGCTATCTAGCCCAATCCTTGGAAGCAGACATGGAGTTAGCACCGCAGCTTGTGGCATGCCTAGCATCGGCCACCTGGGAAGTTGCGGGTGCTGTGGCTTCAGCGTTGAGCACTTTAATTCGCTGCGCTCCGGCTTGGAATGACTTAAACGATGAAGAGGTTGCGGGTGTAAAACGATACGAGTGTGACCAAGGGCTCTACCGACGGCTCGAGTATTTCTCAACCATCGATACGCAGGCAACGTTCCGCTTGTCACCTCCAAGTATGTTCCCACCTTGCTTCGTGCTCCTGATCCGCTGGTTGCGGTATTATTCAGTAAACTTATCGTTGCTCAATGGCTTCGAATCGGTTGAATTAGCGACGCCTTCGAGTGCCTTGCACGTGAACTTAGTGACAGATATATTGGAGATATTGTTGTACATTGTCTCCAACTTCCACTCGGAAATTTACAAGAACGATAATGGAGAGGCGGAGGAGAGCGAGCACGCCTTACTGCTTCAGTCGCTATTGGCGCTATGCCAGCGGCGATCTCAGCGTGAACCTGGTGGAAGAGTGAGCGGCGATGGGACCGACACGTGCATCGTTTCGAGCAGTCAGATCCGCAGTCGGTCTCTTGATTTGGTGCAGCTTTTGTGCTCCTTGGATCTACCGCGCACATCGTCCGTTGAGGTCTTTGCTAACGCCCGGCAGATGCTGATTTTGATGCTGATCGTTGAGCGCTCGACTTCCGAGATCGAGCAGAGTGCGGCGGCCCAGTTGATCCAAGAGCTCGCGCTGAAGGACGCGATCAAGGATTTGTTGATACGCAGCACGTCGCTGCTTTCTCGCTTGGGTGCGTGGCTGGAAATGGAGACGCTGCAACTTCTTGCAGCAGCAATCTGCCAGAAGTTAGCCACTCCGTCTAGCAAGGGTTCTTCTCGCTCTGTACGACAAAGCGTCTTTGACTTCTCCTCAAGCGTCCAGCAGCAACTTGCTCACTTCCTTTTCGCCGGAATGCCGGGACAAATGCAAATTGAAACTCGGCGATCAGTTGGTCAATTACATGCGCCATTGCTGAAAGATGTCCGCAGGATCAGCGTTGTCGTCACGCAACGAGAAAGAAATGGTTGGGCCAATTCTTCAGTAGATCGCTTGCAATTTGACGTTTTAAGTCAAAGTGGACTTTGTGTTCGACAATTCGAGTACGATACGGGCTTTCACAGCTGTCATGAATTCCTCGTCGAGGCGCCAGCCAGCACTATTCGATGCACTGTCGGCTTTTGTAACCCAGCGCAGGGCGGCGACAGTACTGAAAACACGTTCGAGCTTGCTGGTGGGTTTGGCTCGTCCGTCCATTTCTGTGGTATCACAACAGTGCGAGTTTCGGAGACTCCGGTACATGGTAATACTAACGCGCAGTCTCCGTCGACGCGAGGCGTTCTGTCACGATTGTTGAGACAGGAAACCGGTGCGATAAGTTTCGAGCTGTTTGGAGCACTATCGAGTATTGTGACCGAATTCTGTAAGGACTTTTCGATTTTCTGCGATCCGGTAATTGCCCTCCCGGAGCAGATTTTGCTTGTTCTCGCTACGTCGGCGAGCTTCTCATCCGATGGGAAAATGGACGTTGCGTGCTTTGAAGCGTTGAGCGGGTGGTTTCCGAGTAAACCAACAGTAAGCAGCTTGAAATCGAGTGTTTCCCCAATCTTGCGGCTGATCCAGAACCTGCGTCAACTCGCTTGTATAACCGACGACGTTGTCGGCGCCAAGCAACTTATCTCCGAGGACAGCTATAATCCGGCGTCAACATTTCTCGAGACATTTGTCGAGTTCATTGCATCTGTGGAAGCTGCGGAGTTTTCCGCGCATTGCTTGAACATCTTGTTCATGGAGAATTCCGACTTGCTCCTGTATCTCTGCGCCCAGTTCAAGCCACAGCAAAGCCCCCAGTCCACATTTCTTGCGTTGGTAGCCATCGCGATCCGCAGAGAGGTCATACATTGCCAAGCGTTCACGACACAGTGTGCTCAGAAGCTGCTTCGATCTGTGATTGATGCTGGCATCCGACAAAGCGTTGGGCAGTCCGAGCAAGAACTTTGTGAGCTGCTACGCTTCGCAGCTTCTGTTGTTGTACGATTAGCTCGCTGTACCGGGATCGGAGCGGATAGTCTGGGTTTCTTCTCTCGTGTAGCGTATGAAATATTTGCACGGCGGCAGTGGGTCGACTGCTTTCCTTCCAAAGCGGCTAAGGATTTGGTCGTAGCTTGTGGATTTTTCTGCGATGGACTGCTCAAGTCGGTAGCGGTGGACGCGGACACACGCGAGAGCGAGCAGCTCGACACATTGTTCACTACGTTTGACGCGTTCGAAGATGGCCTAACGATCGTCGAGACGCTGCTGATGTTCCTGGGAAAGCCTTCACCAAGCGATCAAACCTCCAATATTGCGTTCGACAGCATTGATCGCTTGGCGTCGAGCATTCTCGCTTCTCTGGTCGAGAAAGTCCCTTTCCGGGCAAAGTTTGAGCAGGCATCGCTAAAATTGCTGGACCGTCGATCGAAGCAATTCGAAGAGCAGTCCCTTGTTGGCTTAAGGAAATGCATCGGACTCACTCGCTACGACTTTCAGAGCGAACTACACGCCGTCCGGCTCACGTACTACTCGTGTATTCGAGCCGGCGTCCGGACTGGGATCATCCCTCCGCAGTGCAGCGGCGTCTTCGAGCGCTTTGACCAGGAACACCTTCTGCCAACTGAAGGCGCGTCACTGTCGTGGCACCTCGATCAAGTTGATTCAATCCACCGTCGCCATTCCCATATATGGCGTACTACTAGCAGTGACGAGAACCCAGTGATCACCTCGTCCAGCAAGAACTTGGCAGCGGAAGACGCGAGACTTGAGTCGGAGCTCCGTGAGTTGATTCTGTACGCGAACGAGCACGCCGAGCTGCTGTCTGTTCTAACGGTAAACCGTAAGAAAGCCATGACTTTTGCGATAAGAGCAGCGACGCGGAACGCGCGCGTGCTCATGGCGTTCCACGCGATGACCAGCATCGCCCTCGATTTTTACCTTGACACAGCCAAGAAGCTCCAAGGAACTAAACGCAAGACTGTCACTCTTGATAATGCGCACCAAACCACATTCCTCGAGTGGTTATTGCTCCTGGAGGAGCTGGCGGGGCTGCTGTGTGCGGGTCTTCACGAGCTGGATGCAAGTTACTACGTGGAAATCGCGCGTCAGTTCCGCTCTCTAATCCTTGACTTGCCTGTATTCCTCCGCAAGATTCAGCGCTTGGGGACGCATTCGCGACAGCAGGCGCTCATGCTGTTCCTCGACAACCTTCATCGACTGCTCAAACGCGCGACGAATCGGAACGAATTGCGCGTGGTTGCAGCCAACGGATCGGGCATCGTGGACCAAACGAAGGGAATCCGAGCGCGTCTCCGCAATCTCGATGTTGCAATATCCACCTCGCTGGGAATACTCTTAGAGTCTCCACACGGAATGGAGAAGCTTTCCAGAGCTCTCGTGGCGATGCAGTACATGTGGCGACGGATAATGGGGACTACGGCGCTGGAGAAGGCGATGACCAGCTCGAAGGAATCTATTAGCCTGATGAAGAAAATCACGGAGAAGTTGGTCAAGTTTATTCGGATACTGCAGCGTCCGATGAGAGCCTTTAAGGCTGGTGTTGGCACTCAGCGACAGAGTCACTCGACTAAGGAGGACTTTGAGAGCCCGTCCGCTGAGCTAGATACACCGCAATCGGTTGACTCAATGAACACGGACCAATCTCAGAGCAGCGGTGGATACGAAGTTGTTGCGTTAGCTGGCAGGAATCCCGATCTTCTGCTGTCTCGCTTCCCGTTCACGTCGTCGGAGCTTCTTTTGGACCATATCGGATGCGAGTGCATTGCTGCCAAGCGGGCGAAGCATCTTCTACAGTCCCCCAAGCACGCGAGCGCTACAGCTGAGGTGCTCAGATCGGCATTCGGCGCCGATAACGATGCAGTCGAGCGGATGTCGCTCCTCGAGCTGGCCGAGCACTTTCATCGGCTGGAGGGGGCGAGGAAACTATTCGACGTGGTCGATCGACTCCGACAGCAAACGCTAGAGGATGATGACTTGCCGTTCTCGAGTGTCCCTTTCGTAGCGCATGACAAGATGGAAATGAGTTTGTGGCGGTTGATGGTGCGGCCGATTCAGCGACTGAGACTCTTCCACCTGCACCAGCAGGTGCAGCGCTTCGTTGTGAGCGACTACAGCAAACGCCAAGTCATTCTGAACAAATACCGGCTTGGCTCACCTCAACGACCATCTATGACACGAGATCAAGTCGACAACCGAAGCAAAAACGTTCCCAAGCTGGAGACAAAGTCTCAGGAATCTTCCGCTTGGGCCAGACTCTGTGTAAAACCGTTTCAGAATGGTACACAGCGCGTTGTTGCTGATCGACCGATGATAAGCTTGCCAAAACCCTTGGCTCCTCCCGCTCCAGTGGACGGACCATCAACATTATCGCCATTGTTACCCAAAGTGGCCATTTCCGAGTCGATTCTAAAGGTTTGCGATGGGATTGTGAATCCTGACCCGTTCTCGGATAACGCGGCCATGATCCAACTTCGTAGGAAGCTCGACGCTCAGAGGCGGAGACACAGCGGCTCACACGGACCAAAATTCCGCAACTTTTGGCAGACCAAATCGAGTCGATCGGCACAGTATCGAACTGATGGACAGGATGGCCTCGTTGAGAGAGCGTTCCAGTGGATTCTCTCGATCGGAGCGCGGTTGATCCTGCTGGTCGCCTTCTGGCGCCAAGAAGAGCTGCGCACGGACCTCCAGGACCCCATCATGGCTCGTGCGTTTCGCGATTCCCATGAGCACGATGAATACTACAGACTGTACCATGCCAAGAAAGGTCTTGGGGAGCTCGTACGGGTGTGGATGCCCACGAGCGGTAGGCTCGGACTCCTGCTCTGGCAGGAACGGTACTACGCACTTGGTGGTACGTCCCTTAGCATAGTCATCGCGTTATGGCTTCCCAGCATGGTTTCCTCTGAAGCGGACACTTCGACCCGAAACACCGTGATGACGCGGATCATTTACGCATACGGCATCGCGATCTTCCTGCTGTCTGTGGTGTCAATTATGCTGATCGCACGGAGTAAGTTGGTGGTTAAATGCCTTCCTTATCATAGTTGTGTATTTCTCTAACTTCTCTATTACTGTAGACCGCTTTGTACTCCTGGAGCAGACTCGCTTGCGAATTCGACCGGTCTCTCGATATTACCAGAATGTCTTGGCCGTGATCTCGATCGGTGTGGAAATGGTGCAGCTCAACTCGCTGGCGTTTGACTCGGCCGTCGAATGGGACGACACGGACCAGCTACCAGCCGCGCTGCAGTGGCTCGGGAATCAAGGTATCACCAAGTTCGGGGTGTCGTCGGTCTCGGAGCTGCAGGCTCTGGGTGTTCTTCTGCTTCTGCTGCTGTGGTTTCTGCTGTTGAAATGCGCCAACAAGTTCCAAGAAACGAGCGCGCTGCTGCACCGCGTGCTGACGAAAGATCTGCCAGCGCTCATCCACGGGTTTCTCTACATGGGGACGATCTCCGTCTTCTTCTCGTACCTGGCGTGTATGGATTGCTCGGACCAGCGCAGTTCCAGTGGCTTCAAGAGGTGCCAAGTCGCCGCCGAGTCCCAGCCGCCACCGTTCCTCATCGCGCACCAAGACATTAGCTGCTGGACTGCAGAGCACCAGTGGTACGCGTTTCTCGGGATATGGGGGATCACCTTCTTCCTACCGATCGGGCTGCTGGCCCATGGCATGAGCCACGTGCTGTTCCAGCGCGAGACGCTCGATATCAAGTACGCCCCCGTGCTGTTGCTCGTGGCTCAGTTAGTCAAAGCTGGGGCTGCCACGGCGCAAGCGTTCTTCCCGTACGATCCGATGCTTCTTGCGGTTCTTGGGGTTATCGGTAACGGAGTGCTGCTGGTGCTGACGCTGGTCATGCAGAGCTGCTCGCTCTGGTACATCAAGTACGTCAAGTGCGGCATCTACGCGGCGTCGTGCTGGGCGTCGCTCGGCGCCATCCACCGCCTGCACTACGCCGGCCAGAGCAGCACGCGGTCGCTCAACATGATCTACTTCGGCTGGCTCAGTATCGGGCTGGTCACGGCCTCGGCCATTCTGCTGCGAGTGTGGCTCCGAGCTGAGGCCAAGAACCGCGACGCGGAACGGCATTTCGCAGCCCAGCAGCGACTATTACTCAGCGCGGACAACTCGACAACGGGTGGCATCGGCGCAGTGGAGCTCAAGTTCCTCAAGGCGGCGAAGAAACACTCGCGCGACGACCTCGTCCGAGCTGCGTTCATTGCGAATGCGAGGAAGCTCAGCGCTTCGGCTCCGCCGCCAGCGCTGAAGGAATTTATGGCGAGAGCGAGGCAGCCGCTGGGGAGTAGCAATGCGGCTGATAACATGCGAGCAGCGCAGTTCATGCGCAGTGCGCAACTCTCCGCCAAGAAACTGGAAAACCTGCGCAGGCGAAGGAAGTTGGCGAGGCTCACCAAGTGAGGCTGGTAGTGAGCTAGTAGTTGAGCACCCAAACAACCTTACTTTACTGCACCCAGACTGCTCGTTGCACAAGCCTTCGTCGCGCTCCGCCAAGCACCACCTGGCACCCGAGGCATCCTCTCGGCCTTCAGATCGCAGAGCTCCGGCTCCGTGCCGGTGCAGCCCCGCGTCGCACCGGACCGATTGTTGCACTTCAAGCGGCACATGTGACGAGCAGGGGGATGGGCACGATCTTCAGAAACCGCCAGAACATGGCTGCACTTCACGTCAGCACGGAATGGCTGGCTGTCCTTCACGAATCGCTCGCTGGTCATGCACGCGACGCAAGCCACGCCAAGGCTAAGCAAGCTAAGTGGGAAGGCGTGATGCCACCGCCCCATGTTGCTCGAGCCTGCAGCAGCAAGGCCGCAGCGATTCTCTTTGAAGACGCGAGTCCACGCCCCTTCAACAGGATTTTTCAGAACGCTCCGCTACAAGACACGCGCCAGGTTGACGCGTACGTTTACGCGTGGCCCAAAGCTTCAAGCGCAAGAAGGAGGCGAACGCGGCCATGAGAAAGAGTTAATGAGGTGTGTATTGCATTAGTGTTGGCATTTTCCAGGCCATAAATATTGCAGTTCTAGGTCGTAGGCAAAAAAATAATGGCAGCTCGGGTCCCTCGCTGCTGTTTGAGTGATTGGAGGCACGGGCTGAAGCGGAGCGGCTTGGCCTCGCGATGAGGCGGCGCGACTGGCTCACTTCTTGGCCTTGTCCTTCTTGGCCGGGTAGTAGGCGCGGCGGCGGTAGGCCTCGAGCGAGGAGCTCACGGGCACGACGGCGCGGTCCTCGCTGATGCGCGGCAGGGGCTTGGCCGACTTCTTCCTGCGCTTGTGCGCGTCGCGCGTGAAGGGCACGCGCTTGCCGCTCACGGTCACGCCCCCGTGTCTCTCCCTGGTGAGAAAGTCGGAGGGGATGGGGACGGGCGGCACGAAGGCCGCCTTCTTGTCGGATTGCTGCTGCTGCTGGTCGTGGTGGTGGTGGTGCTCGTGCTTGAAGAGCCGTCGCAGCGAGAAGCGGTGCTTCTTGCTGCTGGTCTCGACCACCAGCGGGCTCTGCGTGGGCGAGCGCGCGTCCGTGGGCTTGGGGCTGGCGCTGCTCTCGCCGTGGCGCAGCTTGTGCGTCCAGGCGCGCGCCTCGTCGTCCGCGCGGATCTGAGGCATCACGTCGGCGAGCGCGGTGGGCATGGGCTCGTGCTGCTGCTTCCAGGGGCTGGGGCTCTTCACGAGCAGCGCGGTCATGTAAAATGTATGTGGGGGGGGCGTGCGGGTGCGAGCTCCAGTTGTGAAATGACCACAGCTACGCTGCACGCCAACCTTTGCTGCCAAGCGACATTTCGAAGCCTCTTCTATTGGTTGAAGCAAATCCAGCTGCTGCGCTCGCCTCGTTTTGAAACTTTCAGTTTGAGGCGCTCACGATCCTAAAAAGCTGAGCCAGGATCTGGAATGTATACTCGGATCAAACAAAGCCACGAATTGAGTTCGCCATCAAGCTTTCACTTGATAAACTTTTTGCTTCCCGAGATGCAGGACTTGGTAGTATCGCGATACGTTTACACGCTTCGACTGGGGAGGACTGAGCGTCATCAGGCTGAGGGAAGTCTTCTCGGCGACATTCCTCTGCTCGCAAAAAACTGATTAGGACAAGGCTGAATTGCTGGTAAACAGGTCATTGAATCTTTGGTGCAGAAGGAACTTGTCGAGAATTATCGGCAACTTCGCCGTGACATCATCGTACAGGCAAGGCTCTCAGCGAAAGGTACATGTACCCGCGTAGCGCAGAGAGGTCGTTGCCAAGAGCAAGAGCAGACAGAAGCTACCGCAAGATAAGACGCCGTGCAGCGAGGCCACACCAGTACAAAAACCAAATCTGCCGATGTTATCGGAGGCGGCCAGTCCGTTCTCGCAGCACGCAAACACGAAAACCGGCCCACCTGCTTCCGCGCCCGTCTGGACATCACTTTCGTGGGCGTCGGCACCCGCGGCACCGCCACCTGCTGGTGGCGGTGGGCAGCGCTGCGGGGTGCTGGGGATCGTCACCTTCGCCGCAGTCATCGCCCGCACAGCCTCCGCATTATTTGGCGTGCTGTCGTTGTTGAGTCTCAGCTCGCCCTTGCTTCACGCCTCTTCCGACGCTGAGAGCTGACAGCGCCTCAGTATGCCAAATCGCGCCGGCAAACTCGTCGTCGGTCGGCAATCTTGAAAAGGAGCGTGTCAACGAGCGAATCTGGGCGACCACAACGTGGCAGCGGCACCAGATGGCCCCCACCTGGCGGAGCCGAAGACCCTGCTCGGTGCAGAGCGGCTAGCATGACAAAATTCGCCCCGCGCATCGCTTCCTGCGGCGCGAACGCGCGTCCAGCCATTTCGGTGCCACGTCTGCTGGAAGCCTTTTAGGAGGGGCAGCGATTTCTAATTTATTCTGCATTTAGAAATCCTAAATTTGGGAGACCGTGTCGGGCGTGGCGCTGCTGGTGTATCGGGCCGAAAGCTGACCCGGCCGCCGCCCATTTGGAGCGCGGAGCTTTCAACACGTGTTTGGAGCCATTTGGACAGCCCCATGTTCCGACCGCAGCTTGAAGTGCGCCATCTCCCCCACCCCGACTCAGCCCTCGGCGGGCGCGCGCTCAATCCTGGTCTTCAACTTCACCTTGGCACCAGACAGTGCCTGGTTCAGTCCCTGTTGTAAGCTAGCGAGCGCTAACCATTCTGCTATGGCCACGCTACACTGTACTTGGTAGTGCCCATTACTTCTAGACGCCCTCACACAATGGAGACTCACTTTGAAGAGCTTTCGGGAATCGGGGGTTGAGACTGAAAAAACTCTTGAGATCGGAGCTCTTCATTCACCCCGTTACGTGCAGCAGATGCCGCTGCGCTCCATACGCTGCGTTTGGGGAGAACACGCGTCAAGCTAATTATAAGCCCGCCAGCGTCGCGAAGCAGTCGCAGCCCCCTTTAGAAACGGCGGCTGTACGCCTGCCTGCAGACGGCGCAAACGCTGGTCGCCGAGAGCAGACCCGCCGGCAAAATTTGGTCTCCAAGACGGCTTTGCTTTGGCTGCGAGCATTTGAGCGAGATTCGGACAGCGACTCTGGCGGTGAAAGTGGCCCTGTCTGCTGAAGTGGCTGGTCATCAGCGACGTTGCAGCTTAGAGCAGGCGCATTGCAAGTTGCAAAGCTGGTGCTGAGTTGCTGTTGGCATGTGTGTCGAAATGATCGCTCTCTAATCCATGTGCACCACACAACATTGATGGCTAAGAATTTCCCGCGCTTCTTCCTGTGCCATACAAACGCCCTGTCATTGATGCCGCGGAAGGCGTCAGCGTCTTCGACCCCGGAGCTGGGCGAGCCGTACGACGAGCACCGGTACGCCGCCCTGCGCCACGAGCTGTCGGTGCGCGGCATCCGCTTCCGCGTCGGGACGGAGCGCGTGACAAGTAGCGCGGGCTTCATCCGCCTGCTGCGGGACTGGGACAAGGCCCACGCAGTGGAGGCGGCCGCGTCGACATCGCCGTCGCCTTCGACGCGGACTCAGACTCAGGCCCGACGGACTCAGAAGCCGCCGCCTCAGCACCAGAAGAAGGCCAAGGCCAAGGCCACATCCAAGAAGAAGCAGCAGCAGCCCATGGCCAGCAGCAGCTCCACGCGCGTGATCCGCGCGCGCCGCGGCTGCCGCTTCCGCCTCATCAACGCGCTGCTGAGCCCGGACTTCAACGGGCGCTGGCGCGAGATGGCGGCGGCCGGCGGGCGCCTGGGCGAGGTGAACCAGTTCTGGCTGGACGTGCACGCCGCCTTCCTGGCGCAGAACTCGATGCTGGACGCGCTGCACTTCGAGGACGCGCTCTTCGTCAACGTCACGCCCAACGTGATCCTGCCGCACTCGGCCGCGCGCCTGCTGCAGATGTGGGCCGAGATCGTCGCCATGTACCGCAACGCCGTGGCGCAGGCCAAGGAGGCGGCCGCGCACAACGACAACGTCCACTCGTTCTTCGACTTCTGCGCCGGCCGCCTCGACCTGCTCTACCTGCACATGGCCATGCTGCTCGAGCCCCAGCTCTCCGAGTTCATCATGTCGGACAAGATCCAGACGGCCGACCCGTTCAGTGGCAGCAGGGCCAAGGGCAAGGCCGCTGCGGCCGCCGCCGCTGCTGCTGCTGCTGCTGCTGCTGCTGTGGCGGCGGCGCCCGACGCGGTGCCAAACAAGTCTGAAACGGACAGCAAGCCTGAGAGCAAGGTCAAAGGCAAGGGTGCGAGCAAGCCCGAAACGTCCACTAAGACTGCTGCCACAGCCGCAGCGAAACCGGCGGCGCGGGGGAAGGCCAAGGTGGTGTCTGCTCCAGAAAAACCTGCAGCGGCCCCTGCCCCCGAAAAGCCCAAGCCAATGTCTGCTCCGGCTGTCGCTGCTGCTCCTGTGGCGGTGCCTGCTCCTGTTGCCCAAGTCAAAGCTCCGCGAGGACTCACACAGAACCCGGAGATGGAAGAGGATCCGACACTGGATGAAGTCAAGCCCCCAGCTCCAAAGGCACCGACGAAGACGACGACCGCTAAAGCGACCAAACCTGCCGCTAAGGCGAAGCAGACCAAGCCAGCAGCCCCTCCTCAAAAGCTGGTTGCCCTGAAGAAGACTCAAAACGCAGCCGGCAAGGCCAAGGCGTCAAGCGGTGCTACGTCAGCGAAGGAGGCGAAACAAACAGCCTCGCCATCCAAGCAGAAGTCGCCGCCAAAGACGAAGGCTCCCACCAAGCCTGCCAACCGAAAGACCTCTATCGGTAGTAAACCGGCGACCTCGCCGGCACCCGTGACGGGCAAACGTCAACGTGAAGAAGAGGACAGCACGGCCATCGTGGAGGTCCCGAGTGTGAGTGACATTGTCCCTCATTCGGGCAAGCGGATGCACACGACCACAACGATCTCGACCGCTCTGACGACGCGGCAATCGGACATGATGCTGCCTCCGGACGAATGGGATATCCTGGAGAGCCGGCTGCGGAAGGTGAACGAGAATATCGACCGGTGCCACCGCGGACTAGCAGGAGGCGAGGGAGCAAGTGTCAGCGATAGTTATAAGCAGTCTTTGGAGGCTGACTTGCGGTTCTACTCTGCTATCAAGCAGCGGCTACAGGAGCAACTACTGGTAGTGATGCAGAGCGGCTATTAAGCTAGCACGGGACGGGTAACTTATCTGGGTGCGCGTGGAGTAAGTTTGCAATGTATTTTGTTTTCCATTTCGCAAGAGGCTTGCAAGGGTGTTATCGGTTCAGCTCACCAGCGTCCTAGTCGTGTGCAGATCTGCAGGTACCGAAAGGGGAAGTGCCGTAAGTGCGGATGTCTTCAGGCGAGGACGGGGTCATCCATCTTGCAGTTCACGACTGCACCGCTGACTTACTAAAAAAATTCGCTGTCTTCAACCTGGAGCTCTTGCACGACACGTTCCGTCGTGCATACATGTACAAGCAAGAACCTGCAAGGAGCGCGGGATCGATGCTTTCTTTGTCGTTGGACTTGCTAGTATTGGGAGAGTCCTATTTCAAGGGCCCAGGCGCGAAGGCGTTTTCGGGTGCGTGCTGCGATAAGATGAATTGAGTTCTATCTATCGATGGCCTTGCCTCCAGCCTTGGCTGACCAGAATGGAAGCGCGAGGAGCTCCAGCTTCATGTTGTAGCTGGAGAGCGGACTGGGGTTGACCGGGCCGAAGACGCGCTCAACGTCCAGAGTCCAATCCAGTGACTCACTCTCGGATTCCTCCACTTCAGCTCAACCGCCTCAACAGCCGCAACGCCCCTTTCAGCTCGACTCAGCAGAAGCAGAAGCAACTAGCAACCAGCGACAGCAATCAACTCCCCACCAGCAGCAACTCGCACGTTCAGATCGTTTTCAGCGTGGGCAGAGGAACCCGTTGCGAGTTGGCGTCTCCGAGCACGTCAACTACCTACCCAGTCAGTCACTCACTTCAACAGCAACCATGGCTAGCTCGGCGATGGCAAACGGTCTCGAGGTGGCGATCGAGTTCCTGCCCGGTCGGTTGTTCTACGTGCCGCTCAAGAAGGCGCCTCCGCGTCTCCCGGGCACGCACTTCTTCTCCATCGACGACGAGCTCATGTACTGGAACTTCTACCTCGACTTCGGCCCGCTCAACTTGGGCCACACATTCGTCTTCTCCGAGACACTCAACAAGAAGCTGGCGGCTGCAGCCAAGACCGGCGAGGTCGTGTACTTCTACTCGTCCACCCAGGGCCAGCGTCGCGCCAACGCCGTGTGCATCTTGGGCTGCTGGGCCGTGCTGTTTCAGAACATGAGCGCCGAGAAGGCCTACGAGCCGTTCCAGCTCATGCGCTTCCCTCCGTTCCACGACGCCACGCCGTCGGTCTGCACCTTCAACCTGACCATCCTGGACTGCCTCAAGGGTCTCGAGCGCGCCATGAACAGCGGCTACATCTCCATCAAGACGTTCGACCTGCACGAGTTCCAGCACTTCGAGCGCGTCGAGAACGGCGACCTCACGTGGGTCTCACCCAAGTTCATCGCCTTCGCCGGCCCGCACAACGTGTACCAGCGCACGCCGCAGGGCCACGTCATGCTCACGCCCGAGCACTACATCCCGTACTTCAAGAAGCGGAACGTGACGCTTGTGGTGCGCCTCAACGACAAGCAGTACGACGAGAAGAAGTTCCTGTCGGCGGGCATCGACCACCTCGACTTGATCTACCCGGACGGCACGAACGCGCCCATGCCCATCTTGATGAAGTTCATTGAGGCGTGCGAGAAGACCCCGGGTGCCGTGGCCGTGCACTGCAAGGCCGGACTCGGCCGCACGGGCACGTGCATCGGCGCGTACATGATGAAGCACCACTTGTTCTCGGCCCACGAGCTCATCGGGTGGCTGCGTCTGTGCCGTCCTGGCAGCGTCATCGGTCCGCAGCAGCAGTTCATGGAGGCGATCGAGAGCAGGATGCACCAGCTCAACCCGTCGAGGACGTCCAGCGCCAAGTCGGAGCTGGTTCCGATCACGTCGTCCAACGGGCCGTCGAGTCCGTACGACGCCAAGCGCGGAAGCGGCACCATCCGCAGCATTATGGTCCCCGGACGGAACGCGGCGGCGGGCATCGTGACCACGAACCGGGTCGTCTCGAACGCGGCCATCGGCCTCGACAAGACGCAGGGCGACAAGCTCAACGACCAGAAGTACATGCGCTACCGGAGCACCAAGTCCAGCCTCCCGAGTGGCGGCAACATGTTCTGGTAACCTTCAATCTTCCAACAACTTCAACACAAGATCAAGAGCTGAACGGGAACGAGTAAGTGCCTAGTAAGAGAAGAACGAGAAGAAATGCACGCGAACCTGCAATAAAACGATCCTTATATTCTCCTCCTCCAACAACGCTCTGTCTCCCCTCCCTCCGCCATCTCACAAGAGAACTATGTCCATCCATCAGACAGACAAGACAGGCTTTGAAGACGTTTAGACGTCCTCGCACCACTTGTTCTCCTCGAGGATCCGCTGCTGCTCCTCCTCCGTGAACTCCTCCGTGATGCCGAAGGTGGCGCGGATCTCCTCGGGCGTCTTGCCCTTGATCATGCAGGCCATCTTGGCGCACGCCAGGTCCAGCAGCGACTTGATGTCCATGTAGTTGGCGGCCAGGATGAGCTCGAAGAGCAGCTCCTGGTCCGCCACGTCCACGAAGTTGGCGTCCCACTCGTCCACCGACTCGCTCAGCACGTTGCTCTTGAGCGGCTTCTGGATCTCGGCCATGGGCGCGTCCTTGTGGTGCTGGCAGAACTCCACCACCTTGGCCAGCACGTGCGCCTTGACGTTGGGCAGCGGGATCTCCTGCACCTCGTCGCCCTGCTCCTGCTCGTCGGCCACGAGCGTCTGCACCAGCTGGCTCATGACCGCCACCTTGGCGTCCACCTCGAAGGCCTCGCCGTCCATCGACACCAGCTTCACCTTCATGTCCGCGGCGGGCTCTTGCGGGGCCATCTCTCTCTTTGTCGTTACACTCGACGCGGGTCGGTTCTTGCCGTCCAATTCGGAAATGGATTGGAATTTCCTGGCAGTCAGAAATGTGCACGAGTACCGAGGAAGGTTGTTAGATAGCGGTTAGGATGGGGGAATAGGAAAAAGTATGGAAGTGGTGGTAAGTGGTATAACAAATACGGTGTAGCAACCTCGCTTCAACCTAATTTCTCCGTAATGATTCACAACGAGTGATGTCGACTACGCAGACGGATGGCGCGAGCTTCGATGGAAGCCACCGTCGCAGAGTTGAAGGATGTTCTGGCTGCACAACAAGACAGCGTGAAGCTGACGCCGCGAGAAGTTTTTATATTACGGCTTTATTTTATTTTTTTACTTCATGGAAGGCCAGTGGACCAAAGCCATCGAGCGGAAACCTCTGCAATCGGCCCTAACGTTCGTAGAAGAATCCTCGCGCATATGCTCTAGGATGATGACAAGGACTCGCTTCCTTTGCTCACTGCAATCGTACCGAATAAGTTTGTACGTACCGAGCCATCGCGAAACCTTTATTAAACATCTTTGGCGGCTTCAACCCTGTAACATAGTGTGAACTTGGTAGGAATTCGTGCACAAGCTCATCGGTGGTGAGCACAACGGAAGGAATGCTGTCGAGATCAGAGCGGTCATCCCATAGCGTAGGTTTATGTCGCGCCACACCATCTCTATATTCTCTTTCGTAGTGGCGCGCTTCCTCCCCCTGATTGCCCAGACAAAAAGCGCGCGCGTCCGCACTCGCCCGTCGCGCGCTCTCCTCGTCCTCGTCCTCGTCCTCAGCTCGTCCGGCCGCCGCCTCGCGGACTCGCCACGTCCTTCATCATGGTGCGTCCAACGCCTCACCACCAGCCACCAGGCACCAGCCAGTAGTGTACCCATCTGACGCCTTGCTACGTTTATACTGCAGGGAGACGCGCGCATCGTGTTGACGACGCTCATCGACGAGAAGCTGCTGTCGCCCGGTACGACAGGAAGCGTCGCTGCCTCTACTACTGCAGTATACCATACGTATACTGACTGACTGAATGTGTACTCGTGTGTGTGTGGCTGTGTGCCGCCCGCGCAGGCCCCAAGAAGCTCTATGTGTCGTACTACCGCAAGCGCGTGTACGCGGACCTGCTGCCCGACGGCTCCATCCGCTTCAAGGACCAAGTCTACACGTCGCCCGTGCCCTGCGCGCTGCACATGAAGCGCACGCTGAACCCCTGTACGTGGCGCTGGTGACCGGCTGGAGGGGCCTCGTCCCGTAGACACACCCGTCCCTGGTCCCATAGCTTACTTAATATTCTCTCTCTCTTGCTGTAGCTCTGAAGACGGACGCGGGCTGGTCGTCCATGTACTCGGCCGCCTCGGGGGAGAGCCTCAAGGACATCAAGGACCGCCTCAACATCCGCAAGCGCGGCACGAACGCGCGCTCCGCCCACAAGGAGAAGAAGGCGGCGCCAGCGCCAGTGCCCGCTCCGTCGCCTACCACTAAGGAGAGGATGGCCCAGGCGGCTGCAGCTCAGGCCAAGCAAGAGGCGGCTCCGGTGCGTGGCCGGTCACTGCTCAGTGCTTGAGCCAGAGCGATCGACTGACCATATTACTGTTATTGTTTGTTTAGAAGTGCGTCATCTGCAGGGAAGAGGCCACGGCGGAGGTGGCCAATTGCAGCGCGTGCCACAGCCAGACGCACTTCAAGTGTGTGACTCCGCCGCTGCAGGCGGCTCCTCCTTCGCCCTGGTTCTGCGATAAGTGCCTGACTGGCCAAGCCAACCGCATCCTCGAGTTTCTCCAGCAAACACGTCGAGTGTTGGTGGAGAGGATCGCAGAGCAGAAGAAAGCGAAGCAGGAAACAGAGGAGAAGCCTGAGCAGACGGATACCAGTGCTGAGCACGAGGCGCCGACGGAGGATAAGCAGAACGAAGCTGCTGATGCACCGAAGGACGCGCAAAAAGACGAAGAAATGCCTGCCGTCGCTGATGAGGAAAAGGATGAGGAAGTTGACAAGGATGCGGAGACCGACAGCGCTGAAAAACCCGCAGACGTAGCATCTACTGAAAACGAGGATGGTGTCGACGGATCTAAGGCCACGGTAGAAGTGTCCACAGAGGCAAAGGATGCCACCCCAACCTCCACGGAAGCTCTGGAAGAAAAGGAGATCAAGCAGGAGGCCCTTGACGCGATTAGCACTAGCGTGGAGTCCAAGACCTCGGAGGTTGTTGTCGTAGTGGACGACGAAGACGATTCAGCGGCGGAAACAGAAGTGGTCGCGGCCAAGCCTACTACATCGACAAGCGTACGTTTGACTCTGCCGGACCACTGACTTACTGTGTGGTTGATTCTAACTTGCGCTTCTGTTCACAGGCTGAAGAAAAGTTCTTGGTGCTGATTGATAGCCTAATTGTCGAAGTTTCATCGAAGGCGGAACGGGCCAACTTGATTGCCAACAGCACCGGTGCGACTCTCGTACACTTGGAGAAAACGCAACTCGTGCAACTTGTGGAGTATGGCAAGCGTGAAATCTTGGCTGCTACTCGACCGGAGGCTGAAGATGATGATGATAATGATGATGATAATGACCAAGGCGAAACGGAGGATGACGATAACAGTGTTGGTCGCTCTAACACGTCGGAAGTCGACGATCTCATTCGGATCTTTGATTTGCGCCATCAAATTCTGTCGTCACAGGCGCAGTTTGAACGTACCACGAGCGCTCTCGCCAAGCGGACGGAAAAGCATTTACGCAACGCTGAAACGGAGCTCATGGATCTAGAGCAGGCGCGCACTGTGGAGGCTTCTGCAATCATGAAGGTGGTGGATTTGATCAACCAGTACTCAAGCGACTTGAACAAGTGTGAACAGAAGATTCATTTCGACGAGATGCTTCTGGAGAGTATCAGCCACCGGCGGAACTTTATCCGCTCCACGAACATTGTTGACCGCTTCGTACCGGCCTATCGTTACAGCTCGAAGCTTATGACTACCAGCAGTGACCAGCTTCTATTGACTGTTCTGCTGGATAAGCTCCGCGACATCACAGGTTCTGTCAACGAGTGGACGAAGATGGAAAACCACTTCGAAAAGATGACGTCGAGTCTGAAGAAGTCGCTGGCTCTGATTGGTACGAAGCGAAAGCGTACGGGTGTTTCTGTGAAGTTACCGCCGACCCCGGCATTGTTTGCTAAGGTGAAGATTCCGCCGTCCCGACGTCTCATTGAACGCCAAATCGCAAATTACCAGGTGAATCTTAATGTGATTCGTCAGAACCGCTCCCGTATGCGGAAGACGCTGTCGGGTATTCTGAAGATCGCCCGGGAGGAGCATTTGAGCGAAGAAATTGTCAACATGACAGACATGTTGTATCAAAAGTGCCGTGATTTGAAAGCTGAAGAGGAAGAGAAGCAGCTGAAGCTCAAGGAAGAGGCAGCTGAAGCTGAAGCCAAGGCGAAGAAAGACGACGATGAAGATCATGACGAGAACACTGATGGTGGTGAAGCGAGTGCAGAGGAGCCGGAAGCGAAGAAGCCGCGTTTGGCCGGAGCGAGTTCTGCGTCTGACAATAAGCCCGGCGTGGCTGCTACCGCCAATCCTTCATCAGCAAGCAAGGCGCCCACATCTCATGAAGCGAAAGGCATCTCATCGCTGCTAGGAAGTGAGGACTCGGATGCCAAAGAGTCCAACTACAGCTCCGCTGAGAGCAAGTCGCGCGCAGATAACGACGATGACAGCGAAGGAGATCTGGAGCAAGCATCTCGCGCAATTGCTGACATTACCTCGTCAGTATTGCCCGACATCTCGGCAGGAGGTGATCCACTGCTTAACTCACCGCCCATGACGGCGAAGCCTGCAGCAGAGTCATCGCAGGAACTGGCGCCGCAGGGCGTGTTTTCGATTCGTGGGGGAAAGGGAGCAGACAAGAAGGAATCGGCCCCGAAGGAGGCTGAGCAGCAAAAAGGCCAGGCGCCCAAGAGTGCCGGTCAAAGCGAGCAGTCATTTCTTGACCAAGCGCTCGAAGTTCTGAACAAGCAGCAGCAACAGCAACAACGTCTTGAGCAGCAGCGTCTTGAACAACAGCGTCAGTTGGAGCAGCAGCAGAAGCAGTTGGAAGAACAGCAGCAGCAGCTGGAGAAGCAAAGGCGACTTGAGCAGCAGCGTCAGCTAGAGCAACAGCGTCTGGAACAGCAACGTCAGGAGCGTGAACGCCAGGAACGAGAGCGTCAAGACCGAGAGCGTCGAGAGCGGGAGCGCCTGGAGAAGCAGCAGCGACTTGAACGACAGCGTATAGAGAAGCAACGCCAGGAACAAGAACGCCGCGAGCAGCAACGACGTGAGCAGCAACGACTAGAACAGGAGCGTCGTGAACAACAGCGTATTGAACAACAACGCATTGAGGAACAGCGCCGCATGGAAGAGCAGCGCCGCATTGAAGAGGAGCAGCGTCGTTTGGAGGAGCAGCGTCGTCTGGAGCAGCAGCGGCTTGAACAACAACGGCTTGAGCAACAACGACTTGAGCAGCAGCGTCTGGAGAAACAACGCCAAGAGCAGCAACGGTTAGAGCAGCAGCGGCTGGAGCAGCAACGCCTGGAGCAGCAGCGTCTGGAAAAACAGCGCCAGGAACAGCAGCGCCAAGAGCAGCAGCGACGACAGCAGGAACAGCAACGACTAGAGCTTCAGCGTCGGCAGCAAGAGCAGCAACGCCAAGAGCAGCAGCGCCAAGAGCAACAGCGCCAGTTCCAGCGCAACAAGGTGCCCAACCTCCCTCAGGTCGTGCAGCCGGGATCATCCCACCTACAGATGCTAAACCAGCAACAGCAACAACTCCAGCAACAGCAGGCAGCGCTTCAACAGCAGCAGCACTCGCGTCAAATGCAGCACCCTCTGTACGGCGACATCCCCAAGGGAATGCTCATGTCTTCTGGAATGGGCTCAAATCAGCAGGATATCTACGCGCAGCAGGCCGCCCAAATGGGCATGGACATGCACGACGTCGTGCGGCACCAGGACTCGGGCCACTTTGTTGGCAATGCGTCGGGTGGTCTGCGCGGGGCTCCCTACGAAGTCTCGCGCAGCGAGCCCGCGCCGACAGCGCCGCGGACGAGTTTCTATGGCGACGACGGCTCTCAAGACGTGTTTGGCTCCCAGGGCTTGCCCGGTCAGCAGCGGCAGCTCTCCGAACATCACATGTTCAATGACTTGCAGCAGCAGCAACAACAACCAGGGCAGCCGCAGTCCCGAGGAATGGTGAGCCAGGACTTTTTGATGGGCCGTGGGTCATACAGGCACCCCGGCATGGACCAACCTGACGACAACGATGTGAATATGGGCGACTGGGGGCAGTGAGCTAAGCTGCAGTAGACGGGAGCGCCACGAGCATTGCCCGGAATTGATTGACATACATGTAAGAAGATTTGTTGTCGTTGCAGACTTTGTGTGCTTGACGTGCATTCGTCTGGACTTCAGTGAGGTCACCTCACAGGCTTGACGACTTCCAAGTGCCATCCCCCCACGGTATATGAAATGACGATGCACGTCTATTTGATACTAATCGCAGCAACGCTCGGGCATGAGGCGCTGCATAAATTATAAACGATTTACTAGGAAGGCCGAGCGCTGTAGAGCCCCCGTCTTCATGAGCAACGCAGCGGACTTGCCGCATGCGCTGCGTGAGTGGTGGTTAACCGAGTTGAAAATGCATGCAGCTCCACCTGCTGCGCCTTAGACCGACACGGACCGGGCCAGCACAGCGAGACGCTGCTGCAAGTGCGCCTCGAGCCGATGCTGGGAGTCCAGGGCGTGAGCCTGGTCCTGCTCGACGGTGCGTTTCCATCGGTCGAGCAGCTCCAGCTTCTCGATCACGAGCTTGTGCGTCATGACCATGGTGGTCTCGCACGCCGGAAGTCTCCTCACGGCCTCCTGCGCCAGCGCACTGCGCGGGTCAAAGTTGGTGCGGGCGCGACGGACGAAGTCGCTCACGACCTGGGGGAACTTAGGGAGGCGCAGGCTTTGCAGATCCGGGGCGAACTGTCGATATCTGCGGCGAGCCTCCGGCTGGATGCCGATGGCCGCGGCCTCCATGAGCTGGCCAGCCTCGACTGTGAGCGCGAACGGGCCGTTGGCGAACTCCCTCGCGGATCCCGAGTACTGAGAGGAGACGACGGTGGCCATCGCCATACGCAGCAGCTGCAGCGCCTGGTGGTACAGGCCGATGGCCCGGTCGATCTGTTTCTTAATGGACTCGCAGGCCTGCGCCTCCGAGGCGTACATGGCCACGTTGGTGTGCATCTGCAGGGCGTCGGGGAGCCGGAGCGTTCGGAGCAGAAGGCCCAGCAGCCTCTGCTTCTCCCTCTCGAGCTGCTCGAGGCGCTCAGCCACATCCAGGTCCTCCTCTTCGTCGAAGTAGAGCTCGTCCTCGTCGTCATTGTTGTCTTCACGACGCTCGCTCTGCTCCACGACGTCGTCCTCGCCCTCGGGCTGAGCGGAGAAGCTGCGGCTGCCCCTGGAGCTCATAGAGAAGGAGGAGCGGCGCTTCCACTCGTCCACGAGGGAGCTGGACCGCCGCTCGAGCCGCTGCAGCTCGGCGTCGACCCGCACGGCGTCGGCCATGTGGTGGCCGAGCTTCTTCTTGAGCTCCTCGGTCTTCCTCTTCTGGTGGGCGGCCGAGCCCGTGGCCATGGCCAGGTACTTCTTGAGCACGCCGCGGTCCTGCTGGGCCTCGAGCTGCTGGATCATGTGCTTCTGGTCCTCGCGGATGCGCAGCGAGCGGCGGCGCGCGCGGCCCAGCTCCGTCTGCACGGCGGCGAGCTCCGGGTGCGGCGCGGCGCCCTGCTCGCCGGCCGCGGACGAGAGCGCGTCCATGTTCTGGATGCGCGTAAGGCGCGCGACCTCGGCGCTGACCTCCTCGAAGCGGTGGAACAGCCCGCGGTCCACGGCCCGCTGCATCCACGGGCTGTCCTTGCCCAGCAGCTGCTCGCCGGCGGTGGGCAGGCTCTGCGTGCGCGCGCGCGTGCTCTTGGCCGCGCGCGCGGACGGCGCCGGGTTCACGCTGGCGGCCGCGGGCCGCGGGGGCAGCCCGAGCGACGACGGGTGGCCGGCCGTGGCCGGCGGGGGGCTGGGCGGCGCCTTGGCGGCGGCGGCAGCCGCGCAGCAAGCCGAGTCTTGCGGCTGCGGGGACAGCATCAGGCTGGGCGGCATCGTGCGTGTGCGTGCGTGCGTGTCTTGAGCTGGCCGAGGGAGCTCCGGGCGGCGACGGCGCAGGCTTGAGCTTGAGCTCGGCGCGGCCAATGCGAAACTAGCTCACCCCTCGGCCGGCCAGGGGGGATTCCCTGCAGTTTAGTGCGACACTCACTCTCGGTTCGTTTCAGGCCGGGTTCCTTTGCGCCAGCCAATCACGGCGCGCGGATGGGCGAAACGAGCAGACGTGGTCATTTCCCTTGCAGAGCCGGGCCAGTCGGGCCGAGCTCAGAGTCCGCGACGTCCACCTGAATTTTATGCTTGAAAAAAGCTCTGCCGGCGCTGGCTGACTACCGTGTCAGCAACGTGGGCGGACCGAGGCGCGTGCGTGGCGGCAGTAGTGGCCTGCATGGAGCTCGCCGCCTATCGCCTCAGGCAGTTCGTGGCGTCGCCACCGCATTAAACTTTTCGCCGCGGCCGCTCGACTTTCTCAGCTGACCAACGTTTCAAGGGGCCGAGTTGAAGTGGTGCCATCGGAGACCAGGCCGGCGCTGCTGCAGCGGAGCCCGATGGGCTGCACTGGCACTGCCAGGGCCGGGATCGCGAGCGAGGCTGGGCCTCCAAACATCTGATTACGGACGGTCCCCGCGCTGCCCGATAGCATCCTCCTAGCTCGCCTACGACAGCGGTCATGAGCAGGTCGAGCGCGAGCTGACCGCCGCAGTGACTCTGCATTATTGTCAGCGACTGATGCACTCCGAGCGGCGGCAACGATGTCTTGACCGAGCAGTGAACCGCTCTTGCACGTCAGGGGCGTGTCGGCGGCGTCACGCGGACACCAGCCGGCCGCGTTACCACAGCGCCAATATGGCGCGCTCGCCAGCAGGCTCCGAGCCGCGTTGTTGCCGCCCGCCGTTATGTGCGTTGCCTTCGTTCGTGCTCAGCGAGCTACAAACACGGCAGCTGCCGCGATGCGTGTCAATGGCGAGCGTCTGCTGGCTAGATCCACCGGAGCCGTGTTGTGCAGTCGGTGGCAAATGCCGCTTCGTGAGCACGGGCCCATCCTGGACTAAGAAGATCGGCAACGGAGATGCAGTGCAGTGTTCTCGACCGAGATGCATCTCCTGATGTGCAGCGCCGTGTCGCGCGTGGCGCCGCCAAGCCCACCCTCACTCGCCGTCGCCTGGTGCCAGGCGTGCATATTGCAGCTGCGCCCTCGCCTTCGCCTTCGTTGAGGAAGCAGTCGCCAGAAACGACAGTGAAGCCGCCCGGCCGTTGCAGCTGGGTTGATCGGGCCTGCAGGAGGGCGTCGTGAGTGCGCGTCAACGTCGTAGTCCTGTGTTTGCCCCACAGCAGTACCAGTGCGTACAGGCAATGGACCATTGCCCGACGCACGGGTGGTGCCACAAGAGCTGGACCAATCGAGACCAGAGGCGACAGCGGCACCACCGGAATCGCCCTCGCGTAATTAATCACTTCCTGACTTCGGAGCTGGAGGGGGGGTTTGTGGATGCACATGTACATGACAGGCTCGGGGGCTGCTTAATCAAATGTTGACAGCGGGCAATGACACCTTCGCTACGGACGCGAGGATGCAAAATCGGCGCGGGTTGACTTCTGGTCCTTGCTGATGTAAGAATATTGTCCGGACCAGGCGTTAAACTCTTGGGTGGACATATTTCGAGACACTTTTGGCCATGATAGCTGCGGTCTTCGTCATTACTGAGGCTATTCCCGTAGAGAACTCGAACGCGCCTTTGTTGATGGCGGGAAAGCTTCGATCACGTGCTCGCAGCTAAGCTATTCTGGAGTGGCGTTGACACTTCAACGACCACGCGACGGTCGCGGCGACCGCCCGAGAGAAAGGGTCTCTCGAAGTCCACCGCATGTCCACCGAAGAAAGGTGTGCGTGTTCTCTTGAGATCTGGCGGCGGCAATTCGCCAGCCACGTTCTCCTCGTGCCCATGCTATCGACAACGCGAGCGTCGCCGCTCGGAGCCACACGCTCCGTAGAGTCGAGGCTGAGCGATACCGTAACTCGCTCTGTAATCCACTTCGCCAACGTGGTGTGGCGCGCAGTTAATCTAGGCCGACGGCACCTTCACTCGCGCCGGCGCCGGCAGACCCATGTCCTGCCGGCGCTGAGTCACGCGCGCGCCGTAGTCCGCCCATGTCCGATCTCCGCGATCACAAGCCCCAAGGGTAAACTCTGCCTTCATGCACCGAAAGTGACCAGCACGGAAGCTGACTTGGCCCTAGTATGGACCCCTAAACGTAGGACCCTACGTGTCCTAAACTAGGGCTCTGCCTTCACACCTATCCGCTCGTTTACTTTCATTCGCTAAAACGCTCCGACTGTCGCACACCGACTAAAGCACAGCACCGACACTACATCATGGCGATGAAGCTGCCGACGGGCTACGGCTGCGAGACCACGAACGGGGACGACGCCAGCAACGGCCGCAGCGCCAGTGCCGCCCAGGACGGAGAGGACTGCGTCAACGGCGTGCTGCGACCGGCCTCGCAGCAGAACCAGTACCACAACCTGCCCGTGGCGGTGGCCGTGCCGGTGACGGGCATCCGCTCGTCGGCCGCCACCACCGCCGCCCAGAGCCCCGACCGCGCGCGCGCGTCGTCCGCGGCGGGGCGCCGGAAGTCGGCGCACAACTTCTCGTTCCGCTCGCTCACGGGCTCCAAGTTCATCCGCCTGGCCGACTTCGCCGGCAAGCCCATCCTGGTCGTGAACGTGGCGTCGCACTGCAACTCCACCACCAAGGCCTACGTGCAGCTCAACGACCTGGCCAAGCGCTTCCCGGAGCTCGTGATCATCGGTTGCCCGTGCAACCAGTTCGGCCACCAGGAGAACCTCAACGGCGAGGAGATCTACCAGAGTCTGCGGCACATCCGCCCCGGAAAGGGCTTCGAGCCGGCCTTCATGCTCACGGAGAAGGTGGAGGTCAACGGCGCCAACGCGCACGCGCTCTTCAACTTCCTAAGGATCACGCTGCCCTACCCGTGCGACCGCACGCTGCTGGACGAGATGTCCACGCCCAGCGGCGTCTTCTCGCACCCCATGCGCCTCATCTGGATGCCCGTCACGCGCGCAGACGTGAGCTGGAACTTCGAAAAGGTGCGTCCGCAGCTGTAGTCTTCGAACTGTGTTGATCTTGTTGCTAACGTTGGTCTTGCTGCTTCTGCTGCTGCAGTTCCTCATCAGCCCCGATGGCACGCCCTACAAGCGCTACAGCCCCAGGCTGGACTTCACGGGCATGATCGAGGACATCAAGTTCCTGTGCAAGGTGGACCTGTCGAACGAGAAGCAGCTATAAGAAGACGACTGCTTGAAGGCAGGCGCCTTGCGGGGGATACATAAACAGCGCGGAGCGACCATACCTACCACCGAAACGCTCGCAGAGCTCATGGGCGGACGGCCGCGTGCCCAACAAGACACGAGCCAAGACGACCGACTGGATGTGTTTGTGAGCTCGGGACGCGAGCGCGTGAGTAGTGTAGTAGGCAGGGCAGGAAAAGCGACGCGGAGGATAAGTAATTGCGTGAGAATTTTGCAGTCAAAGCCAGCCAGCCCACCCACCGAAACGGTCGTCTGTCCTGTAACGGTCCTCTATGGTCCTCTTCCAGCAGCCGTTGTCACACATCCCCCTTAAACCCATTTGATTCGCTAAAACTCCTCCCTCCTCCTTTTCATCCAATCACGTCGATTTCAACCGTGGCCAGCCAACGCCGCGTTTTACTGGTTGCCATCACTTGCAGCTTGAGCCGCATCACCAGCAGCAACAGTCCAGCCCCGCCGCGCAGCTCGTAGCTCCCCTCCGACTCTAGCAAGCCAAGCCAAGCCAAGCCAAGCCAAGCAAGGCCAAGATGCAGCACGACGAAGTGATCTGGGGCGTCATCTCGAAGCAGTTCTGCTCCTTCAAGAGCAAGCTGCCGGGCACGGGCAACATGTTCTGCAGCAACCCGTACAACGTGACGGGCCTGTGCAACCGCACGGCGTGCCCGCTGGCCAACTCGCGCTACGCCACGATCCGCGAGGAGGACGGCGTGTGCTACCTGTACATGAAGACGATCGAGCGCGCGCACACGCCCAACCGGCTCTGGGAGCGCGTCAAGCTGAGCAAGAACTACACCAAGTCGCTGGCGCAGATCGACGAGCAGCTGCAGTTCTGGCCCAAGAAGCTCATCCACAAGAACAAGCAGCGGCTCACCAAGATCCACCAGTACCTCATGCGCATGCGCAAGCTCACACTCAAGACCAAGCCCAAGCTCGTGGTCATCAACAAGAAGATCGAGCGCCGCGAGAAGCGCCGCGAGAAGAAGGCCATGGTGGCCGCCAAGCTCGACAACTCGATCGAGAAGGAGCTGCTCGAGCGCCTGCAGAAGGGCACGTACGGCGATATTTATAATTTCCCCGAGCGCGAGTTCTCCAAGGTGCTCGAGAGCCAGGGCAAGCGCCAGACCATGGAGGAGGAGAGCGAGGACGAGGAGGAGGTCGAGTACGAGCTCGACGAAGAGGAGGAGGACGACGACGAAGACGCCGGCCAGGTCGAGTACGTCGAGGACTTTAACGAGGACGAGAGCGACCTCGAGGACCTCGCGGACGAGTTCGCCGTGGACGACGACGGAGAGAGCAGCGACGAGTCCGACAGCGACGACGAGCCCAAGTCCAAGAAGCGCAAGGCCGCGCCGCCCAGCTCCAAGAAGAGCAAGAAGCAGAAGAAGCCCAAGGGCCCGTACGTCGAGATCGAGTACGAACAGGAGCAGGAGGCGGCCGGAGGCGAACTCAACTGGTAGGCTATTGCTGCTGCGTTGTTTGCTGTCTGGATGGGTCGTTCACCTCGGATAAAATCGAAATAGACTATTTTGCACGTGAACTCTGGACTGCGTTGGCTTGCCTTGCTATCTGAATCATGACGTTGAAGTGAAGTGAACTACCTAACTGTACTGCCCCAGCGGAATACGAACAACTAATCCATTCCATTAATTACACCACCAAAGCTATCATACCTACCTACTGCTGCGAGCACTCTGGCCGTTCGGGCTCTTCTTGACTATGCGCAGCTATGGCGTCCAACTCGGTCGTTGAGAGCAAGAAGCCACCGGCTCGAGTACTACCTGCGTCCTCCTGAGGTTGAGAGGAGGCTTCGTTGCAAGTGTCATCGCCGTCTGAGACCACGTGCGCGCTAGACTCGTGGTGATGGTCGGCGTCGCTGTCCTCCCCGAGTGCCTTCGCTGCTGCCGCTGCAGAGGCATCGTAGGTGCCCGTATCGCCCATGAGCTCGTCCTTCTCCGGCGGCCCCGACAACGCCGACTCCAACTGCTTCTTGAGCTCCCGGTTCTCCACGTGAAGGTCGAGGTTCTCCTTCTCCAGATACGAGACGTTCTCGCTCTTCTGCTCCCGGAGCTTCACCATGGCGTCCTGCACAGACGCCACCTGCGCCTCCAGCCTCTCCACCAACTCCATCTTCTCCTTCACCAGCGCTTGCATCTCGTGGATCTCGTGCTCCGCCTTCTCGCGCTCGTCGCCCAGGGCCGCGCGCATCTCCGCCTTCATGTCTGCTGCTCGCTCCGTCTCGGCTCGCAGAGCACCGCGGAGCTCCTCGACGTGCTCCTTGAGCAGCTTCAGTTCCTCGTCCTTGTTCTCCACTAGCCGCTGCTGCTTCTCCTGGCGACTCTCTTGGGACTGCGCCAACGCTTGCTCAGCCTGAACCAAGTCCTTCTGCAGCTGCTGCACCTTGGTCTGCAAGTCCTGTCGGTCCTTCTTTAGCTTCCGGAACAGATCCAGCGTCTCGGTCGTCATCTTCACCTTCTCCAGCTTGTCAATGCGAGCCTTCTGCTTCTCCACGAGCTGCTCCATGCTCTCCTGGGCTAGCTGAGCCTGCACCAGTTGGTTGTGGTACTCGACGGCCTCCACTTGGGAAGACTTCAGCGACTCCGCGAGGCTCTCGTACTCCTTTCGATACTTCCCCACGTCATTCTCAGTCATCTCCAACTGAGTCTCCGTCTCCTTCAGCTTCCCTTGGTAAGCAGCTTGCTGTGCCTGTGCAGTTGCGCACTTCTGGGAGAGCTCTTGGATCTCGTTCCGGAGCTGCTCCTCGACGTCGCCACGCTGGGACTCCAGAGCGGCATACTTCTCCTCCAGCAGTCGACGTTCATCGTCCAGCTCCTCGCACTTGGCTTGCAGCGCCTTCTGTTGGTTCCTGACCTGAACTTGCCACTCCTCCTGCTCACCAGCTTGGCTCTCGAGTTCCTCTTCCTTCGCTTTGGCGGCGCGCTTGAGCTCTTTGACTTCAGCATTGGTCTCCTCAATCACCGAGCGGAGCCGGTGAATCTCACCATCCGCGTTCTTCTGGTACTCCTCGAGCTCGTTCTGCGCTTCCTGGAACTGCTCGCGCATACTTTCCATTTGAAGCACCAGTTCCTGCTGCCTCTCTTCCCATGCAGCATTCGCCGCCTCCAGCTCCTGTTGAACCGCTTCTTTTTGCTCTGAGAGCTCTGCATACGATTGTTTCGCCTTCTGTAGCTCGTCAGCGTGGGCCTCCATCTCCTGCTTCGAAGCTTCAGCGCTGGTGTGGAGCGAGGTTATCTCCTCGTGAAGACGCTTCTGTTGTGCCAGCAAGCGCGCGAACTCCCTCTCCGCCATCGCTTGCTTCTTGTTCCAGCTTTCATCCTGCTGGCGCAGCTCTTCCCGAGCCTCAGTCAGCTCGTTCTCCAGTGTTGTTACCTTAGCTTGGAGTTCGATCTGCTTCTCCCTGGACTCGACAAGTTCCATCGCATCGCTTGGCATGCTCACGCCATTCGCGCTCATCATCAGCTGCTGCTGAAGCGCAGAGATCTTTTCCTCGAGCGCCATCTCTTTGCCTTCAGCAGCCACAAGGCGCTGCTTACTTTGCAGACGCATCTCCTGCTGCTCCTCGTTTGATCTTGCCAGGGCATCCGCCAAACTCGCTAGCTCCTTGTCCTTGGCTTCTTGCGTGCGAGCTGCCGAGTCCAGGTCTGTTTCCAGCGTCTTTATCTTCTCCAACAAGTCCGCGATCGTATCCGAGCTATCCTTTGCCTCCTTGCGCAGCACCGACAGGGTTTCTTTGTACGACTGCACATCAAGCTCAAGCTTCTCGCGTTGCTTGGATTCGCTCTCGAGGCGTTGTTGAAGCTGCTCCAACTCCGGGGCATTGCTATCCCTACCAGGATTAAGGGCTGTATCGCGATGTTGCAGCTCATCCACGATCGCAGCGTGGTCGGCCTGCAAAGCTGTCAAAGCAATTTGAATGCTTTCAACGTTCTTCTCAAGCTCGTCCTTGCTGGCTTCGAGGGCCGCCTTTGCAGACTGGACCTCTTCAAGCTGCGCCTGCAATGTAGCAATAGTCTCCGAAGAAGACGAGGCTACCTGCTGCACCTCCCGCAGCTTGATCTCCTGTTCATCGGCTGACATCGCGAGTTTCATCTTCTCTTCGGACACTTCCATCAGTTGGGCTTCCAAAGCCCGCAGCTCCTCCACGCAATCATCGCGCTCACGTGACACCTTTTCCAGATCGTCCGCTAGCCGCTTAAAGTCCTCGTTCAGCGCGTCAAAGCGTTGCTGTGAGTCGTCCTCAGATGGAGGAGACGAGCTAGCGTCTTGCTTCTGCTCCTCCAACGCCATGAGCCGAGCCTCGCGTTCCTGCATCAAGTTGTCGAAATCAGCCTGAAGCTTGTCGAAGGCAGCCTGGAGATCGCCTTGGTCGGGAGATTCCTCGAACGCCTTCAAACGCTCGTTCGCCGCTGCAAGTTCAGACTCGACGGCAGAAAGCTTTTCAGTCAGCTGTTCTACCTCCGATCGCAGGCCTTGGGCCTCCATCTCCTTAGCTTCCTTTCCGCTCGAATCTGTATTAGTGCTGGCATCTTCAACCTCAGCCTCAGTGGTAGTTGTCGAAGTGCTTTCTGAAGCAGTCAGCTCTTCGATTATAGCCTGGAGCTGCTCCCTCTCAGTCGTGAGCTCTTGGATGGTCTGTTGCAGTGCTTCAACCTCGCCGCTTTGCTTTGTCTGCATCTGTGAAATCGTCATAAGCTTCGCATCGAGCTGTGCCTGTAGGACCTTGGCAACATGCTCCTTCTGCATCAGCGTCTCGCTCAGTTCATACCCTTGACGTTGCGAAGCTTCCAGCTCCTCGCTCACTCTCTCGGATTCCGCCTGCAGCTCCTGCTTCTCCAGTGCCGTTCTCTCGTGATCGGCCTGCAACTGCGCCAGCTCCTGCATGATGTTCTGCAGCTCTCCTGCCAGTTCTTCCACTATCGCATTATCGTTTTGTTTGTCCACACCTGGGCTTTCGGATGCTGAGGCAACCTGCCGCTCCAGCTCGCTAATCTTCTGCTGCAACAGGGTCTTCTCCTCCTCCAAGTCCTCCACGCGCGAATCCTGCTCCGACGGGTTGGTATCACTTTGCTGCGACTTTAACGAAGCGATTTCATCGTCGCGCTCCGCTACCGCCAGCTGAAGCACAGTCTGTGACGCCTTCATTTCTTCCAGCATGCCTTCCAACTCATTCCTTCTGCTGCGCATTGCCAAATATTCTTCATTGTCATCGGACGTCGTCACCCCCGACTGAACAGACTCCAACACAGCTTGAAGCTCACCCTTTTCGCTATCAAACCGTTGCTGGGATTCCTTCGCCTCGAGCTTCAAGATCTGCAGCTGACAACGAAGCGAATCCAGCTCTTCTGCGGCCATTTGCTGCGAGTAAATCGTCTGCATCTCCAGATCCTGGTAGCGCTGTTTCTCCTTCGCTAATGCCTCCTGCGAGGAACTCATCTCCCCCATCATCTCTTCAACGAGAGCACTGGCTTTCGAGGCGTTTTCCGAGCAATCACACTCCAAATTTCCCTCACTCAGCTTCGTTCGCAGCTCCTTCAACTCCTGCTCCAGCACCAACTTCTCGTCCAAGACAGTTCTTGATTGCATGTTCGCCACCATCAGAGCTCGAATATCCGCTAGCACGTCAAACGTGCGAGCGCGCTCAGCGTCACCCAGCGACGCGCTCTTCTCGTTCGCAATCGCTTCGATCGCCGCGACGGGGTCCTCCACATTTTCGTCGCGAAAGTTCCGAAGCACGGCTGAGAACAGATCCAGCACCTCCTTGCTGCCGTCCAAGGATTTAACGCTCTGGCCGGCTTGGTTCGGCTTGAATTTGCTCGTAGCAGACTCCGATGCCGGGTTTTCACCGTCTTCGTCGGCATCTTCGTAGACGCGGAAAAGCGTTTGGGGGTCCAGATTCTCCTTCGCCGGAGAGCGGCGTTTGCGCGGATACCGGTGTGGGGAGAGCGGGGCGCGCGCCTTGATGCTGGCGGGGAAATCTCCCGGCCCCCACGTCTCTCTCGTGCGCTTGCCGCGCTGCGCGCGCTTCTTGTCCACGGCGGCCTTGGCCACTGAGGTGCTGGAGAGGATGAGTCCCTTGAGCCGCGCCATCTCCGTCTTGTTGTGGTTCTTCTCGCTCAGCAGCGCCTCGTTCTCTGCCTTGAGCGCGTTGAGCGCCTCCGAGTTGACGAGCTTCTTGAGCTCGTTGACCTCGCGCTTGAGCCGGCGCAGCTGCGTCTGGTCGTCCAGCACCTCATTCACGGTGGCCGACGTCTTGATGTCCTTGGCGCGCGCCGCGAACTGCAGCGTGCTCTTGGTCTCCTCAATGTACCGGTCGCTCGGCGTCACGCAGCAGATGATGAGCGTGCGCGTGTTGCCGCCCAGCGAGTTCTGCAGCAGGCGCGTGAGCTTGCTGTCCCGGAAGGGCGCGTTCTGGCCGCTGCCGCCGGCGCTGGCCAGCGAGTTGATGACGCGCGCCAGCGTGAGCAGCGACTTGTTGATGTTGCCGGCCTCGCGCTGGCGGATACCTTCGTTGCCCGTGTGGCGCAGGCTCTCGGAGCCGGCCAGGTCCACGAGGTTGAGGCTGGCCACGAGCACGGCGCCGTTGACGTCCTCCTCGGACAGGCGCCGGCCGGGCGCGTCGCTCTTGTGCTTGCTCTCGACCACGATGCGGAAGACGCTGTGCGAGCGCGAGCTCTTGTCGTTCATGGCCGTGTGGCCCACCGTGCGGTTGCGGTTGCCCGTCTGCAGCAGCGTCACGATGTCCTCGTAGTTGGTGATGATCTCCTCGTGGCACTCGACGTACACGCCCTTGCGCGGGTCCTCGCGCAGCTTGAGGTTGTCGCTGGGCCCGAGCAGGTCGCGCACGACCTCATTGTAGATCTCGAGGAACGACACGCGCAGCAGGAAGTCCCGGTCCGCGCAGCTCTCGATGAAGCCGAAGATGTCCTCGACCGCCAGCTGCAGGATGCCCGGCCGCGTGCTCTCGGCCTCGGGCTCGAACGGCATGCCGCCGTCGCCCTGCATGGTGAACGTCTTGCCCGAGCTCGTCTGCCCGTACGCGAAGATGGTGCCGTTGATGCCGCCCAGCGTCGAGCGCACGATGCGCCGCGCCACGCGCGCGTAGATGTCGCGCGCGTCGCTGCCGGCCTCGAAGATGTGGTCGTACTGGAACGTGTTGCCCTTGCCGGCCAGCGGCGCGCCCGTCGCCGGGTCCGTCAGCGCCACGGCGTTCAGCGCCGGCACGCAGCTCAGCGCCGGCGCGTCCTGCGCGCGCGTCTCGCGCTCGTTCATGGGGCGCACGCGGATGCACACGGCGATGTTCTCCGCCTCGGCGGGCGCCGACACGGCGCCGGCAGCGACCGTCATGCCGTCCGTCATGCCTGCCTGCCTGCCTTCCGACGTGGAGGGTTTGAAACTGGACGCGGGTGAGTTTTGAGTTTTGGCGCGCTTTTCGGGTGACTAGGTTTCAGTATGCTACTTGAAAGTACAGAAACAGGCGCAGTTTTAGCACTGGCATGTGCATGTGTGTACCGGCATCCTCCGTTCTTTACTGACAGTCATGTTTGGCTACAAAAAGTGGGTAAAAAAGTGATGTCTGCCGCGCATTGTGAAACACACAAAAAGCTCATTGTTTCATCGCAGACCGAGCTGCTCTCGATGGTATCATGCTCGACAGCCACAGCTCAAATTCTATGATCTATCAGACTCAGGCTAGAAAGCTGAGCGATAATTTCACTAGCTACGTCTACTTTCTTCACTAAAGGCTGTGACATACATGTAGTCATCGCCTGCTTCCAGGGCCTGTAAGTGCAACATCAAAGCCGAATGGTGGTACGCCCTCCCCACGCAGTTCATTCATCCATACCACGAGCTCCTGCTCAGCTTCAGCGGGGAGGGCCATACCTGTGCCGCTCGTCCGAGCATTCTTTTTGAGAGCTGTCTGTCCATGAGCTTTCGCCGCGGTTCGTGGACAAAATCATCTAGACCGCTGTAGAAGGCGTTAAAAGCCGCGGTGATGTCACCGCACTGTGCCCAGGCATCGAGCACCTCGAGCTTTCTGCTGCCGTAATTGCGGTGCGTCTGCGAGCAGGTAGCATCTTGTGGATTGGGAAATGACCCATTTTTGTGTTGTCAGTTAAAAGTGGAGGATGACAATAAGGTATTTTGATTGGCTATAATTGATTGTCAGTAATAAGCGAACGTCAGTAATGCCGGTATTGATGAGAGTTGGCACAACTGGACCGGCCTATACAAAACTACGAGACAGACTAAGCTCACTTACATATAGGGTCTACATCTACAGTAGGTCTTTTCCACTCGTGGACTTGATTCACATGCGCAGCTTGCGGCCGCCACCGCTGACCAAAGCTGCGGCCTTCTGGGCCGCGGTGGTCACACTGCCGTCCGTCGTGTAGGTCATGTGCGCCATGGTGTTGAAGCCGTTGCCGCAGACCGGGTCGCCCTGGGCGCAGAACTCGATGGCCTTGGGGCCGTACGTGGGGCTGGAGCTCTCGATCGTCTGGCCCATGAGCTTCAGCGGGTTGCCGAACGTCACGACGGCCTTGATGCGGGGCGCCAAGTTTTCCGGGATGGTGTCACCGGATCCGAGCGACGTCTTGATGCCGATGGCGATGTCCGTGACGCTGGCTCCCTGGGAGTAGCCACCGAGCACGAAAACCGTGTTGGGGCACTCCTGAGCGACGGACACGACGTGGTTGGTCATGTCGGTGGCGCCGGGTCCAGCGCTGCTCTGGTCCATCGAAGCCATGTAGTTGACAGCGTAGGACGAGACGCTTTTGCCGCCGAGGTTGGAGGTGATGCCACTGACCAGCGGCTCACCACAGATGCCGAGTCCTTGCATCTCACCACTACCGCGGGCGAAGACGACGTGGACGTCGGAGCACTCCGCGCTGACGAGGTTGATGGGGTTGGCAAATAGCAAGATGGACCCGAGGACGGCGGAGAACGGAGTGGCGAACTTCATTTTTGTAAGGGGATACTTCAAGTTGCTTCGGGTGTTTCTGGTCGAGCGAAAAACCAACAATGAACATGCTCGTCGGCTGAATATTAAGATGGAAAAGCGATGCCGACACGCCTTGACTCCTCTGCGTATTGCTAGTCGTATCATACTGTAGATACAGTTGAAAGGCTAGATGTACGCCAATCTGCTGGTGGGCTAACGTATAAGCCAAGCGTGTGGCTCCCGTCAGAGGCAGCCATTACGCCCTCTCTGTGCATACGTATGTAGTTGGGATTACAGGATGGACGAATGCCAAGCTGAGGCGGTCTGTAAGCGAAGAAGGGCACGCAACATGGCTAGAAGCTCATATCGGTGGCTCTTTCCTGGCAGCTGTGTGTCTGCTGCTACCGTTCGGTGCCTCCAAACAGCAAAAACGAAGGTGCTTAGTACTAACTGAATATGCTTACAGCAAAACCTGTGCTGCCACTACTGGTACTTAACTAATGAAGTTCCTGTTCGTATCATCACCACGACGCAGGGTCTGTGCAGCTGGTGCCGCATCGCTACCAAGTAGGGATAATACTTGCGGTCCACCACACGGATGAATAACAGAGCAGGACTCGGATGCACACTCGATCGTTCTCCCCGGCACGGCGATGCCGCCGTGCTACCAGGAGAGCAGCATTTACACTAAGCTTCGAGATGGTACAAATCGTACGTAAATACCAATGGGTTCCTGGATTGATTCCTGTTGAGCTGGTGTTGGTCGAGTTGGCGTTGGTGCCCAACCATAGAAAAAGATGAATGTGTACAATTGCCAGCCGACCCGCCTTATGGTCGCTGGTCAACACTTGGCTGAGCATATCCACTGATTGTCGTCGACTTTTTCGTACTTTACGTTCGTTTAAGGCTTGACTCACTTCAACACCCGAAGCAAATCTACAGCAGACGTCCGATAAGATCGCCCCGATTGCGGGCAGCACATGCGCCGCATAGCGTCCGCATATATCCGATAGAGTTTTCAGTAGAGGATTGACACCTTCATGACAGCTACCTACCTAATACGCAGGGGATATATATCTGTTGGCCGCCGCCAAAGTACACAGCACAGCGATTCTTCATTCCAAATTCTGACCCGTTCAACGCACCCCTCTGCAATATCCAACGACCATGAAGTTTGCTTCAGCCTGCTCCACACTGCTCGGATCCCTTGTCGTCTTGGTCGCGAATCCAGCCAACCTCGTCAGCGCAGAGTGCTCCGACGTCCACGTCGTCTTCGCCCGCGGCAGTGGTGAGATGCAAGGACTCGGCATCTGTGGTGAGCCGCTGGTCAGTGGCATCACCTCCAACCTCGGCGGCAAAAGCGTCTCGTCCTACGCTGTCAACTACATGGCTTCGATGGACCAGAGCAGCGCTGGACCCGGCGCCACCGACATGACCAACCACGTCGTGTCCGTCGCTCAGGAGTGCCCCAACACGGTTTTCGTGCTCGGTGGCTACTCCCAGGGAGCCAGCGTCACGGACATTGCCATCGGCATCAAGACGATGCTTGGGTCTGGTGACACCATCCCGGAAAACTTGGCGCCCCGCATCAAGGCCGTCGTGACGTTCGGCAACCCGCTGAAGCTCATGGGCCAGACGATCGAGAGCTCCAGCCCCACGTACGGCCCCAAGGCCATCGAGTTCTGCAACCAGGGCGACCCGGTCTGCGGCAACGGCTTCAACACCATGGCGCACATGACCTACCCGATGGACAGCGTGTCGGGTGCTGCCGAAAAGGCGGCTGCGTTGGTTAAGGGCGGTGGCCGCAAGCTGCGTGCCTAATCGCATCGAGCTCGATTGGTGTTGTGTGTTTCATCGTCAAGTCAGCATTTTAGTACCAATGGTTAGTACGAATCTGTCATTCAATAGAAGTATCTGTCACTACTCAGTCGTCGTCGTTCGTGCAGTGATGTTGCTGTGTTGCATGTTGTCGAAAATGTGGGTAAGTATAAGTGTAACAGGCAGAAGGCCTTGGAGCTGAACCTTCGGCGACAATAAGCTTTTGTGTAGGCTTTATTACTGCTACATGTAATAGTGCATGTGAGCGGATCCATACGGTGCAATACGCGACTATTGCACGGAACTCAAATCCAACACATATATTCAAAGGTCACCATGTCGCGTACGTAACTATAACCTGGACTAACCGTCAGGGCGTACGCGGCCTATGCACGCAGCGCTCTGACTCCACCCTTCACCAGCGCAGCAGCCTTTTGGGCCGCGGTGGTCACACTGCCGTCCGTCGGGTACATCAGGTGAGCCATCATGTTGAAGCCGGCGGCGCACACGGGGTCGCCCTGGTTGCAGAACTCGATAGCCTTGGGTCCGTACGTGGAGCTGGAGCTCGCGATCGTCTGGCCGAAGAGCTTGAGCGGGTTGCCGAACGTCACGATGGCCTGCGACTCGGGGATGACGCTACCAGAGCCCAGAGTCGTCTTGATGCCGATGGAGATGTCCGTGACGCTGGCGCCCTGCGAGTAGCCGCCCAGCACGAACACGGTGTTGGGGCATTCCTGAGCCACGGACACGACGTGGTTGGTCATGTCGGTGGCGCCCGCACCAGCGCTCGTCTGGTCGTACGCAGCGAGATAGTTGACTGCGTAGGACGAGACGCTCATGCCGCCGAGGTCGGAGGTGAGGGTGCTGACGAGAGGCTGGCCAGCCGTGCCCAGTCCGGGCAGCTCGCCGCTTCCGCGGGCGAAGACGACGTGGACGTCAGAGCACTCGGCGTTGACGAGGTGGGCGGGGTTGGCAAGCAGCACGAGCATGGATCCGAGGAAGGCAGCGAACTTCAGGTTGGTGGTAGTTGGCTTGGAGTTGTTGCTTTTAGTCGATCGGGGCGTCGCTTGGTGTGCGTAGTGCAGCGGAAAACGAAGAATGGTAAGTTCATCGTCGAGGACCGCGGCCGTTGAGATCCCAGGCGAGTCGGCCGTGTACTTCTGCTATCTCTGCCGGTAGTGTCCTTTTCGTGGTTGGTCGTTGGTGCGCGCGGGCGCATTTCCTGCCATGCTTTTCACCTTGGTGTAGGTACTACGATCAGAACATGCCTAATGTTTCGTATCCGTGTTGTTGTAGACCCGCTACTAGCGATACAGTAGTGTAGTTAGTGTACAGCACCATGGGTATCCAACAAGGCAGAAACCCTCGTCGATGGTACATAACCTGAAGGTTTGGGGGAACCGCCTGCCGGTTCTCACCGAAGAGTTTACGTGCCGAAGTCAGAAGGCACCTACAGTACAGACCGTGGGTGAGTGAGTGAGGTGGAAGCGTGCAAAGCGTTGGCCCTTGACTCACGGCCAACGTCTGGGTTTCTGCACTCACGAACGGTAAAAACACTGACCGTAGCACTCGCTATCCAACATGTTTAACGCCTCGACGAGTCCCGATTACTTGGTATCTTGCCACAAGTGTGCGGATCTTTTCGATCCCCGCACAAGGGGCCTGCCTTTTTCATGTGGTCGTAAGTTACGCCTTGTCCTAAGTCGTGTGCGTGGCCTTGGCACTCGAGGTCGAGCTAGGCCAGCTACTGAACGGCTCGTTCGAAACGAGGGAACGTCTACGTGCAATTGCACGTACCTCCCCTCCCCGCTTGCCGGTACAAGCAGCCCTAGTCTGCTGTAACTCTACTGTCTTGCAAATGACTCGTCGGAGCACCAATGTTGTGACTATTACCTTGGAAAAGGTGTTGATTTTCAAAACACTTGTACTTGGTCTTCATCCATTGAGCCCATGACACACGGACACAAACAGCCAAGCCAAGCCTCACGGATAATACCGCGACTTCCCCGCCCGCCGGTCACTGAACGGTATCTTCCGGTCTTATCGGGCTTTTCATTGATACCAGCTGGTTTCTGGTAACCGGATGTGTGTTCTCGAGTCATCTAACCGGTTTTTAGCGGTACTACATCGGTGTCATCATCTTAGAAGAAGTTTTTTTCATCTTAGATTCCTGTGCGTTTCTTGACGGCGGGATAGATGTGCATCACAAGCCGAGGACGGCAACCAGGCAGCTTAGGCTCTAGAAAATTTAGAACTTTATTGCAAATTGCCCCCCCCCCCCAAAAAAAACAAACAAAAAAGGAGAACAAATCAGTAAAAGTGGCTGGGATGTATTATGGTTTGAGCGCTGGTTGCCAGAAGCGATACGGTTTTTCGAGGAAAGCGACACTAGCAAAGTTGCCTGCAGCAAGCATATATAGATAAGACACGGCCTAGCTGGTGTTCAAGAGGATGCCGTCACTGCTGTGGTACATACTTCATGTACATGTATCCATCATGGATGGTGTCCATAGCCTCATGTATGATAGTAATAACGATTACCTTACAAGTAGTTACCTGCTTGTACATCGTGTCGTTCAGTAGGCTTATCGGCTTGCGTCAAACTGCTCAGCTGCATTAGTGGGGGGGGGGCTTTCACAGCAGCGCAGCAATGCTGCCTCGAACACTGGTCGATGTACTATCTATAAGGAAGGAGAAGGGCGTACGCTTATTAATTTCAAGACAAAGCCACAAAACTTGAGAGTGGAACAGCAGTATATGCATGTATTCAACAATCAAAAACACATCGCTTTGTCAGCACAGGCTGCCTGTGCTCAACAATCAAAACAGATACACTTTCTGGATCCAGTCTACATACAACGCGGCATCGCGTACGTCAAAGCGATCGCAGCGTGCTAGCGCTTCCAAGGGCGTTTACGAACGCAGCGATCGGGTGCCACCCTTCACCAACGCAGCAGCATTCTGGGCCGCGGTGGTCACACTGCCGTCCGTCGGGTACATCAGGTGAGCCGCCATGTTGAAGCCGGCGGCGCACACGGGGTCGCCCTGGTTGCAGAACTCGATGGCCTTGGGTCCATACGTGGAGCTTGAGCTCGCGATCGTCTGGCCGAAGAGCTTGAGCGGGTTGCCGAACGTCACGACGGCCTTGATGCGCGGTGCCAAATTCTCCGGGATAGTTTTACCAGCGCCGAGCATCGTCTTGATGCCGATGGAGATGTCCGTGACACTGGCACCCTGAGAGTAGCCGCCCAGCACGAACACGGTGTTGGGGCATTCCTGAGCCACGGACACGACGTGGTTGGTCATGTCGGTGGCGCCCGCACCAGCGCTCGTCTGGTCGTACGCAGCGAGATAGTTGACTGCGTAGGACGAGACGCTCATGCCGCCGAGGTTGGATTCGAGGCCCTTGACAAGAGGCTGACCAGCCGTGCCCAACCCAGGCAGCTCTCCGCTTCCGCGCGCAAACACGACGTGAACGTCAGAGCACTCGGCGGTGACGAGGTTGGTGGGGTTGGCAAGCAGCACGAGCATGGATCCGAGGAAGGTGGCGAACTTCATGTTGTTGTTGTTGGGGTGGCGGGGGTTGAGACGGGGTGGTTTCGAGTGTCGGAACTTGGCTCGGTGTGTACAGTGCACTGGAAAAGGAAGAATGAGAAGCTGTCGACTACCAAAGCTGCGGACTTTGTATTTCATCGAAGCTGATGAAGCTGCGCCTTCCTCTTCTGTCTGATGGCGGGCAGTACGAGCGTCGGTCGGATCTTGCCAGGCGCGGCCACCACGCCCTCTCCGGATACTTCAAGATGAGGTGTAGATAGACTTCATATAATATACAGTAGTAGCTCAGGTACCAACGTTTACGAAACCAAAAAGCTGGAATCACAGATGGATGCTGCGTCCAAAAGTTGAGTCGCCCTGTCATCGAAGAAGCGCACGCACCATGGCTGGAGATCATATCGGTGGCTGTTTCCGAGCGACCACACAGCTGTACGTCGCCACAGTCTGGTGCCCTCGAACAGCAAAAGGGACATGTCGAACGAGGCGAACGCGTTCAGCGCCATCGGCGAGGTACATGTATTCCAATCCATACACATCCTGGCATCCTGACCTTGCGACCAGTGAATCTTGCATCGTGGCGTCAATAACAGTGTACCACCGCGTCGCTACCTATGCATTTTGTTATGTGGCGACGTGGGCTCGACTATTCGGTTGAGAAACATTCGGCTCGTCCTCCTCCAACAGCGCGATCTGGCAAAGCCACCACTCACCAAGAAAGTTTCGTGTGCATTCGACATAGTGTAGTGCACACCTTCTACGAGAGCCGGGCTCCTGGGCTCTTGGGTGAACCCAAAAGTCGCGAGCTCGGGCTCCTGGGCTCTTGAGTTCAATAGGTTAAGTGAAAGGAGCCCTCCAGAACTGTGAGCCCTCGTTAAGGGCTCCCCCCTCACCTGTGTTAAATATCTCGCTGATGGTTGGCCGTCATTGAAGTATCTCCAGGTTCTAACCTGAAAAGGCATAGGAAAGAGGGCTTCTCCTTGAGGGGAAGGAAGGACGATCGGCGACGCTGGGGTGGCCTCGGAGCGGCTGTACACATATGAGCGGCGCGAGATCTTCTAGTGTGGTGATCTTTGAGCTCGATCTTCTAGCGTGGCGCATCGATCACGCGAAGTTGCTCGCCTTAAGTCTAGGTAAAATTGGCCAATCAGATATTACTATGAAGAGCCCGTCATAGATTTGAAGCTAAATTTGGGGAGCCCTGGAGGGGAGCCAATGGGGAGCCCGAACCAGGGCTCCTTGATCTCGTACTTACCATGAGGGAGCCCGTTTTGTGCGACTTTTGGCTCTCGTATTAGGGGGAGCCCACTCGTAGAAGGTGTGGTGTAGTGATAATTCATCTCTTTCCACAGTCGTACTCCACCACTGCACCACAAAAGAGATGTACTGCTGAAATACAAGTACAGTACTTGTTGTACTTAGTACTGTAGTTCTGGTCGCGTTTTATCACGTCCCTTTTGGTGTTCGAGGGCACCAGACTGTGGCGACGTACAGCTGTGTGGTCGCTCGGAAACAGCCACCGATATGATCTCCAGCCATGGTGCGTGCGCTTCTTCGATGACAGGGCGACTCAACTTTTGGACGCAGCATCCATCTGTGATTCCAGCTTTTTGGTTTCGTAAACGTTGGTACCTGAGCTACTACTGTATATTATATGAAGTCTATCTACACCTCATCTTGAAGTATCCGGAGAGGGCGTGGTGGCCGCGCCTGGCAAGATCCGACCGACGCTCGTACTGCCCGCCATCAGACAGAAGAGGAAGGCGCAGCTTCATCAGCTTCGATGAAATACAAAGTCCGCAGCTTTGGTAGTCGACAGCTTCTCATTCTTCCTTTTCCAGTGCACTGTACACACCGAGCCAAGTTCCGACACTCGAAACCACCCCGTCTCAACCCCCGCCACCCCAACAACAACAACATGAAGTTCGCCACCTTCCTCGGATCCATGCTCGTGCTGCTTGCCAACCCCACCAACCTCGTCACCGCCGAGTGCTCTGACGTTCACGTCGTGTTTGCGCGCGGAAGCGGAGAGCTGCCTGGGTTGGGCACGGCTGGTCAGCCTCTTGTCAAGGGCCTCGAATCCAACCTCGGCGGCATGAGCGTCTCGTCCTACGCAGTCAACTATCTCGCTGCGTACGACCAGACGAGCGCTGGTGCGGGCGCCACCGACATGACCAACCACGTCGTGTCCGTGGCTCAGGAATGCCCCAACACCGTGTTCGTGCTGGGCGGCTACTCTCAGGGTGCCAGTGTCACGGACATCTCCATCGGCATCAAGACGATGCTTGGCGCTGGTAAAACTATCCCGGAGAATTTGGCACCGCGCATCAAGGCCGTCGTGACGTTCGGCAACCCGCTCAAGCTCTTCGGCCAGACGATCGCGAGCTCAAGCTCCACGTATGGACCCAAGGCCATCGAGTTCTGCAACCAGGGCGACCCCGTGTGCGCCGCCGGCTTCAACATGGCGGCTCACCTGATGTACCCGACGGACGGCAGTGTGACCACCGCGGCCCAGAAGGCGGCTGCGTTGGTGAAGGGTGGCACCCGATCGCTGCGTTCGTAATCACCTACGAAACGCTAGGTTGTCTACCTATTGCATATGAGTTTGGCGGGCTCAATGCTCTGCTGTATGTAGAATGCGTCCAAAAAGTGTATCTGTTCTGATTGTTGAATACGTCGAGTTGCTCAATTTTCGGGTTGTGTTGTCATTGGTAGAACAACCCATCGATTGGTTGCTCAGCCCCCATGCCCACTTTTCAACCTCCTAAGAAACAGCACAAAACTTTGATGTCGCTACTGCCTTTTAAGTAAGGTCTCATAACATGGCAGCGCTTGAGCCCCAAGTTGAGGGCAGATCTACAACAGAAGGCTGATAAGATCACCCGATTGCGGACAGCACATGTACCGGTATACTATAGCACCAACATGCTCAGGTTGTAGTAGAGGACCGACACCCACAACCCAGGCATGCCCCTTGACGCTGGCGCTGGCACACCGTGCTGCGGCTCTTCATTTCAAAAGCTGACCCGTTCAACGCACCCCACACAACAGCCCCCCCCCCCCTTCACCTCCATAACAGCGCGACGACCATGAAGTTTGCTTCGGGTATGGCCGTGGCTGGGTGCCTTGGCACGATCATCGCTGATGTCATTGGCGTTGCGATTCTCCTGTACGAGGAGCGCGGCCACCCCACGCCGCCCACGCCCGATGTGAGTAGACCAAGGAGGAAGTAAAAAAATCGGCCCGAGTATTTTTTTGATAAGTTATCAATGGTAACTTGGCATCCGATACTTAATTAAGCAATGGGCCATTGCATTGCCAATGGCTAAACCACAGACTGTGCTGTAAACATGACTTGATCTTTTTTTAAGTTACTGTATTCTGTTACCGGTACGATGTCACTATCCTATCACTTGGCCACGATAAGGCCGTATCTACGCACGCAGCGCCCTGCCTCCCTTCACCAACGCAGCAGCCTTCTGGGCCGCAGTGGTCACACTGCCGTCGGTCACGTACATCAGGTGGGCCGCCATATTGAAGCCGGCAGCGCACACCGGGTCGCCCCTGTTGCAGAACTCGATGGCCTTGGATCCGTACGTAGGGCTCGCGCTCGCAATCGTTTGACCGTAGAGCTTGAGAGGGTTGCCAAACGTCACGACGGCCTTGATGCGGGGCGCCAGCGACTGCGGGATGACGCTGCCAGAGCCAAGAGCCGTCCTGATACCGAGGGCGATGTCCGTGACACTCGCACCCTGAGAGTAGCCACCGAGCACGAAAACCGTGTTGGGGCACGCGTTCGCCACGGACACGACGTGGTTGGTCATGTCGGTGGCGCCAGGTCCAGCGCTAGTCTGGTCGTACGCGGCGCGGTAGTTGACCGCGTAGGACGAGACGCTCTTGCCAGGGAGGTTGGAGGCGATGCCGCGGACGAGGGGTTGGCCGGTGATTCCGAGGCCGGGGGCCTCGCCGCTTCCGCGGGCGAAGACGACGTGGACGTCAGAGCACTGGGCGTCGACGAGGCTGGTGGGGGAGGCGAGCAGCACGAACAGGGATCCGAGGAGGGCCGTGAACTTCATGGTGCTTTGGTGATGGAGGTGGTGGTGGCTTCGGGTCGCGTTGCTTGGTGTGTGTAGAACAACGGAAAATGAAGAGTGAAGAGATCGCCGTAGCAAGTCGACCCCGGGCGAGTCGCTGGTTTGATACAGTATTGCTGACGCGTTCGTTCCGGCTTGCTAGTCGTCCGGTCCTGTTCTTGTGGGTCGCTGCCTGGGGGCACTCACCTTCTTACCAGCCGGCCATCGACGCCAAGGATTTGAGGCGCTAAAGGTTAGGTTTGTCGTCTTGCTGTACGATCAAGATCCATTTTGGATTGCTTCGCACTGCGAAGTTCGCAGTGTGCTTACTGTACTATGGTGTGTGTTGTAAGACCGCCTTCGGTGCATCGATTGCAGGCAGAAAGGGATTTGTCGGTCGTGCAGGGCCCCAAGTATTCGGAGACCACATGACGCGCTCGCACCGAAGGACCGGCGTGCTATGTCAACGGAGGTGGACAGGTACCGGTCAACCTGTCGGTCAAATCGGAAAGCACGCGTCCCCATTTGGTACATGCACTGCAACTACATGTATGGCTGACGCACTCTGCCCGACCAAGGTCGCCCTATCCTATGGCGTGGGTGCAGCACTGTTGATGGTTGTGAGCGGAACTTGCATCGTGCTGATCACGTGGGCTGCACAGCTGGGAATCGCGCGCGAGGCACTCCCTCGCTACATCATAACGTTTGGTCCAGTTGCCGAGGGTGGCTGACTCAAAATATGCAGGGGCACGCAGGATATCGTACCGACCGTATTCGACTTTTGCCCGGATGTATCGTTATCTTGCCAGCACCCCGCCGCCTCCAATGATGCTACTACAGTAGCTGCAGCTGAGTGCACACACTGTAGAATTACAGCGAATGAGTTGGGCGCTACCGAAGTACGGACAGTGTTGGCTCACTGCGTCAATCTCTTGACTTGTGCGCTCGAACGGTAAATGTGAGGCAATATCTCTACCCAAAAGCGCGGTCTATTTCTGACAAGTGTCCATTACTTGGCGAGTTACTAACTGTTTAGACCTTTTTCGGTTCCCGCACAACGACGCTTTTTCATGTGGTCGTAAGTTCTGAGTTGTGTATAGCCACCGGTGTTCGAGCCTCGAACTAGCCAGCTCCATGGTGTCTGGACGCCTAATTCACTCCCCCCTCTCTCTCTCTTACGACTGCACCAACGACAAAGCACTGTCATGCCAGCGTTGTAGACCAAACTCTGCTCTTGCTATTCGTTCTTTCGCAAATATAGGCTTAGTACTGTGCCGATGCGTCTTGAGTACCGTGTCGGGATAACCAAGCGTCCTCACCCTCGAGCTGACTCAATCTACTGCAAAGTACGGGCTCCACATGTGCAGGAAACCATGAAGGCTTTCACGTGCACTCCGGCACTCTTTGACCACAAACAAGGCTTTACACCTACTGTACCGGTATCTTTCGGTCCTTATCGGGCTGTGTCGGACGGCTGGTTTCCTCGACGGAGTCTAAAAACCAGCTGTATTTAAGGTACAGCTCGTCCAGTGTAGAGTGCAACTTAACCAAAATCGAAACCAACAGTAAAAAGCCCCGCGTAGTTACAGTGAAGTTACCTTTAAGAAATTGCATTGCAGCCCGCATTAATGAATCGAGTCCGTCAGTATAGCAAAAACATCCACAGTGTATCTTTTTTTTAATACACGATCTGCACTACAGGGCGCGACTTATTGACATAATAACACGGACACCACTACCGCCGGCAAACACCAACTAGGCACGCAGCTTGCGGCTGCCGCCCTTGACCAACGCTGCAGCCTTTTCGGCCGCACCCGACACGCTGTCCATCGGGTAAGTCATGTGCGCCATCACGTTGAAGCCGTTACCGCAGACCGGGTCGCCCTGGTTGCAGAACTCGATGGCCTTGGGGCCGTACGTGGGGCTGGAGCTCTCGATCGTCTGGCCCATGAGCTTCAACGGGTTGCCAAACGTCACGACGGCCTTGATGCGGGGCGCCAAGTTCTCCGGGATGGTGTCACCAGACCCAAGCATCGTCCTGATACCAATCGCAATGTCCGTGACACTGGCCCCCTGCGAGTATCCACCAAGCACGAAAACCGTGTTGGGGCACTCCTGAGCCACGGACACGACATGGTTGGTCATGTCGGTGGCGCCGGGTCCAGCACTGGTCTGGTCCATTGAAGCCATGTAGCTGACCGCGTACGAGGACACGCTTATTCCCCCGAGGTTGGAGGTGATACCGCTGACAAGCGGCTCACCGCAGATGCCGAGTCCTGGCATCTCACCACTGCCGCGAGCGAAGACGACGTGGACGTCAGAGCACTCCGCGTTGACGAAGTTGGATGGGTTTGCGACCAAGACGAGGAGAGATCCGAGCATCGTCGTGCACGCCGAAGCAAACTTCATGGTCGTCGCGCTGTTATGGAGGTGAAGGGGGGGGGGAGGCTGTTGTGTGGGGTGCGTTGAACGGGTCAGCTTTTGAAATGAAGAGCCGCAGCACAGTGTGCCAGCGCCAGCGTCAAGGGGCATGCCTGTCTTGGCGCTGGGTTGTGGGTGTCGGTCCTCTACTACAACCTGAGCATGTTGGTGCTATAGTATACCGGTACATGTGCTGTCCGCAATCGGGTGATCTTATCAGCCTATCTGCCCTCAACTTGGGGCTCAAGCGCTGACATCGTCGGCGATTCTTGGCTGGTTGACCAGTGACCATGGCCGTGACTCTCATGTGCTACGGACAGCAAGAACCCCAACTGATCCATCCATACCGGGAAGTAATATTATAAATAAATAGAACGCCACATCCTGGCATCCTGGCATCAGCACCAGCTGTGCCATGGACACAAGTGGATCCTGCCATGCTCCCTGCGTGCATGTAGCGTTGATCTGTCGGTTTGTGACGTCGCGACGAGTCCTTCACTGTCGATGCCACTGGAATGTGAAAGGTTTCCTCAGCACACTACACTCGGTACTACCGAGTCGGTAGTACAAGTAAGCCCCCAAGAAATGTAAGCTGTATACACTATATGCTAGTAGTAGGGAAGTGCCCAAGCACCCCGTACATCGCTCGGTACACTTCCGTTTCGCTGTTTTGGGGCACCAGACTGTGGGGGCACACAGCTGTGAGAACAAATAGCCACCCATGACCCCTTGTGGTGCGCCTCTTTGCTGACAGGACCCCTCAACTTTATTCTGCGATAACATTTGTCAGCGATTCGAGCTTGTTATGGTTTCATATACATTGATAACCAGACTATTAAGCTAAGTACGTTATGTGAAGTTGATCGACGCACATTTGAAGTTTTCTGAGAAAGCGGGCGGACAAGGTATTAATTGTGGCTGCGCTTTGACATGACCCTCCACATTGTAGCTGGATTGCCCGCCATCAGGTAGAAGAAGAGGCGGGAGCTCAAGTTGCCCGCCATCAGATAAGAGAGCAGCGCAGCTTCGTCAGCGTAGAAATACCCATCGCTTTGTCGTCGGCCAACCTATCATACCAGTCATCGTTTTTCACTGCACTGCACACACCAAGCAAAGTCCCAGGCGACTCGAAGTATCTTCTCACAACCAACCCGCGACATCAACCATCACCCCCATTACCGTACGCCATGAAGTTCGCCACCTTCCTCGGATCTCTGCTGGTGCTGCTGGCCAACCCCACCAACTTCGTCTACGCTGAGTGCTCTGACGTCCACGTTGTCTTCGCCCGCGGAAGCGGCGAGCTGCCCGGGCTGGGTACGGCTGGCCAGCCTCTCGTCAGCGCACTCTCTTCCAACCTCGGCGGCATGAGTGTCTCGTCCTATGCAGTCAACTATCTCGCTGCCTACGACCAGTTAAGCGCTGGCCCAGGTGCAACCGATATGACCAACCACGTCGTGTCCGTGGCTCAAGAATGCCCCAGCACCGTGTTCGTTCTCGGTGGCTACTCGCAGGGCGCCAGCGTCACGGACATCTCCATTGGCATCAAGACGATGCTGGGCTCGGGTGCCTCAATTCCGGAGGACTTGGCGCCCCGTATCAAGGCCATCGTGACGTTCGGCAACCCGCTCAAGCTCTTCGGCCAGACGATCGCGAGCTCAAGCTCCACGTATGGACCCAAGGCCATCGAGTTCTGCAACCAGGGCGACCCCGTGTGCGCCGCCGGCTTCAACATGGCGGCTCACCTGATGTACCCGACGGACGGCAGTGTGACCACCGCGGCCCAGAAGGCGGCTGCGTTGGTGAAGGGTGGCACCCGATCGCTGCGTTCGTAATCACCTACGAAACGCTAGGTTGTCTACCTATTGCATATGAGTTTGGCGGGCTCAATGCTCTGCTGTATGTAGAATGCGTCCAAAAAGTGTATCTGTTCTGATTGTTGAATACGTCGAGTTGCTCAATTTTCGGGTTGTGTTGTCATTGGTAGAACAACCCATCGATTGGTTGCTCAGCCCCCATGCCCACTTTTCAACCTCCTAAGAAACAGCACAAAACTTTGATGTCGCTACTGCCTTTTAAGTAAGGTCTCATAACATGGCAGCGCTTGAGCCCCAAGTTGAGGGCAGATCTACAACAGAAGGCTGATAAGATCACCCGATTGCGGACAGCACATGTACCGGTATACTATAGCACCAACATGCTCAGGTTGTAGTAGAGGACCGACACCCACAACCCAGGCATGCCCCTTGACGCTGGCGCTGGCACACCGTGCTGCGGCTCTTCATTTCAAAAGCTGACCCGTTCAACGCACCCCACACAACAGCCCCCCCCCCCTTCACCTCCATAACAGCGCGACGACCATGAAGTTTGCTTCGGGTATGGCCGTGGCTGGGTGCCTTGGCACGATCATCGCTGATGTCATTGGCGTTGCGATTCTCCTGTACGAGGAGCGCGGCCACCCCACGCCGCCCACGCCCGATGTGAGTAGACCAAGGAGGAAGTAAAAAAATCGGCCCGAGTATTTTTTTGATAAGTTATCAATGGTAACTTGGCATCCGATACTTAATTAAGCAATGGGCCATTGCATTGCCAATGGCTAAACCACAGACTGTGCTGTAAACATGACTTGATCTTTTTTTAAGTTACTGTATTCTGTTACCGGTACGATGTCACTATCCTATCACTTGGCCACGATAAGGCCGTATCTACGCACGCAGCGCCCTGCCTCCCTTCACCAACGCAGCAGCCTTCTGGGCCGCAGTGGTCACACTGCCGTCGGTCACGTACATCAGGTGGGCCGCCATATTGAAGCCGGCAGCGCACACCGGGTCGCCCCTGTTGCAGAACTCGATGGCCTTGGATCCGTACGTAGGGCTCGCGCTCGCAATCGTTTGACCGCCCCCAAGAAATGTAAGCTGTATACACTATATGCTAGTAGTAGGGAAGTGCCCAAGCACCCCGTACATCGCTCGGTACACTTCCGTTTCGCTGTTTTGGGGCACCAGACTGTGGGGGCACACAGCTGTGAGAACAAATAGCCACCCATGACCCCTTGTGGTGCGCCTCTTTGCTGACAGGACCCCTCAACTTTATTCTGCGATAACATTTGTCAGCGATTCGAGCTTGTTATGGTTTCATATACATTGATAACCAGACTATTAAGCTAAGTACGTTATGTGAAGTTGATCGACGCACATTTGAAGTTTTCTGAGAAAGCGGGCGGACAAGGTATTAATTGTGGCTGCGCTTTGACATGACCCTCCACATTGTAGCTGGATTGCCCGCCATCAGGTAGAAGAAGAGGCGGGAGCTCAAGTTGCCCGCCATCAGATAAGAGAGCAGCGCAGCTTCGTCAGCGTAGAAATACCCATCGCTTTGTCGTCGGCCAACCTATCATACCAGTCATCGTTTTTCACTGCACTGCACACACCAAGCAAAGTCCCAGGCGACTCGAAGTATCTTCTCACAACCAACCCGCGACATCAACCATCACCCCCATTACCGTACGCCATGAAGTTCGCCACCTTCCTCGGATCTCTGCTGGTGCTGCTGGCCAACCCCACCAACTTCGTCTACCCTGAGTGCTCTGACGTCCACGTTGTCTTCGCCCGCGGAAGCGGCGAGCTGCCCGGGCTGGGTACGGCTGGCCAGCCTCTCGTCAGCGCACTCTCTTCCAACCTCGGCGGCATGAGTGTCTCGTCCTATGCAGTCAACTATCTCGCTGCCTACGACCAGTTAAGCGCTGGCCCAGGTGCAACCGATATGACCAACCACGTCGTGTCCGTGGCTCAAGAATGCCCCAGCACCGTGTTCGTTCTCGGTGGCTACTCGCAGGGCGCCAGCGTCACGGACATCTCCATTGGCATCAAGACGATGCTGGGCTCGGGTGCCTCAATTCCGGAGGACTTGGCGCCCCGTATCAAGGCCATCGTGACGTTCGGCAACCCGCTCAAGCTCTTCGGCCAGACGATCGCGAGCTCAAGCTCCACGTATGGACCCAAGGCCATCGAGTTCTGCAACCAGGGCGACCCCGTGTGCGCCGCCGGCTTCAACATGGCGGCTCACCTGATGTACCCGACGGACGGCAGTGTGACCACCGCGGCCCAGAAGGCGGCTGCGTTGGTGAAGGGTGGCACCCGATCGCTGCGTTCGTAATCACCTACGAAACGCTAGGTTGTCTACCTATTGCATATGAGTTTGGCGGGCTCAATGCTCTGCTGTATGTAGAATGCGTCCAAAAAGTGTATCTGTTCTGATTGTTGAATACGTCGAGTTGCTCAATTTTCGGGTTGTGTTGTCATTGGTAGAACAACCCATCGATTGGTTGCTCAGCCCCCATGCCCACTTTTCAACCTCCTAAGAAACAGCACAAAACTTTGATGTCGCTACTGCCTTTTAAGTAAGGTCTCATAACATGGCAGCGCTTGAGCCCCAAGTTGAGGGCAGATCTACAACAGAAGGCTGATAAGATCACCCGATTGCGGACAGCACATGTACCGGTATACTATAGCACCAACATGCTCAGGTTGTAGTAGAGGACCGACACCCACAACCCAGGCATGCCCCTTGACGCTGGCGCTGGCACACCGTGCTGCGGCTCTTCATTTCAAAAGCTGACCCGTTCAACGCACCCCACACAACAGCCCCCCCCCCCTTCACCTCCATAACAGCGCGACAACCATGAAGTTTGCTTCGGGTATGGCCGTGGCTGGGTGCCTTGGCACGATCATCGCTGATGTCATTGGCGTTGCGATTCTCCTGTACGAGGAGCGCGGCCACCCCACGCCGCCCACGCCCGATGTGAGTAGACCAAGGAGGAAGTAAAAAAATCGGCCCGAGTATTTTTTTGATAAGTTATCAATGGTAACTTGGCATCCGATACTTAATTAAGCAATGGGCCATTGCATTGCCAATGGCTAAACCACAGACTGTGCTGTAAACATGACTTGATCTTTTTTTAAGTTACTGTATTCTGTTACCGGTACGATGTCACTATCCTATCACTTGGCCACGATAAGGCCGTATCTACGCACGCAGCGCCCTGCCTCCCTTCACCAACGCAGCAGCCTTCTGGGCCGCAGTGGTCACACTGCCGTCGGTCACGTACATCAGGTGGGCCGCCATATTGAAGCCGGCAGCGCACACCGGGTCGCCCCTGTTGCAGAACTCGATGGCCTTGGATCCGTACGTAGGGCTCGCGCTCGCAATCGTTTGACCGTAGAGCTTGAGAGGGTTGCCAAACGTCACGACGGCCTTGATGCGGGGCGCCAGCGACTGCGGGATGACGCTGCCAGAGCCAAGAGCCGTCCTGATACCGAGGGCGATGTCCGTGACACTCGCACCCTGAGAGTAGCCACCGAGCACGAAAACCGTGTTGGGGCACGCGTTCGCCACGGACACGACGTGGTTGGTCATGTCGGTGGCGCCAGGTCCAGCGCTAGTCTGGTCGTACGCGGCGCGGTAGTTGACCGCGTAGGACGAGACGCTCTTGCCAGGGAGGTTGGAGGCGATGCCGCGGACGAGGGGTTGGCCGGTGATTCCGAGGCCGGGGGCCTCGCCGCTTCCGCGGGCGAAGACGACGTGGACGTCAGAGCACTGGGCGTCGACGAGGCTGGTGGGGGAGGCGAGCAGCACGAACAGGGATCCGAGGAGGGCCGTGAACTTCATGGTGCTTTGGTGATGGAGGTGGTGGTGGCTTCGGGTCGCGTTGCTTGGTGTGTGTAGAACAACGGAAAATGAAGAGTGAAGAGATCGCCGTAGCAAGTCGACCCCGGGCGAGTCGCTGGTTTGATACAGTATTGCTGACGCGTTCGTTCCGGCTTGCTAGTCGTCCGGTCCTGTTCTTGTGGGTCGCTGCCTGGGGGCACTCACCTTCTTACCAGCCGGCCATCGACGCCAAGGATTTGAGGCGCTAAAGGTTAGGTTTGTCGTCTTGCTGTACGATCAAGATCCATTTTGGATTGCTTCGCACTGCGAAGTTCGCAGTGTGCTTACTGTACTATGGTGTGTGTTGTAAGACCGCCTTCGGTGCATCGATTGCAGGCAGAAAGGGATTTGTCGGTCGTGCAGGGCCCCAAGTATTCGGAGACCACATGACGCGCTCGCACCGAAGGACCGGCGTGCTATGTCAACGGAGGTGGACAGGTACCGGTCAACCTGTCGGTCAAATCGGAAAGCACGCGTCCCCATTTGGTACATGCACTGCAACTACATGTATGGCTGACGCACTCTGCCCGACCAAGGTCGCCCTATCCTATGGCGTGGGTGCAGCACTGTTGATGGTTGTGAGCGGAACTTGCATCGTGCTGATCACGTGGGCTGCACAGCTGGGAATCGCGCGCGAGGCACTCCCTCGCTACATCATAACGTTTGGTCCAGTTGCCGAGGGTGGCTGACTCAAAATATGCAGGGGCACGCAGGATATCGTACCGACCGTATTCGACTTTTGCCCGGATGTATCGTTATCTTGCCAGCACCGCCGCCTCCAATGATGCTACTACAGTAGCTGCAGCTGAGTGCACACACTGTAGAATTACAGCGAATGAGTTGGGCGCTACCGAAGTACGGACAGTGTTGGCTCACTGCGTCAATCTCTTGACTTGTGCGCTCGAACGGTAAATGTGAGGCAATATCTCTACCCAAAAGCGCGGTCTATTTCTGACAAGTGTCCATTACTTGGCGAGTTACTAACTGTTTAGACCTTTTTCGGTTCCCGCACAACGACGCTTTTTCATGTGGTCGTAAGTTCTGAGTTGTGTATAGCCACCGGTGTTCGAGCCTCGAACTAGCCAGCTCCATGGTGTCTGGACGCCTAATTCACTCCCCCCTCTCTCTCTCTTACGACTGCACCAACGACAAAGCACTGTCATGCCAGCGTTGTAGACCAAACTCTGCTCTTGCTATTCGTTCTTTCGCAAATATAGGCTTAGTACTGTGCCGATGCGTCTTGAGTACCGTGTCGGGATAACCAAGCGTCCTCACCCTCGAGCTGACTCAATCTACTGCAAAGTACGGGCTCCACATGTGCAGGAAACCATGAAGGCTTTCACGTGCACTCCGGCACTCTTTGACCACAAACAAGGCTTTACACCTACTGTACCGGTATCTTTCGGTCCTTATCGGGCTGTGTCGGACGGCTGGTTTCCTCGACGGAGTCTAAAAACCAGCTGTGTTCGGCTAGGAGGAATGTTAGAGGACTGGTTTTGGCCCTCACCTTTAGCACACAGTTACATGTATTAATACTTTTATGCGGATTTATGAATAGCCACTAGCTCGACGACGAAGAGCCTTTGAACCGGAACTGTATTAATAAGAAACATTCAAGGAAGATAAATGACAGCATGTGTCTGGCGCGCTTCAAGAGCGGCCCTAAAATGTTTGTATCGACAGGTTCTATTGTGGCTGCAGTATCATCTCTCAGTCGTCTTGCAGCAGCCACGATGTAGTCGCTGACGGACACCAGGGATCTAGCCAGCTTTTCGTAGATGAATATGTTATACCCTAACAGCCGGCGCCACCGGGTATGGAGGTAGATTACGGTAAGCGGGGTTGATGCAGTGCTCGCCCCGAGTGCTCCCGGCGATAACCGCAATAAAATATGTTATACACGAGTGATATTTTCACTGAAAAGCGGCGGCTTTAATTGGGCCTTGACAACGCAGAGTACACTGACGTTTAATCTTGGACTGTTACAGTAGTCGCCAAGAGAATAATCTAAGCAATACTTCAATGCGTCTTCGCCTTATACATGTAACGTATTGCCAGCGCAAGACACGACGCGATTCGCATTGACAAGTCAGCTGCTGCCTATCTTTTTATTTAACGGAAGTAATTAAAGCATAATAACGTCTGTTATGCTAAAAACTCATTTGTCATGATGCGAAAAATTGGGCAACGTCAGCAGACACACACCACACTACTAACTTCAACATATATGAGGTAGCATGACGATCAAACCCGGTAGCCTGCGCTTTGCCAGACTAGCGCTTACGCACGCAGCGCTCTCGTGCTCCCCTTCACCAACGCCGCGGCCTTCTGCGCTGCAGTAGTCACGCTGCCGTCGGTCGCGTACGTCAAGTGAGCCAGCATGTTGGCGCCATTGCCGCACACTGGGTCCCCAGTGTTGCAGAACTCGATGGCTTTGGATCCGTACGTGGAGCTGGCGCTTGAGATAGTTTCGCCCGTGAGCTTGAGCGGGTTACCGAACGTCACGATGGCATTGATGCGCGACGACAGAGTGTCCGGGATGACGCTTCCAGTGCCGAGCACCGTCTTGATGCCAATGGCGATGTCCGTGACACTCGCACCTTGTGAATAGCCACCAAGCACGAATACGGTGTCCGGACACTCGACCGCGACCGACACCACGTGGTCGGTCATGTCGGTGGCGCCGGGTCCGGCACTGGTCTGGTCGTACGAAGCGAGGTAGTCGACCGCGTACGACGAGACACTCATACCAGAGAGGTCGGAGGTGATGCCGCTCACGAGTGGCTCACCGCAGATGCCGAGCCCTGCCAATTCACCGCTACCACGGGCGAAGACAACGTGGACATCAGAGCAATCGGCGTTGACGAGGTTGGCGGAGGCGGCAAGAAATACGGCGAGGGATCCGAAGAGCGTGGAGAATAGAGTAGCGAGCTTCATGCTGTTGGGATGTTGTTTGGTGTGTGGAGTGCAGCGGAAAATGCAGAGTGAGGAGCTTCTCGACTACCGAATGGGCGCTTCCTCGAGCGCACCGAGCTGAGCCACTATCAGTGACAACAAGCGGCTTGCCAAGTGCCTTGTTCCTGTCGGTTCACTGTGGCGGAGGTACAGGCACCTACCAGCTGACCGTCCGCACTAACGAGTTGTGGTTAGAGAAGTCTGCTGCTCCTCTCTGTTCTACGATCTGGCACCAGTTCATGCAGCTTTGAGCGGATTGAAAGGAACCGTCAACGGCGCGGAGCCCGAAGTATTCGGAGATCATGGTATGTTACCACGAACACGTTTCCAAACCTTCCTACTTCTGACCACCGGTCACAGTAGTCACGGACTTTCAGGCTGACGATGGCGTTGGGGGATTACTTCTGCCCGTGATCATCAAGATGAGCAAGCGGGGGAGGATGCAGCAGGATCGAAATGTGCGATGAAAACCGTGACTTGGTGCATGCAGCAATGCCGTTTGACCTACGTGGATGCTGTTAACCATCTTACTACATAGGCTAGGACACAGCCGCACGGAGGCAGCTCAGTACGCTGGCACTAAACACGGGGAAAAGTCTGTGCATGCTCACATGCGTCGAGCTTTGTAGATCGTTTTGGTGCGAGGCTACCTGTTTCAGCTAGGTCGGCAGAGATAGTGCTTGAGCGCTCGGGCTTTTTCCGCCTCTTGTCCTACCGACCGCACCAACCACAAAAGTGTCGCTCTCGCTTCTACGAGCACAAAGTTTAGTCGCCTTGTCGTCCACAGGTAGTCCTGCTTGAGTCAGCCCCTGCTGTCCGAAACCCATGAGAACGAGAACAACCAACATGGCTGCCTCATCGCGCGGAAGTGTTCCCGGAAAACAGCCGATCCTTAGACACACTTCAACGTGAGGGTGTCAACAACGTACAGTACTGTACTGTACCGGTAACCAGAAACCAAGGTCAGGTTGCGAACAGCAAAGTCCATAAGCTTAACCCCACAGACATGCCGAGGGCACCTTCGATCTGACAGAGGATCAATCCGCCTCAAGAGATTAAAAAGGCTTGTCATTCCTCATTTGCCCGCATCCTACTCAAGCCTCACATCGACCACTCCATAGCTCCTCACGGCCATGAAGCTCTCCACCTTCCTCGGATCCCTGCTCGTGCTGCTTGCCACCCCCACCAACGTCGCCAACGCAGAGTGCTCTGACGTCCACGTCGTGTTTGCACGCGGCAGTGGAGAGATGGCGGGTCTTGGCATCTGTGGCCAGCCCCTCGTCAAGGGCATCACCTCCAACCTCGGCGGCATGAGCGTCTCGTCCTACGCAGTGAGCTACCTTGCATCCTACGACCAAACAAGCGCCGGTCCGGGTGCCACCGACATGACCAACCACGTTGTGTCGGTCGCTCAGCAGTGCCCCAACACCGTCTTCGTGCTGGGCGGCTATTCGCAGGGCGCCAGTGTCACCGACATCTCCATTGGCATCAAGACGATGCTCGGCTCCGGTAAAACCATCCCGGAAAGCTTGGCCCCACGCATCAAGGCCATTGTGACGTTCGGCAACCCGTTGAAGCTCATGGGCCAGACCATCAAGAGCTCGAGTTCAACGTACGGCTCGAAGGCCATCGAGTTCTGCAACACGGGCGACCCGGTCTGCGCCGCTGGCTTCAACATGATGGCTCACCTGATGTACGCGACGGACGGTAGTGTGACGTCCGCAGCCAAGCAGGCTGCTGCGTTGGTGAAGGGCGGAACGAGAGCTCTGCGCGGTTGAGCGAAGCAATTCGCACCAGTTGTGTGAATGTGACGTTGCTGTGAGAACACGTTGAAGTCAAGTGTACATGTGGGATTAACGCACAGTTAATAATCACGTTTAGTATCGTTGTCATCTTAGCTTTTGAGCTTCAATTTAAAGTGTACACAACCTACCAAGTTTGACTTGACCATGGTTGGTTTTAACTATGGGATGTCGCTAATAGCAGCAGTACGTCTGCACACATTGAAATTCACTATGAAATTGTGCAGCTTGAGCAACATCCTTCACGAGGCCGACTGCTCTGCGTTTGCTGTTGCTGCTGACCCCCGGCTGCGTCCCCCGATGGACCAGCAGTTGCAGGCTTCAGGCAATTTGCCACCTCGCCATCACGCCACAGGTCACTCGTGGTTACCGATGGGAAAGCTGCTGGTTTGACGAGGCTTAGCGCATTGCACGCAGCTTCAGGCGCAGGAATCTAAAAAAAGAAACATCACGATAAATGAGGACCCCGGCACTCAAGAAACAACCAGGAAGGCACACTCTTTGCTTACCGGCTCGTAATAGACGCTGTCGTTGCGGTGGGAGACGATGTCCAGATCTCGACTGATGATCTGTTGTGACCGGAGAAACACGGCTGCTAACAGGGCCACACGCTGTTTTTCGTCTTTGTTCGCTGCCATCTTCGACTCGTAGCTCTTCTCAAGTGGCACCACTCCTTCGAAGAACGCTGCTGCCTTCTTAAAGTTGGCCACGGCCTGCACGCAGCTTCGCGCATCTTCTTTCAACATGCACGCGGCGCCCTGGAAATACGTCGATATGGCTTGGTAATAGGGATCTTTGTAAGCGCAATACAGGCGAACGCGCTCGGCCGTCGTCGAAGTCGAGTAAGGCAGCAGCCTGGACGCGATAGTTTGGCATTCTGAGCGAGTCCATACAATAATACGCAGTCAGCACCGATAAAATCCGACCTCAAAAATGAGAGCAATCGAAGCCATACCTTTGTATCGCGCGGAAATGTCCATGGATAGCTTGGCCATTAGAGTAAAGTCCACGACCTCTCGAGTGACTCCACGCAGCACCACGAGCTCCTGCGCCTCAGTGAGTGCAATCCACGCCAGCAACTGCGGGAAGCGTCCGTCAGCGAGATCTGGAACGCGCTTCAGCATCGCCAGGTCCTCTGCTGCGTCCAACGCTGGAGATTTCGCGCTGGCCGCCACTGTCGAGTCGGGTGCTGCTTTCTGCAGCGTAATTTGCTGGGCTTGACGCTGCTCCTCGCGCCACTTGGCCATCATGTCGTCGTCCGGCACAGCCCCAACCACATCGTCGGCAGAGTCCTGGGCTTCTGCCTTCGTCTCTGTCTGTGCACCGAGGTCCGCAAACTCAGCGCCGATGGAGCGAGGCGCGATGTTCATCGACTCGAGACACGCGTCCAACACCCCGGCCGCGTGTAGCAGCAGCTGATACGCGAGCTTGAGCTGCGTCTCGTCGAGCTCCGACAGTCTCTCGGACAGAATCGCATCCACTTTGTCTCTGGCGTCCGCCATCATCAAGATGCCTGCAGCCAGCAGCACATGCGCGTACTCTTGCCTCGCACTCGTGGCGTACACGGTCTGCCCCGTGAGTGCGTCCTGCCACCGGCAGAAGTTGAGACACCCGCTGCAGTCCCTGGCCGAGGCATTTCCTCCTCCGTGGGCCCCCCCCACGGCTTCGTCGGCCTCCGCAGTGCCTTCCACCAGCGGCTGACGCAGGGCAGCACCAACCGGTGCATCGGTTACCGGTACCGACGCCTGCAGCGCTGCGTCTGCATTGTTCTGCCGCGATTCCGTGAATCCCTTGACGAGCGACAGGTAGGCGGCGAGCTTCTGCGTGTAGTTCGGGATGTCGTCGGGCGACTGAAAGACGGAGGATGACACAGGGCCATCGCCCTCGAGCTGTAGGGCGACGCGCGCGGCGCTGAGGTCGCTGGCGAGTCGCTGCACGCCGTCCGCTTTGGTCGAGACGCCGAATTTCGCCAGCTCGGAGGCGAATTTCGTCTGCGGAAGGGGGCGAGAGAGGAGGTTAATGGCGTCGCAGTGCTGCTACATGCAGGGCAGTTGTTGGACGCACCTTGGGGCTGCGCTTGCGGCCGGGCGTGAGCGCGTGGCAGCACGGCGGAAGAACGTCTCGCTGCGTCATTTTGGGCTATGCTAAAATGCTGCAGTGGACATGCAGGACACTTGGACTGGATTTTCGGGTTGGCCAATCAGGAAGCGAACCCCGCCTAACCTGCTGAATGGTCCACCACCAGCTAGAACAGTATCACGACGTTTGGGAGGATTTGGCTTCAAACAGCTACGTTCCCAAGAGACCCTGCTGGACGGCCTGCTCCCAGACACCTTCAGCGCCACCTACTCATTATGCTTTGTGTTGCTCGAGTGCCTGTCCGTGTGCCGGCTGTGCGGGCATGTTCATAGACGACCTCATCGGCGAGGTCGTCGTCATGTTCCGTACATGATGTACGGCCACCGTATTACATTCGTCCATCAGTGAAGACATGGGGCACCTCTTCGTTTGGGCCAAAGGTTACCATTTGAGTCATCTCGAGGTCGAGAATTCAACATTACCGTAAGGTATGCAACAAGCTTACTTACTACTTTGAAAGGAAGAAGTGTCTACCACAACTTGTGGTCCACAAGGTATGGAAACTCGCTCAGTCTGCAAGCAAGTGTAGCGTACAACTCCAAAACCTGGGAAGTCAATGCAGCCCACAAGGAGTGATAGGCATTCAGTGACCCTCAATGCAAGTTGGTAGGAGAGCACACGGACACTGTGCATATATTTCCTTAGGGCCTTGGAGGCCTGACGCACTCAAACATCGTTGACTCAAAGAGAACAGTTCAATGACCGAGAAGATCAGCGACGCCTACCCAAGTCTCTGCAGTGTGTGGCAGGATCGTCCCGTATCGAGTGGTACCACGCACCACACCAAGGGCGAACGGCATTCGCGCTTCGTGTTGGGAATGGCACACCGAAAACGAGGACGGGACCTCTGCACAGCACTTAAACACGCCACTCGCCGGTGTACAGGCGTCCCCGGGCTAGTCCCGGCTGTATATTTTAATGTACCTCGCACAGGAAGTACAACAAGCTCTCAAGATTTGCGCGCTACTTCTGCAAACATATTGATTTAGATGAGTGTACAGCGAGACCTACTGCGACAAGTGGCACGTTGCGGGAATACCTCCACCGTATTCTTGAGCTAAGCTTGTAGTAAGTCAGTACATACTCATTTATGTTCAGACCGCGTGAATCTTGTTGATTCGCAAACATCATAAGTACCACTGTGGCGAATAGGCCGGGGACGCCTGTATCGGCATTGCCACTGACTCCTGGTTGCTGGCGAATCGCCAGCAACCAGGAGCTGTCCGCCAAGTCGGTCTGAGTTTGGCCATGTTGCTCAGCTGCAGCGAGTCGCTGCTTGGCTCCTCTTGGCATCTTTTGCTTTGTCCGCACGCGGGAACTCGCCGCGTCTTTGCAAAATAAAAAGAAGGCAAGTCTTCGACCGCAACCGCCTCGTCACATGTAGCAACTTGATTCCCCGCCGCGATCCCAGCCGGCGCCGGCCCGGCGGCACCGGAACACTTGTCAGCACAGCACTGCGCAACATTCTATTGGGGGGCTATTGTATTAAAATACAGTCGTGTAGCCTTGGGAGCTCGTGCCGAGTCAGCACGGAGCCCTGCATTTGAGACGGCGCGCTGGGGCGATTAATTTCTACGGTACCAGGAGGCCAAACATGCGCGTGCCTGCTCACGCAGCAGCCATTGCGTGTCAACGGATGGAGGTGCTAGCGCTTGCCGCGCAGATCTCTTCGTTTCAGGCGTCGCAACTTCGAGAGATTTTTTCCTACATATCAAATGTCTCGACACTACTGGATTCCACCTCGGCGGATCCGCTGCGAGTCGCAGTGCGACGAACATGGCACTTCACCTCGGCGCGGGCTTCGACGGGCTGTTGAGTTCTGTAAAGCAGCTCTACTAAAGCTGCACAAGGGAGAGAGGGGCGGCTGATTTGTGCGTGGCGTTTTCTGGGCTGTGTAGCGACTTCGCGATTGACGAGGCGCTCTCTGTAGGCAGCTGGCTGCCAGAGGCTACATGCACAAGCTGAATCCGCCGCGATGTTTTTGTGTTTTCATTGTGCGACTCGCACAGTGCGAGCACGAGGAATTAAATAATACAAGTAGATTGGGGCTATTTGTCAAAACGTAAGCAGAGCATGGGGGACTACTTATAAGTAGACTGGGGGACGTTGATTAAACGTATTTTAACTATCACCCTGCTACGCGCTGCGCGCGGCCCTCCAGACCCTAAAGGCTCGCTGTGCTCGCTTGGACAGAACCCTAACAAGCCCGCTGCGGCTCGCACGCGTCGCCTCCGCTTCCTAGAAGGGCAATCCTGGGTCCTGGGTTTGCATCCGCGTGCTTCGCACACGGGCTGACAAACCGCAGGCGTGGGCTCGCTTCGCTCGCTGTGCGCTGATGGTCTGATCTACTTATAAGTAGTCCCCATGATCTACTTACGTTTTGACAAATAGCCCCAATCTACTTGTATTATTTAATTCCTCGTGCGAGCACCGACGCCATGTAGACATGCCAGCATCAATTGATACGTGTGCGGCCCGACGTCGCTGCCAACGCTTCACGCTGTGTCGAACGACTCCAGCAGCCATAATGGCACGATCATATTCGTTATAATGACTCACAAGGCAGAGCGCCATGGGTCAAAGGCAACCAGCCTGCGGCGGCAGCGGAGACCTTGGACTCCAAGGCAGCGCCTTGAAGGCTTGCTTGGTAAGCCTCCCGGCTGGCGTTTACAGTAAAAGTGGCCCGTCCCTTTCGCGTCTAGCGAAACGGCAGACGAGGCGTGTTGGATCCACATTCCAAAAGACGATGCAAACAAGACCTTGTCGACCCCCGAATCGAACGGGGAATGGCTCGGGACGGGCGAATTTTCGCGCGCAGCGGGTTAAGGAATGTGGCGTGTGTAGCAGCCCGGGCGGCGCGACTAACGAAGCGGCTTCGTCGAAGCCGGGGGGATGGGTTTTCGTCATGCTCACTCGGCACACGCCCAAATGCTCACGGCCAGAGCCCGCCCGGCTTTGGCGACCCCACATATCTTGCGACGGTGCCTGCGGGCGCGATCCGAGCATGAGTGCGTCCAGGCGAAAGACGGGCCGCACCCCGCAGCTTGAAGTGGAGACCTGCTGCAGCAGGACTTCCGAGCCCGCGAAGCTGACAATCACGGGTGCATCTAAACACCGTCGGGTCTCCGCTCGGCTCGCGCGGACCGCCCCATCCTCCTGTCCGCATGCGCACGAGCTCGCCCTATGTCGGCATTCCGGATAACGTGACCGCGGCGGCAGCGGCGCAGGCAATCGCCTTGATCACGGAGAAGTTGGCCACTTCAACGTCGAGTCGAGCATGGCGGGCTTTATAGCACTGGCAGGAGATCTCTCCTTCCAGGCCGCGTTTGGGCCGCGCCGCTTAGTCGCGGTTGCCATTGTACTGCCGAGTCGGCACCGCGTCCCGTGTCCCGAGGTACATGTACCTCGGCTGGATCCCGCCAAGGCCGTCACTCGAGCAAGCGCCATTTGACGCGGGACCTTCCGCTGTCGGCGGCCAGCGTCCAGGCCAGGCCGGACCCCAGCAGACACCTCAAACTTCGAGGCTCGCAGGCGGCAGCGACGAGCTTCCTGCCACGACGACAACGACGCCCGACGAGAGCCCGCCCCTCCGGAAGACGAGCTCTTGCCAGCCGCTCCGCATACTGGCGAATTCCGCGCGCCCCGCGTTGAAGCGCAGCCGTTAGCTCACCGAGGCAATCGCGCCGGCCGTGACCGCATCAGCCGGCGAGGCAAGACGAGCCGCCTGATACGTGCCGCGCAGAGCCGGGCAAACGCAAATTACGAGCCGATAGCCCCAGCGGCAGCAACAGCAACAGCGCTGGGAGCTCGAGGCCCATGCGAGGCGAGGAGCTCACATGAGCGCGTTCGCCTTGGCTCGCGCGCGAAGGTCTCCGATCAACGGGCGCGGGACCCCGGGGTAGATGCTACGTTCGCTCGCGGTCGCGGCATTGCGGTGGTGGTCACGGGGTCAGCATCCTGTACAGTACGAACACAGTAGGCCGGCACGCGAAAGCCATGTCAAGCCTCTCCACCGCTCGGCAGTACGTGTAATGAATGCGCGCTGCAGTGGCCACCGCCTTTGCCGGCCGGCACCGCCGCCCGAGTATCTTGGGGCGAGCTTGGCACGCTCGAAGCTCGAAGCGACGTACATCAGGTGGTGGCGCGGACCGGGCCAGCTGGCTTCGCCATCATTGCAAACATCTGCTCGGCGTTATCACACGGCCACCATGATGCAGCCGGAGCTGCCGCGGTCGGCATGGATGCCCTTCAGCAACGGGCTGATGCACTGGAGAGCAACGCCTCCGGCCGCGCCCGTGGAGTGAAGAAACCTCGTCGAGCGAGACCGCCAGGCTCGACAATGCTGGACGTGGGTGCGGCCACTGCCGTAAATACTTTGCGGATTCTGCATTTCTGGCCCGGGGGAGATGGGCAGCAGCGGCCCGTCTGCGGCCGCGATAGATGCAGTTTTTGAGCGAGCTTGCTCGCGATGCATGGACAAGGTATTGGATGGGGGCGAGAGATCGAACGCGCTCGCTCGCTTTTCACCAGGACGGCCGGCCGCGGCCTCGGCCCACAATCCGATTCGCCTCGAGCCGTGCAAGCCGCGCTCGCCAAGACGGGCCGAGTCGCCGAGCGTCCACCGGTCTGAGAAGAGAGAGAGAGAGAGAGAGAGCAACACGCGTCAAGCGTATCGTGTCACGAGTCACAAGTAGAAGACGATCGCCATGCAGCCCACGAACAGCAGCAGCAGCAGCAACAGCGTCCCGCCGGCCGACGTCGTCGTCACGGACCCGGCGGCGTCCACGCCCTCGGCCTCCAACGGCACCGGGCTGTCCTCCTGGCCCGAGCTCAAGCAGCTGAACGCCGCCGTGACCGTCACGCCTCTGGACGGCGACGCCCAGCTGCGCAACCGCAAGCGCCAGCGGCCGTCCGCGCCCTCGTCGCCATCCGCGGGCTCCTCGGCGCTGAGCTCCTTCCCCACGCCCGGCGAGCTCAAGCTCGACTTCGCCGGCTTCGAGGTCGGCAGCAACGCCTCGTCCGCCGTCATGTCCTCGGCCCCGCTGACCGTGGCCACCAGCTCGTCGGCCATGACGTACCCCGCCGCCGCCAGCTACTCGAGCGCCGTCTCCACGGACGACGTGCTGTCCTTCCTCAAGAGCCTGCAGCTGGCCCAGGACTCGGCCGCGCTCTCGCTAGCCACGCAGCGTCTGGCCCAGGACGGATTCGACTCGGTCTTGACGCTGGCCTTCGCGGCCGTGAGCGAGCTGCAGCGCGCCGGCATCGCGGACGCCCAGCTGGTGTGGCAGCAGGCCCGTCGCGACTTCCAGGCCCGGCGGTTCCAGGGCCCCGGCGTGCTTGCGCCCACCTACACGGTGTCGCGGTGGCTCGAGCTGTGCGGCATCCCCAAGTCGTGCACCTTCGAGTATGCCGAGTACCTGTGCCGTATGGGCTACTCGGCCGTGCGCGACTTCGAGTTCATCGTCCACGACCAACGCGCGCTCGCAGTGTTCAAGATCGGCCACAGCCGCCTCGTGGTGCACTGCGTCACGGCCGCGGTCAACAACCAGCAGCAACAACAACAGCAGCAGCAGCAGCAGCAGTTCCAGGTGGCTAACTACCAGTACGGCTCACATGGTCCCAATGTGTACACTGCCGGATCGTCCAGCGCGCTGCTGCAGCCGCTGGACATCCAGCGCGAGAACGAGTTCGACGTGCAGGCCTACGACAGCTTCCTCGAGGCGCTGATCGAGCCGACGGACGCCGAGCGGATGCAGCAGCAGCAGCAGCGCTACTCGATGCCGGCTCTGACACTCGGCCGCGAGAACCTCATGGGTAGCGCCGACGTGTTCGGCAACCGCATGAGTTTTGGTGGCGTGTCGGCGGTGGCGTCGCCCGTCCCATCCAACATGCCGCTGCGCCTGCTCCCCCAGGAGCACCTGCAGCTGCTGTACGAAGCGGTGAACCTGCCGCGCCCCAACCCGTGCCGTCGGGGCAAGAAGATCTACTGGTCGGTGCTCGCCACGGGCGGTATGAAGGAGGACCGGTTCGCGCCCTTGACCCAGTTCACGGCGGCCGAGCTACAGAACGCGTACCTGCGCCAGTTCGAGCTGCCGGCCAGCAACCCGGTCAAGATGGACGCCTGGAGCGACGACAACATTCGCCAGCTCGAGCACGCCGTCAAGGACCCGCGCTGCCGTCATCTGTCCAAGGTGTGCTGGGAGATGCTGGCCACGGGCCGCACGGGCGTCGAGGAGTACGCGCCCCTGTCCAAGTTCACTGCCTCGCAGCTGCGCTCGCGCTTCCGCTCGCTGTTCGGCGACAAGCGGCCTCAGAAGCTGCGCCAAAAGAAGCAGATGCTCAAGCTGCAGCAGCAACAGCATCAGCAGGAGCAGCAGGCAAATAACGCTGCGATGATGAACGAGCGATCGATCTAGGGATAGTAGGAGTGATGAAGAATTGTTGTAGTCAATAAAATGTGCGTTTTCACAACACCTTTGCTGCGTTGAAGCCAAGTGCGGTTAGCGTCTATCTATGCCTTGTCGACGTGATGGCTACGTTATCGTGATGCACTGAGAGGGAATCACGTTTTGTTTTGAGGTCACGATTCATGACATTGACGTCGAAGTTGCAAGGGACGACGCAAGCTGGCAGTGAATGCGAAAGCCCTGCTCGGATTGTCAGCGTAGGTTGCCGTCGGGCTACATGACATACATGCACACTACGTTGTAGTGAACCAAGGGTAAAATACTGAACGGGGGTGAGCTGCATTTCGCTGAATAGATGATCATAGGAGTTTAGTTCTAGCTATTGAGACATACAATACTTTTAATGGGGCTGGCTAGTGAGCCAGTTGGTTGTCGCCGCGGAGGATGTGCGTGGGGACGTGGTGGGGCGTGACAGCGGCGCCCTGACTGATGTTGTTGGCCTTGACGGCCTCGGGACACTCGACCTTGGCGAGCACCACCTTGTCCTTGACGCAGTCGGTCGGGTCGGCTTCGCTCTCGGGCTTGGCCGTGCTGGACACGGCCGCCGTCATGGTCAGCGACAGCGACCGGCGCAGCGAGTGCGCGTTGCGGCGCAGGAACGAGATCGGCTGCTTGGCCGCCGCGAACGAGAGCGCGTGGCCGGTCGCGGGCTTCTGCACGAAGTGCTTGGCGATGATCTGCTCGAGCTTCAGGCGGGTCTCGTTGGCGGCCGAGTCCTTCTCGGGCGAGGTCTGCGGGTCGCGCCAGTAGTAGCGCTGCCACGAGAAGAGCGCCTTGCCCCACTCCTGCCGGTCCTCCCCGCTGCAGGCGCTGAACTCGAGCCGCTCGGCGTTGCCCAGCGTGTAGGACCGGTCCTTGACGAACACCTTGCGCGTCTCGAGGTAGAAGCTGTTGGGCACGCCGTCGGCGCGCTTCTGCGCCTTGACGGTGATCTTGCAGCCCGATAGCCGCACCTCGCTCAGGCACTTGGCGCAGTCGGCCGACGCGAACTGCCGCAGGAAGCCGTCCTCGAGCGAGAAGTAGCGCACCGACGGGCGCGCATGCTTGGCGTGGACGATGAGGTAGCCCTGGCGCGTCATCGGGGAGTGGGTGGGTGGGTGTCTTGGATCGACTACCGACGGACAGGAGGCGAATTGGCGACTGGGTGGCTGACTCGAAATGGCCCGACCTGAGCTGCAGCGAAAGTGCTGGCGGCGGTTGCGCTGGACTTGTCCGGCTCAAAGATAGATAGAGCAAAGTGCTGGAGTGCTGGAGGAAACGACCGGCACGCTGTGCCGCTAGCTGCTGCTGCTTGCTGGGCAATGAATGGGACAATGGGCACTGAACAAGCGAACGAGCGAGCACCCACTCGCCCTGCTTTCGCCAGCCGCTGCATCCCAGCTTGTCGCTCGCGATATGTCTGGAGGAGCCTTCGAGAGCCTTTGGCTCTTTGCGAGGACAGCGACAACGAGACGAAACAGAGCCACACAAGCATGAACAGCTGCAATGTCGGCAGGTTTCCGGGAGCGACACATTGCCGACTCTATTGATTAGGATAAGTTAATAAAGCGAGCGCTCTCGAATAAGGGCCGTCGTCGAGGCGAGGCTGCGGGCACGCCACCACCAGCCGAGATGCAGGCACCCAGGCTTGCCGTGCAGAGAGCCGCTCAGCCCCGGAGGAACCAGCGCTGCACCACGACAAAGTAGATGAAGCAGCAGACCAGCAGCGTCATACTGGCCGCCAGAAACCTGGACAGGAAGCACTCGCGGCCCGGGTCCTCGTCGTCCGCGACGTTCCGCGCGTCTTGGTCATCGTCTGCGTCGTCGAGCAGGGCGCGCCGTTGCTGCTCAGAGGAGTGGCGCGTTTTCAGCAGCAACTGCCCATTTGTCAGCGGTTTGAACTCGACACTCGGCCGCCTACGCTGCTCGGCCTCTGCGATTTGGATCGCGCACTCGGGCGCGGAGGTCTCGACCATCAGTGAACTTCACTGAGAAGAGAAGCACGCTGCTTCCGACGCGACGTTGAGCCAAAAATGTACGTGCCAGCCCAACGCGCATGACGACTTCGAAACGGTCGTGTTGCGGTCTAAAACCGGCAAGGTCGCTCGCTGCTTCACCGCAAAGCGAGCGAGCGCTCTGCTGCCCTGATGTCGCTGCTGCTTTCGAGGCTGGCAGATGCCGGGCACTCGACATTCCAGCACGATCCGCATCACACAGATTGCCTGCTTGAAAGCTGAACATTCGACCTGCTGGATTCGGGATGGCGACGGAGAGGCAGTGGAATGCTGTGTGATACGTGCGCTGACCAAGCCCCGCAAGGTTTACTTATCGGTGGTCAGCAAGTCTTCCAAGTCTTTGTTGGTCTACTGTAGTTAGCCCCAGATTTTGCTTGGTGCCTCACTATTGGGTCAGCTAAGAGCGGCAGGGGGCCGGGACCAAGAGGGTGATCAAGGCCATGGCGCTGCTGCAGGCCCAGCAGCACGTGATGCAGGAGAAGGAGGAGGATCTCAGAGAGCTACTCAATGGGCTTGCCAGCGCCCAGGCGGCACTGCAGCGCGTGCGGGAAACGAAACCATTCTAAACCCTAGTTTCGTCCACTCGCCCTCGAGATATTTAAGGAAAATATTCAGATATATGCGCTTATTTTTTTTAAAAATTGGATCGGCTTGAAGCGCGCAATGCGGGTTCCGCACTCACCACTTCAACTTTCATTCCGCATTCTCCGCACTCAGAGGCAAGCACGGCAAGGCCTGCCGCGCGCGTGCGGACAGTGCGGTTGCTCGGAGAGTGAGGTGGCTGTGGTAAGCAAGAATCCAAGACATGCTAACCGGGAGTTGCTAATACGTCGTCTACATAGAGCGATAATGCCTGGAGGGCGCCCCAAGAGCCAAGTCTGGCAGCTCTTCGATAAACACGCCGATGGAGTGAAGTGCAAGCGTTGCCCTGCCGTCATCGTCAACCCAAAGCCGCTCAAGCTGGAGAGTCACTTGGCGAAGTGCTCGGGGTACACGCTTCTAGAGAAAAACAAGAGGAAGCGCGTGTCGGAGGAGCGGGAAGAGGAGCGAGTTAGGCGAAACAGCAGGGATAATGGAGCTGCCGTAACGCTATCGCCTTCTGGAGACGGATCGGCTACCCTGCAGGGAGTCTCTCAAGCCGAGATGGAGATGAGGATCGCTGTAACGGGGTACAATCATGTGTACCCATTCCATGAAGAGTGACGGGTGTCACTCTCCCGAGTACATGGTACATGGTACCAGTAGCACCGCAAGCCAACCATTTGAGTTTGTGTGGGCTTTTGTATAGTTAACTTGTAGTTTGTATTATGACCAAGTTAACCTCTACCAAAACACAGTCAGTCTTATAACCTACTCCTCTGTAGCAAACCGTTCCCTTCGAGGCCGGGAACTGGTGAACTGCTGTTCACCTGGATAGTAATATCCACACGCACTTCCTCTGTGCATTGTGCTGTGTGACCCCGTCACACTTGGTAGCACTCGTAGTCAATCCTACGCCTACGCGGGTAGATTGGTCTACCTGAATCCTCGGTGGCTCAGGTCTGTGAGCCACGATGGACCGAAGTGAGTTTCCTCACTTGACTGACTCCCAGTTCGAGTCGGTGCGGAAGATGGCGGGCATCTTCGGAAGAGATGCCATCTGGAGCTTGGCGGCGGCGAAGCCAGAAGAGCAGGTCGAGCGGGTGAGCGCGTTTGACGAGTACGAATGCGGGCTCATCGCTCATGTGCAGGGAAACCTGCTGGCTCAGATGAGTGAGCCCAAACGGGTGCAGCCTAAGCCTCTGCGGCCAGCTGTGCCTCCGTTCGAAGGGAAGGAAGGTGAGAACCTTCACTTCTGGATCCGGGAGACCGAGATTGCAATGAGCGCACTGAGAACCTTCGAGTCGCCTTTGCGCTCTCCAATCTTGGCGGACGTGCCAGGACTTGGGTGTATACGCGCGAAGCGATGTCGCCTGGATGTTTCACATCCTGGGCTCAGTTGTGTGAGCAGCTAAGAGCCGCTTTTCTCCCGGACAACGAGTTCCGCCAGCGCTCGCGCTTCCTTGCCTGCAAACAAGGGGAGCGCGAGCTGTACGCGTACGTACAGGAGATGCGCACGTTGGCAGCCTCGCTGGTGGGGAACCCACTGTCGGAAGACGTCAAGATGACAGTCTTCGTGGACGGCCTGAAGGTCGGTCCTGCGCGCACGCAGTTGTTCCGCGTGCGCACCGCCAGTATGGAGGAGGCGATCCAAGTCGCCCTCCAGGAGGAGTACAGCCATAAGCAGGCTGGTGCTCTGGTTTTTGTACAGCCTGTGGTCGCTGACAGCGAACCAGAACCCATGGATCTGAGTTCGGCTGAGCAGTATTCTGTCCGCTGCTATGGTTGCGGCGGACTTGGACACTACCCATCGCCAGGGTCTGTGAAGAAGACCTACCCGAAGACCAGAGGGTCAAGGGGGCGCCGACGCCATGCACCGTCAGGTGCTCAAGGGGGACACAACCACCAGTAAGGACGACGGCCTTGCTGGGGTTGGCCCGAGTCTTTGTGATGGGTGTACGGAAGGCGTACACCACAGATTCCCGGGGTCCCTTGCGAGCACTGACGCTCGCATTGGTGAAGGACAACGGTGGGTTGTCGGTAGTACACGTGAGTGTACGGGGGTAATGGTATCCCTAGACATGATTGAGTCTGGGACGTCACAAGTGCCAAGACTCTGCGAGAGAGTCGAAGCACAAGGGCAGGTCTCATTGACTGAGGCTGGGCCGAAGAAGAACCTTGGGGTCCGCTGTGACCCTGGCTGCCGCGCTCGAGGGCGCTGACAGCAATGGAACCGCACATGGTCCCGGACATGGAACCGTACATGGTCCCGGACATCGTGCCGAAGTCGGCCCTGGGCATGGAACCGTTCATGAGCTCGGCTTGACCAAGTATGACTTGGCCCTGAGTGCGCCGTGCAAGCTGCACAGGCTCTCGGTCGAGTAGCGCGACAACGCCTTGTGGCTAAGTCAGCCCTCTGTGTCTGACAGAGCATTGTTGAGTCATGTTCCTACCTCTGGACAAACACAAGGGCGTCCGATGGGGCCGCCAGGGCGCTGGATGCATCCGACAAGACGAAGAAGAAGGAAGGAGGCATCACTGACATGATGATCTCCATGAAGAAGGTGCAGTGTATCTGCAACCGAGGGCTGTTATGCCTGGCATGTGGAGCTGCCTCAACAAGCAACTCCAGTGCTGAGAGTCATTGCTCGGCATGAGCATTGACAAGGGTGGTGTTCGATGACACCACCAGGTGGGTAACCAAGGACCACTAACTAGCGGGTAACTTAGTTCCGCACAGAGCATGTAATGCTGAGGAGGCCGCTCAAGGCACCTCCGGCGTGGGTAACCAAGTACCACGGACGGTCGCCCAGACCTTAACCGAAGAGGAACGCGCTGCACGCGCTTCCTGTGTGTGTAACCAAGTACCACACACGGTCGCCCAGACCAGAACTGAAGAGGAAGGCCCTGCAGGCACTTCCTGTGTGGGTAACCCAGTTCCACACCAGGTCACTCAGACCTAAACTGATGAGGAAGGTGCACGATGCACTTCCTGTGTGGGTAACATAGTTCCACACGCGTCACTCAGACGGTAACTGATTGTGAAGCCGCATGATGCGCTTTCTGTGTGGGTAACGTAGTGCCGTAAGGCTCCGCATGAGCCGAAAGGAGTCGCTCGAAGCGACTTCAGCGTGGGTAACTTAGTTCCACGCACGGTCAGTATGACCAAGACTAGTGATCAGGTCACTTGGGTCTCCTCGTGTGTGGTGGATGACCACACGGAGTTTAAGAGGCTCGTGACACCGTCACGATGTCATAGCTGCACGGTCCTCTTGAAGGCGCCGCGCGGCTCTGATTTTAAGCGGGGGAGGAGTGCGCGGAAGCACTTCCTTCCTCCAAGGGCTTGACACCCGGTCATCATGGATGACGTTCGACTGGGTGTCGACCAGCGCAGCTGTGGTCATGCGCACAGAAGCCGTGGCTTGGGTACACGACGTACCTGTGGCAATGCATGTTGCGTCGCCGCCGACTCGGCGAGCATGGTCGAGCACGACTGGAGTGTGTCTGCCAGAGGGCAACACCTCAATGACCACATGCAGGAGCATGCTCGGTCTGAAGGCAAAGGCCGCTGCGCGGCAGAGATCGTTGGTACGGTCTGTCGCGGATAGCACTGTGCGGCGTTGGGACAACAAGTGTCCATGACTCGGTGCCGAGATGGCTGAGTCTGAGTATGCGAACATGCCATGCAGCTACTCTGAATGCAGGACAAGCTATACGCTGTCATGGGTGCCATAGCTTGAAGACGTGGGTAACAGAGTAACACGTCAAGTCACGCAGACTCAAACTGCATCCAGGCTGGTAGATGCCAAGCCCTGGTCGACGATGTTGACCCAGAGCCAAGGAAGGGTAGCTGCCCGTAGTGACTCGGTGCTGCAGGGCGGCGCGAGGTTAGACGGCCGGCTGCCGCCTGACCCGCCGGGGCTCAAATCGTAAGTGGGGGAGGGGATCGGAAGTGCCCTTCCTCACCGAGGTCTCTGGCATGAGACTTGCTTCGTCGTAGAAGCCAGTGTAGTGGCTGCATGGTGCAGCCACTCACGAAGTATTGCACGAAGGTGCTGGACCTGATGCATCGCTGCTCAGGTCCCATGGTCATGATGACCAATGGCCAGCAACCTTGGCAATGGCTACTGTTGCTGCTAGGCCGAAGATGGCACGCGCACTCGCTGCTGGAAGGCTGCCTCGGTCAGGCAAGGACATGGCAGCCAGTCTGTGGCTTGGTCCGCGGACGATGGCATGTGTACATGCGCAACACCATGACGCAGCGTGATGCTGTTGCTACACTGGACGCGGTACGTCTACCGGCCAGGTAGCCATCAGCACCAAGCCAAAGCTCCAGGCTGTTGCTACGCTGGGTGCGGCACGTCTGCCGGCCAGGTAGCCATCAGTCCCGAGCATGGGTGTTACCCACGAGGGGATAACCCGAACGTGTTGCCTTTGCAGGCATTCACAGTTGGCGCGGCACATGCCACACCTGTAAGGCACGAAGCCATACGCGTGCACGCGGCACATACTACCTGTGAGATAGTCGCGGTGTGTGACGCTCACTGTGCGCGTGGCACTTCGTGTACGCGATGTACCCGCAGTGCACGCGACACTTCTTGTGCACGTGGCACTTGAGGTGCACGAGGCACTTATGGCAGTCGTGGTACGTGTCATACACGACATGCCTTTGGTGTATAAGGCGGTGCCCTCGTACACCTTGAGGTCCTGTATGGACTGTGTGCCATGCGGTCTTGCGCGCACACCGACTTGGTGTTGGTCGCCGCGACGCAGGATGCAATCGCCGGTGACGGAGGGCAATACACCCCACACCACGATGAAGTACCCTTGCGGTACCCTGGTGTCGAAGGAAGACACCTTAGCGTCGGCGACGTGATGGCCGTGACGCGCTGCAGGGCTTTAGACAAGTCCGCCGCGTTGCTCTGTATGATGAGCGGGTTGCTGGAAGCAGCCATGGTCGCTCAAGCAAACACGACGTTGAAGCATGACGCTTCATGGCTGTGGTCAGCGCTTGACCATAGCCCATGGGTCGAGCCGACGTATTCGGCCGACCGGCACACCGTACTGTGACGAGCGGGGCCCTGTCGGGCCGCTGTCATGGCCGGAGATGAGCAGCACAGCTCTCTCCATGGTTACGCTACGCGCTGACCGGAAAAGTGCTGTCCCTCGCGGGGGGCACTGCAGCACGAACGTGCCAGCGGGGGCCGAGGGCCATGCGACGCCAACGGCTGATTGTCTACGAGGACACTGCAAGTTTGGAGGCACATGCATCCCGTGCCGAGGCACTCTGCGCCTGCTAGCGCTGTGGATACGGCCACTAAAGGCGTCGGCTTCGCGGCCAACATCGCCGACGGCAGGGGGTTCCGCGCGGGGTGCCCGCTGCGGGCACAAGTCACTGTAGGCGTGACGATGAGGCGCGCCAGCCTTGCAGCGGCGTCGCCCGAGAATTCGACCTTTGGGTGTTCGGATTCTCTCGAAGCTGATTGGAGAATCAGATGTGATTCTCAGATAAGTGGGGGAGGATGTAACGGGGTACAATCAAGTGTACCCATTCCATGAAGAGTGACGGGTGTCACTCTCCCGAGTACATGGTACATGGTACCAGTAGCACCGCAAGCCAACCATTTGAGTTTGTGTGGGCTTTTGTATAGTTAACTTGTAGTTTGTATTAAGACCAAGTTAACCTCTACCAAAACACAGTCAGTCTTATAACCTATTCCTTTGTAGCAAACCGTTCTCTTTGAGGCCGGGAACTGGTGAACTGCTGTTCACCTGGATAGTAATATCCACACGCACTTCCTCTGTGCATTGTGCTGTGTGACCCCGTCACAATCGCCAACTTCGTGTATGAATCTGGATCGGCGTTTCGGATCGTTGAACTTCCCTCCTTCACGTTCATGATGAACGGCGCCAATCCAGTCCTGACCATTCCATCGGCGAAGAAGGTGGGCGACGAGCTCCTAACGGCGTCGTTCGAGCAGCACACGGAGAAAAAGTATCTGGTGATGCAAAAAGACCATGCGTTCGTTGCAGTCGCATTTGACGGGTGGTCAAATTTGAAACGCGAGAAGATGATCAATGTTGTGGCGTCAAGTCCGAACATGGGTGTTGTGCACATCAAGACGATTGCTGTGGGATTCGACTCGCAAACCGGCAAATATATCGCTAGGCTTATGATCAGAGAAATCAGCGAGTTGGAAGACGTTATCGGTCCGGGCAAAGTGGCAAGTTGTACGACCGACAGTGCTGGCAACATGGAAAAGGCCTGGGAGATTCTCGAGAAGCGTGGAATCTTTTGCAATGGTTGTGCTGCCCATACGTCCAATCTGCTGCTCCAAGACGTGGCGAAGTTGGATGAAGTCAAGGCAGTTGCAGCTGGTGCGGAGGCATTTACGGCGTATTTCATGGGTCGCCACAAGCTTCTCGCGCGTTTCAAGGCTGCCAAACTTGAGCTGGCTCAGTCCGGCTCGACGAACGTGCATGGCCGATCGTTTACGATTCCAGTTGCTACCCGTTGGTACTCCGCATACCAGTGCCTTGTGAACGTCATTCGGAACAGAGAAGCTATCACCAACGTTTTCGACGACGAGGAGCTCATGGAGTCATACAAAGGCATCAAGAAGCGACGTGTGGTGCTCGTACCTGCCCCAACCAAGGCATCGAGGAAGAGCAATCGCACCAAGAAGATGTCGAGGAAAGTCCAAGAGAATGCGGATCAGCAGCAGCAACAAAAGTCCGCGAAAGAGATTGCTTTTGAAAAAGTTGAAACGATTGTGCGCGACGAAAACTTCTGGGAGAAGGGTGAGCAAGTCATCAAGCTTTTGGAGCCGATCATCGAGAAGCTGGGGCTGATGGAGGCTGATGGGACCTGCATATCGCTGGTGTACTGGGCGTTCAACGACCTCCTGAAGAAGCCCATCTACAGATCCCCAACAGTTTTGGTCGATGCAGCAAAGCAAATTCATGCTTTGATCAAGGCAAGATGGGATAAGATGCACACCGATGCCATGGGGATCGCCTACTTCTTAGACCCGTCCCAAGATCCGCGCGGTTTCGTTGACGATGACAGAAATAAAACGAAGAACCAGATCCGTAAAGTGGCGAAAAGGCTGGGGTTCTCAAAAGATGAAGTTGATCAATGCTTTAAGGAGGCTGGTGTCTTTTGGAATCGGAAGCGGGACTGGACGCCGAAGCAGCGGAGGACCGAATCGCGTACGGCCCCCTTAGAGTGGTGGGGCGAAGAGCGTGACAAGTACCCGATTTTGTCAAGGATTGCGCGAAGGATTTTCACGATGCCGCCATCGTCGGCAGCGACGGAGAGAAATGGGAGTACACACAAGTACATCTACTCAAGTTGTCGGTCTCAACTTGGTCTGGAAAAGGTCAACATGTTGGTGTCGCTGTACTGGAGTCACATGGAGAAAAAACCGTTGCCACCGGTTGTGTACAACCCAGCAACGCTCGGCGATGACCCAACTATTGAAAACGTGCCGAGTGTCTACTTCGACGCTGACGACTCGGATGACGACGACGATGATGATGATGTCTCAAGTTCAAGCGACGACGAAGACTTCGACGAGGACGCAGACGATGAAGATAGCGAAGAAGTCAATTCTGCAGCTCGTGCAGAACAAGACATCGTGATCCAAGAGCCCCTGGACTACTACATTGACAACACCTACGACTACTTAGGCGAGCATCTGTAGTTGCTTCGAACAACTGAAGTGAGTGGTTCTTGCGTACGTTTTTGAGCTAATTTAATTAATTTATGAGAGAGAGAATTGCATCTTGCATCTTGTAGACTATTAGAAGGCGGCGAGCAATGAATTGCACTTTGATAGTCACTTGTGCCGTCGGTGTCAAGCAGTTTATTGAGCAGAACAACTTTTTCGTGAGGCCCGTGAGTTTCATTCGTAGATTCAACAGGATTCATTTCTGTTTCATCCACGAAACTCAGATAAATCTGCGGACGAAACACACACTAGCAGCGGCAAATGGCGCGCAACTTTACGTCCAGAGACGAGAGCTCAGCCCGCTTTATCGCAGTACCGTACCTCGCAGAAAGAATGGTTAACTGCCGTTTCAAAACCTTGGGGAATTCTTTTGAAATTAAAACGTAGTTTTGACCAATCAAACACGTATAACTACTAAATACTTAGTATTAACAAGACGAAACTTGTTTTTTTTTTTTAAGAAACTGGAGTTATTTTACAGTAGTTTGAGCACCAAATAAAAAAGACCGAAAGTAGTCTTTCTGTGGGATACGGTACTGTAACCTGTGTAGAATACTACATAAGGTACGGCGCCACGTTAGTAGTGAGTGCTCAGTTTAAGAAAACCCTTTTCAGCTAATGATAATGCAGGAATCGAGGCACCAATTGCTATGATTGGTCGATAACATCCGGTGTGTAGCAACGCGAATCAAACACATGGCATTTCAACCCCCCCCCAATCAAAATCTCTCGTAAACTGGCGCCACCTGCGATTCGAGATGGCTCCAAGGCTTACTTGTTTCTTGGGTTCCGTGCGTCGCGTTTGATTGGTTCTTGTCCTACAAACTGTCGAAATTGCCCTCTTTCTCGCTCCTACCAAAAGCACGGTCATACGCCAAAAATTGAGACTGCTACCACAAAGTAAAAATGGCACTCCGAAATCTCTCCTAAAGTGGCGCCGTATCTTAACATAGTACTCTACACAGCGTAGTCTAGGTTGTATGTTTCGATTGAAGCACAAAGCAAAAACTAGTTTTTAAAATCAAAAGCTATTTTAATAGCTTTTGCTAAAATAGTCGCACCCTTTGCAAATAAGCTTGGCTTGCTATCGTGTTTTCTCAAAACGAGCTGTTGAAGTTGCCCCGCACCGGATATAGAATATTTAATGATCGATTCGATGGTACCGTCTCGTGCTCACTTCGCTCATTCTCTAATCTGCCTCAGTGCGCACAAGGCTGTTACCAAAGCTGCCAGCCAAGACATGTTGAACTTTAGTCACTTCTGAAGACAGTTCGTCGAGATCAAGGCGACCGTTGTGCTGCTGGATGCAAGTTATTGGAGGCGGAGAGGCAGCGCTGGGGCGACGAGGACAGAGCTACCCGAGGTGGAGACCAACAATGACGCGGAGCCAAGCGCAACTGACGTGACGACAAACGACAGCAGCGTTGGTATGAAGTGCGTCGGAGAGTGAGCCAGAAGTGGTGCCGCAGGCGAGGGAAGACGCCTGTGACAGTGATTTTGCGTTGGAGCAGAGTGAGCGCGGGTCGGCGAGTGATTCCGAAATGGAGCTGGAGCTTGATGAAGACAACGAGGTTGAGGACATCACTACATACGATTATCGGGATTCCGGTGTGAAAACAGAGCTGGACGCGGATGCTACTCCTGACTTTTATATCTACCGATCCTAGCCATCCCCATTAACGTGAGGATAGAGAAGCTCATTGGCGACAAGGCGATCCGCACGCGCATCTTTCCCTACTGGCGTTTCGACTTTGGCGGATACGACCTCTGCTTCGGCAACCTCACCACCTACGATGAGCACGGACAGCTTATCTTCAGCATCGTCGGAGACTGGGTTGGGAACGTGGGATCCGATACTAGGCCATACCGAGGCAGATGACTGTGGAAATTCGGGTATAGCTCGAGGAGCTTCTTGATCCGCATTCGAGAACTGGTCCAGGAAATGCTAGCCTGTGACTTTCCGAAGGAAGAGCTCGAGAAGGTGGAGATGGCGGGGGGGGGGGGGGTTGGTTGGTCTCCCGCGCGAGAAGAAGGCTCCCCATTGTGATGAAGTGGATCCGCCGGAATTAGAAGGGATCCCACACTCACACACTGCGCCCAGACACCGACTAACGGAGAGGGTACTCCGATAACCGTAGGTTGCTGAATGGCTCACCTCGTGTACCCGTCGGCGGGCTGGATCTGCTCTCTCGTTGACTCGAGACACGCAGGTGATGAGCTTGAACGCCCTTGGCGGGGACTTGGGGATATGTTGGGGTAGGTGCGCAGTGGGGTTCCTTCACGCGGGTCTGAGTAGGTCGATCCTTGGTCTTGGCCGTACATCTTGTGGATCCGATAAGTAATATACCAGATCCGGAGTCGTTGCCTTGTTGAGGGTGTTGTATCCTTTTCCTTTACATTGCTTGCCGCCTCCTATTAGCGGGGAAGTTGGGGGGGGGGGGGGGGCGAAGGGCGCGAGCTACTGGCCAAGCTATCCTGTAGTCTACCACGTTTGCGAGGGTAAATTACTTGATTACAGTATGTGTAATGGGCCTAATTTGGCTCACTACTTCAGCTTACACGTGTGCGCACGTGTGTGATGAAGCGTATCTTAGTTTAAACTAGTGTTAATTATACTCGGGCCTCCGAGTATAGATTAATCTAAATAAACGATCCAAAAAATGTTTTTGGGTTAAAATGAGAACTGCTATTTTTGTTTTATGCTTTCTGACTTCCTCTAAATGTAATATTCTAAGTTAGGAATTTGCCAACGGCTGGTTGGCAGAATTCCAATGCTATGCATGTCGCTCATTGACGAAAATATGCTGCTTTCAGCCAATAGGAACCCTAAGTCTCTTTGGACCACCCGTCGTGGTGATCGTAAATGTATGTAGTCTTTGGTGTGTCTTACACCAAGGTCGAGAAAGTCTTTCGAACCTCTAACAGACGTCGTGTCTGTTAGAGTTACAAGTGACTGTAGCCACTTGTGCGTGTAACCCTGTTACAGTATGGGCCAATGCAAATCCCAATACTAAAGACCAAGTGAGTGGTTCCCAAGCAAATTTGACTCTGATTTATGTTAGCCTGTACCCAGCCTTCCCATCCGGCTCGGAACCTATCCCGCTGTAGCCACGGTACCCATAATTTGGTACATACCCATACTTAATCTACGTGGTCCTAATTTAGATGACCCAATCCGTGTGCACCACACCGCTTGTACCTGGTCCAACTTCAACCGACCTACTCCAGCAACCATACCCTGATCCAGCAACCATGTCGTTATCCGAGCGACCCGGCAACGTCACCAACCGCCGGATCCCATTATCCGGTCAACTAGCGGATCCGATTCCATCAAGACCATTCTTGAGCGGTTACCACATTCGCCCCTGGGACGAGGTCGCTGCCGCGCAACGGCTTCATCTCGTGCCACCTTTGATCCACATCATTCGAAGATTTCCTTGGTAGCTGCCCAAATCCACTCACCGGAACCGGCTGCCTCCAGACGTCTCCTGCTCCACAATGACTCCGCCGCGTCACCGTCATCCTGAGCCCGCTGGGGCCACTACGCCGGCACCCGACCCCCGTACGAGGCAGACGTCCCTGTGCCAAGGACCCGTGTCGCTGTTGTCATAGGGTACGGCCGCTCTCCGACTCCTCCTCCACCGTGCGTCATCTGCGACTCCGCACCCTCCGATCACCTGCAGGCTGTCATGCCCCTCGCGTTGTCCCTGAATCCTGCCGACGTCATTCCTTCCTCGCTGCTGGCTGTGATCACCCACTACCGCAGTGTATTGGCCGATTACGACGAGTTGCGCCGTGCCAACACCCTTGACCCGCAGCGTACGAAGAACGCCACGCAGCGCCGGCGGGTTTGCGGGAGACTGCGATCCAGTACATCGACTTCGTCCAACGCAAATAAACCTCGAGTCAAGCTCGCCTCGACGACGCGAACCTCCGTGCGGCTGATGCCGTAGCCAGGATGGATCGCATGAAGGACGAGCTGCGCCAGTTCGAGGTGCTGAAGATTCAGCACCACCTGCTACGCGAGACTTTGGCTGAGGCGATTACACACCTCCAAGATTACGCTGCAAGACTGGAACGCCGGATGGAGGGTCGCGTGGTTGATGGAGAGTTGCATGGATCGGTGTCCCAGATCGCTCCGGACCTGAGGGATGTACGCCGCGAGAACTCGGATCTCCATTGCCAGCTCTCGGATCATCACAACCAAATTCACGCCGTCCAAACATCCAAGGCCGCCGCCGACGCTGATCTCGTCCAGTGTCGCATGCGGTGCGACGAGATCCAGATCCGTCTTAAGGACCTGCTGAAACACGCCCAGAAGGCTGAGAAGTCTAACCGCCAGCTTCGGGAGGACTTGCCCGTCATGTCCCGTGGTGACCCAGTTGTTCGCTCACTCCGCCTCGAGCTCCACGTCCGGGGCGAACGGATCCGCGAGCTGGACGGGCTAGTTGACCGCGTCACCGCGCATCGGGATCGGCTCCAAAAGGATCTGCGCGACGCCGACCGCCACGCCAGACTTGCCACGGCTGCTGCGGAACGAGCCAACGAAGCTCTGAGTCGACAGCACGACGCAACGCACGACGCACAGCGCCGTGCCCGCGATCTCGAAGGCCAGCCGGACCGGCTCCGCCAGCATCGGGCTCAGCACGCACGTGATCACCAAGCCCTCTCCGCCAACTTCCGTCGGTCGCAAGAGCGATTAGCGCAAGCTAACGCACGCATAGGCGAGCTCGGACAATTGCGTAGTGAGAATAACGTCCTCCGGGAAGAGCTGCGCGTCGCCCTCGCTGCCTGAGACGCCCTTCAGGCTGACAATGAAAATCTCCAAGTCGAGCTGATGGCTGTCCAAGAGTCACCCGATCCGACACCCGCTGTTACCGCCCCTCCAGCTCCAGCCTCCCCCACATCTCGTGCCGGGACTGCCGCGAGTTTCTGGCGCAAATCGAGGACTTTCAAGGCGCCTACGGCCACCTGCGTCGTGACTTCGACGACGTGAAGGTTGATTTTCGCTCGCTGGAGACCGAGCATGATGTGTTGGAGACGTTCTACACCGCTCTGACTGAGGATCATACGTTCGCACTCGAGCGTATCAGGTAGATCGTCTCCGTGGCCGTAGTTGTCCCTCCTGGCGTCTCCGGCATTGCATCTTCGGAGGCCCGTCTCCAGCCCGCTGGTTCTCCTCCTGGCTCGTCTGACGTCGTCAGCCGTCGTTTGCTAGATCTGATCATGGGTAAGCTCCCGCAACCAAACGTGTTCGTCGCGGATCGTCACCCGTGTGCACATGTTCCGAATCCTCGGCTGCTCGGGCCTCGTCCGGTCTCGGTGCCTTAGGAGATCTGGTCGATGACGATCAGGACGACGGCTGCGCATACTTGGGCGCCAGAGCGGAGTCCAACGATTCGAGCTCGGAGGGCTCCGTCGACGAGGAACTATGCGTGGCCCAAGCCCGCTCCCGAGCTTATCTCCGTCGTCGCAATTCCTGTGGCGAAGCGCCGCCGACAGTCTCCGGATCCGCCTCCGCCCCTATCGAAGTCGATGAGGACAACGAGGAGCTGGACTACGTGGAGGATGAAGCGAGCACCGAAGATCTCAACAACTCTCCTCGCGAGACGTCGGTGGCCGCCCGCAGTTCAGTCGAAGTTCCGGAAGCTGCGGTTGGTCGAACACACCCTTCCGGCGCCGGCGAACAGATCCCCATGGCGGGCACAGATGCTGTCGCTTTTCGTTCTTTCGGTCCTCTGGGGTCATCCCTGGGCTTCGACAGCAGCGTGCAGTCTCCGCAGCGGAAGTTGAGCCTTGGGGAGCCTTCGTAGATCTCCGTGTTACCATCACGCCCCGAGTCATCATTGACTACCACGTACTGACCGCCGACTGGATGTTTCCTGAGCGTGTCGAACGTGGCGGCACCTTGGATCTCGCTCGGTACGCGCCAGGATTGATCACACGTGGTAACGTGGAGGCTCTGTACGCCGAGGAGCCTCGGCGTCTACTCGCCCAGTACCCTACACCTTCGACTTGTACGCCTCGCCCCAGTTGTTGAGCATCGTCGACGGCTACCTGGAGTTCGAGAACGACTGCCTGCAAACGATCTGGGAGTCGACCCACCCGTTCCCGATCTCCAAGGAGTTGAAGCGGTCAGACTCCTGGTTCTCCTCCTTCTACACGAGCTGCAAGAATCGTAGCTCGCACGCTCATGAGAAGTACCGGAACTGGCAAGAGCAAGGTTTCGGAAAGGCGCGCCGGAGTGGCTGTTGCGACTTGGATCTCTGGCTGAATCGCATGTTCGCCCGTTTCCCCCAGCCGAGCGAGGACACGACGTGGTTACCAGCTCGTGAAGCCATCACCGAGGGGCGTCTAGTGCCGACGAGTTTGGTGGCGGCTTTGGTTGACTGCGATCGAGTCGATTCGTGGCGTAAACACTTCCGCACGGCCCTCGACACGCACCCGGCGTTTCGAATCCTTCACCATCGGTTGAAGTTCTCCCGCACCTGAGCGCTGCAGTTAGGGCTGCAGATCCCGCGCCTTGCGCGTCTAGCTTTAGTCTCATCTTGGTAGCAGAATTCAGTAGCTAGTCGCCCGATTGTATATCGTAATCCAATTTCATTCCACCGTTCGTAATTCATATCGTCACATTTTCCTCCACCTTCGTCAGATCCAGTTCATCGTTCGGCATTCTTTCTGCTTGTTCGTTACACACACATGCACCTCTGGCCCTCCACAAACGGGCAACCTCCCTGCCCTACCTCTTCGTCAGTTCACCCCTCGTGACGACCAGTCCGTCCGAGGGATCCCCTCCTCCGTTGATGCTGCAGCCGTCCTGCTGATGCTCCGCCTTGAACTTCATGTCTGTCGCCAGCCGACAGACACGGTCGCCCTCGCCAATCTTCTTCATGTGACTGCATGACTTGGAACCTGCTCCGTTTCGCACGGGCGGTCAGAAAATCGTAGATCAGTGCACCACAGTTCAGATCAGCCTCGTTCACCCACGAGGGTTCTTCGTACCCCTTCCACGTGATCATGAATTTGCGCAGCGCGTGTCCATACTGTGTCTTCCGTCCCGCCATCATGTCCAGGATCCTCTTTACTCCAACCTCATCTTCTTCCAGCGGTCGATCCCAGCTTTCCTCCGGCAGTAGAGCCTCATCGAAATCGAACCGATCTGCTTCCTCCACTGTTAACAGGATCCGCGGCCGTTCGGGGAACTCTCTTACCGGCTTCAATTTGGATACATGCACTAACGGAAAGAGGTGGTACTCGGTCCCCGCGGTCTCTAGTCGCAATATGTACTCGTTCACCAACGAAGGGAAACGCGCTACCTGATGATACCAAAAACAAGTCAGCTAGAGGGCTAAGGAGGCAGTCGAAATTGTAGAGGAATACAATCGTGTCCATCCATGTGTTTACTTAGAGGAATTGCTGGAGGCAGTGAAGGAAAGCTTTGGCAACGCGCAAAGCTATTCTAGGCGTACACTTTGTCGTTTGCTAACGTTTGATCTTAAAATTACAAGAAACATACTTTCTCAGCGCGCACGCAAAAGAGAGCCAGCACAAGCAGATTTTTTTAACACTACGTCCAATTTACACTGTACTAGTTGAGAACTAGACGGTAGAGATGCGCTGAGAAAGTATACTTGGTCACGTCGAGGCACACTTGCGATTGTCACTCTACCCTTTAGTCGTGGGGAGCGTTTATCGAGTTTGGCTGCAATTGATGCGTCAGGGTTCTTTGCATGGGAATCGACGTCGGGTATGTTGGACAGAGTTGCCTTTCATGACGTATTCCGAAGAAAATTGCACCGTATCTTAATCCGTGATCATTACCACCAAGGTACAATACAATTGAGACAGTCTTAAGCTAATTATGTTTTTCATATACTGTAGATCTATCGGAATCCTAGATAATGCCAAAATTCACATGTACAAGGGGCTCCGTCTTCCACGTGAACGGTAGGCAGCTAGGAACGGGAGGTCCGTACAGAGGGGGGGGGGGGGGCACATCATGTTGTACTGTGTATTCAGCACATTCGGTAACGCGTCCACCACAACTAGCTGGACCTGGTACCTATTGACAACGCTGCCTGTACATCTTATACTTGCGTGAGCCGAAACAATGTACAACTAGACAGATAGATGCAATAGGGGTTTTAATGTAAGCATCGATGAGGATTATCGTTTGGCGAAAATGAGGATTTGCTCTGACCAAAGATGCTTCTCGCGAGACGCATCGTTTGGGCTAATTCCTCGCCAAGCTCATTTATTGCGTCCGTTTTATCTCCTCGGATCAATCACCTTGGGAGTGCCCTCACTACCAGGACGATATGCAAATAGGACGTGTGGGGCTAATGCACTATGTGCACTCAAAAGATAAAGGAGATTCAGGGCTATCTAGCCATGGTTTCAGCTAGCGCGTCGAGAGGATTGGTGTGGAAGGAGAGTGCAAACAGCACCATTTTTTCAGCGTGCCCCGGTCAGACAGCTATGTGTGACACCAGCTTTTGAGTGAATTTCAAATCTGCCAGGATGGATTTGCAGGCACATAGCCCTGACTCATTTTAATAGAAAAATAATCCTCATTAATGCTTACATTGAAACCCCATAATATAAGCCATATTAGCGCTGATATGAAACTTACAGTAGGTAGACACCACGTTTCCAAGCTCGAGACTCCTGCGAGGTTGCAATACCGGTGAGATCACGTCCCCAGCATGTGCGCAATACAATCACAGCACGAAGCAACCGTCGGAGCGGTTGAGAACGTCTTGTGGGACAGCTAGACCACTTGAAGATTTACTGTGGAGCCAGCAGCACCGTCCACAGCGCAGACGCAGAGTAGTGGAAGGTAGACTACACGCTGAACCCTGAGCACAACGACCAGTTTGTTTTTTACGGTTGGTACGGGCTTCTAGCGCGAGCCCGCACTGCTTGTTCTTACTGGTTAAGTGCTGATGTAGTTGTGCCAACCATATTAGCATTGATGATGAGGAGAGGTCCTAATTAGGTAGTTTTTAGCTGCCAGATCGTGTTTAAGGCTGAATTGGTAGAAAGCGCCCGGTTTTACCCGGTGGAGCGCGATAGAATTCTGCTAGATAAAATGAGAATGCGTGAAAGGCACAATATAATACATGCAAGGTTCGATGGAATAGCTCCCCATACAGTAATTAAAAAACTTGGTATGTTTTAAAGAGTAGTGTCTTGATGCATAGACCACCTCTGTAAGCATAAACTTGGAATGGCCAAAACTACGATTTAGACTGAGATTTCAGGATCTAGTACTCAGCTCGGTACTACCAGCAAATTAATGGTGATTTGAATAGAACAAACATTGAACGAAAGGGTCAGCTCTGATCACAGGAAGTAACTGATCGTGTCCAAGCTGGCCCTCTCTGTTGGCGCCAGACACAGCGGTCTCTTGACCAAGATACCGGCATTCCTTGATCGACGTCGTAGCGCGATTTCGCTGATGGAATGCATCGTCGTGTCGTCTCATGCGTGAAGCCGACGCTGCCCGATGCCCATAAGACGCGGCGTATCCAGAGGGCTCTAGCACATGTTGATATGCCTCTAGGTATTGTATTTTGTAATTTACGGAAGTAATTTACTGTGTATAAATGTTGTGCATTTATGTGTGTTTTCTATTTAGGGGTACTGTTTTACCGAATGCATCACATGTATGGTATTGTACATGCAGACGAAAAGTGGTATAACCTCGCCAATGGGGCCAGCAAGTACTACTTGGCGCCGACGGAGCAGCTTCCGTATCGCTCTTGCCCCATTAAACGTTACATAGGCAAGATCATGTTTTTGGCAGCATTAGCCCGTCCCCCGGGACGGTTGCTACCACAAGCATCGCTTTGATGGGAGGCTAGGGATATGGTCCATCATTGAAGCAACTGAGGCACAGCAAAGCTCCATGATCAGGCCCAATGGCGCTAAGGTGGGGAAGAGCATCCCAACTACGCGGTCACTCTATCGCAACTTCCTCGCCGAGAATTTGTTGTCTGCTATTCGAGCCAAGCTTTCGGGTAAGCTAACCTATGTCACTAAGTTTAGCTCGGGTCTAACTGATCTCATGGTGTTTGATACCGTTCCGAGAGGTACACCAGTGTTCACGCAGCAGGACAGCGCTGGTCTCCATATGTGTGAAGATGACAGGGAACCGGTGGCGCAGCTAAGGTGGATGTCTGGAAGATCACGATGCGATACCATCCCCCTAGGTCACCAAAGCTCAACGCACTGGATGTGTGCTTTATTTTGCATCTATCCAAACCCTCCAGTATCGCAAGGCTACTTACGACACCGTAGCAAGAGGCAGTTGATTATGTCAAGTGGCATACATTTGACAAGGGCTTTGTACCCCCTCAAAAGGTGATGGAGTTCATTGTTGTAGACAGTGGAGGCAACGGATTCGAGTTGCCGCGCGTAGGTAAACATGTTGCTGTCAACGGACGCATGCCAATGTCTGTCACGGTTAACCAGGACTCGGTCATAAACGGGTACCGGCAGTTGTATTTGTAACGCTAATTCAACAATCATATATTGTCAACGTTTAGCTTAAACCAATATGTTATGGTTAACTGCCAGTGCTCCACAATAAGCCTCAGTATCTACTCGTCTTATTTGAAGGTCTTCTGTTGCGTTTGGGGCGTTCCTACCCGTACCAGGACGTTGTAAAAGACCCCCCTAAAACTCTGCCGATTTTTCCCGCTAAATTTGATCTTGCTGCGAAAAAAAAAACTTGTTGCAGATTGAAGGCGACACGTTTGGGATATCTTGCCTTACGCAAAACAGCACCCATAACCATGTAAAAAAATACTAACGTTCAGGCCGCATCAAGACCGATTTGTGATGTCCGTAGGCCATATCAGAGGGAGCTGTCATTTAGGAGCTACCCCGTGAAATTTGGAAACGTCATTTTGTAGTGAGCCAGCGAAGTATTAATGCGTAATTGATGTGATACTAGAAGCCCATTAATCTAACATCGTAGATGAAACCGCGAAAGTGTTGTTATTGGCTACCCACGAAATCCAACGTTTTTTTGCGCTGAAAATACATATTGTTTGTCATTAGATTTTTCTAGAAAATGGAAAATGTCATGTGAATTTTATGATTGTATTGTTATACTCAAAGTGTGTGCATTTGGACTAAATATTACATAAAATTAGAAAATATCTAGAATATTTCGTGGCCTTTGTTATACAAATCGACATTATTATTGTCATGATATTGACCTTCTTTTGTCACTGTGGACGAAAAATCGGCGAAAATACCGACTTTTGGCGGGTCTGTTTTTTTTCCTTCGCGGTATTACTATTTCCCCACACCAACCATTGCGACGCCCGGCCCAGAACTTGGCCACACTACGTTTTCTTTGTCGCATCCTCCCACTTTTCACTTTACTTCAGACAGAACACCACCCCTACTCACCAGGCTTGCTGTGATGCTCAACCTCGTAGTCTACACCCCATCCTCATCCCACCAAACCGTTGTGCTGTTCTTCTTCTCACTGTTGCTTAACGACAACGATGAGCTCTCTGAATACTTCGCCGGCAAGATGTGCCAGTGCGTGCTCAAGCATGCTGTTGGGCGCGGCTATAGCAATCTCGCCTATAATGTCCGTGTCAAGCACCCTGGCTTTTAGGCGTCCTTTCTGATTTGGGTCGGATGCAACGGATTCGACCCTGCGCTTTGATCAGCTATAAGGCCAGAATTAGTTTGACTGGCTTGAATGGGTGATGATGGGCAACTTGCACTTCAACGTTTGCGACCAACCGCTAACCCGGCGGTAAGTTTTTTTATTACTACTCAACGACATTGGTTGAGTTGTAACAGATACACGAATTTGCGCCATCTATGTGTTAAAACGTTCTGTAGCGACATGGAGTCTGTCACCAGAGCCGTCGAGGTCAAGCTTGGCTGTGAGGTAACGAGCAAGATCAGCGTTTTGCTCGAAGGCTAGACGCATGCTTCGGAGCATTTCACGGCCTTCTACACATGCTATGAGCGTAACGGTGTTCTTCACGCTCCGCTGCTTTACCTCGCCCGAGTTGTGCAGCTTCAAGGAAGCTGCCCCAGCCCTTGAAGTCAACCACGGCAGAGATTCACCTGGCGGCGCTCTGGTTTGGTAATAATATTAATTAAGTGTGCTGTACGACAAGTGATAAATGAGCTGTAAATAAATATCTGGCTCGAACCATTGATGCCCCCCCCCCCCTCCGTGGTCTGTGCGAGTCGCCGACAAACCTGGCGGTCCTGCTGTATATGGGCTCCACTAGAAGCTCATGAGCAAGCTCAGATCTTTGAATCAAGTGGCGAAGCTACGGTATAATTACTACTCTATGATTAGTACTACCTCTGATCCGAAAAACAATTGTCCCTTCCACTATGATGTGTCCACATAATTTTTTTTCTTCCGATTGGACAAAGAAGTGATATTGTTTTTAATTTGTTTTTGTCCGTTTTTCGCAACCCTGCCCTGGTGGCTCCAAAGCTCCCGCGCAACTCCAAAACACAGCCCCAACGTTAACAACTACGTCAATCGGGAAATGGCTCATCTTGTTCAAGACGTACCTGAGTGGTGGCGTCATTACTGTAGGACTGTGCGCACGGTGGATTACCACGCGGCTGACTGGCAATCAGCCCTCGATGGGCTAGTGCTTCGCATCGTCGTCCGCCCGGCTACATGCCGTTAGGTACAGTGTGGGTACTCCATGTAAACAGTATCCTTTTCCTCAAAGTGTCTTCTTCATTGGTGGCAGACATGTGCAAGCCATAAATTCTACAGTAACCTTCGGTGTTCAGCCTCTAGGTAACACACTCCTATCTCCTACAAGACAAGACGCATCTCGTGAAAAAGCTACATGACGTTGTTGCCGCTCTAGAAATGTTTTTTAGCTCTGTAGTAATCATTAGTGCAACAAGGCGGAATGCCTTTGCAACATTCAACACTCCGCATACAAAACCAGGGTAGCTGAATTGGGCGAGTTGACACGTTGTATCGACGTGGAATATAAACGTGGATTTGATCACAATCAAATGTACGCGGAAGCGCCTTCATTGATATACCTACTAAAAGGCCTTAAATTCAACTCATACCCCACAACCGGACTGACACTAGGATCCATGTCTTTAAATACAATACGGATACGGGACACACCCACTATTGCGTCCGCTAAAGCCAGCAGTGATCTCACACGCAACGAAGACAGTGTGTTGTCCGCCTCCCTGCTTCGAGAGCCGAATGTGTGATTTATGATATGTAAATCGTTCTTTTCGTTAAGATCAGGAAGGCGCAACTAACAGCATAGATACGGTAGTTTCATCACTCAACCCAAGCCCCCCCCCCACATCCGACACAGGGTTTAATTCCGAGAACGATAGGCTGGTAGGGTAGATTTAGCGTAGCCTGTAAGCAGGACGTCATTTTGTTTTGCACCCGCAGCGCACACAGGCGTCCCCAGCATGCCGGTCGTGACGACAACAGCACGCTCGGTTCCAGCGGCACGAAGTCGCCAGCGCTCCCAGCGCACATGCAGCGGATATAATCGCGTCCTCGCCACACATCAACTTCTACCTACTACGCAGACCAAGCTCAGCTCGTCAAAGGGGACCGGTTCCGCGATCAAGCCCAAGCTCACCGGACCTAAAATACGTATTCATCTTCGCCCTGTTCTCACCTGGGATCCTGGCGCGTGATCCAGAGCATCACGTAGCACTTCGGTTTTATAGGCCTTGACCCCTCTTGGCCTCATCTCGCTGTTGCCGTGTATCCACGCGATGTTTGTGCTGCCGTTTGTCAGCTGAATTCGAGGAGAGCGGTTCATTTACGCGAGCCGGAGATGGGTATGGCGGGTTCGTCATAAGCAGCGAAGCCAGCTCATATCATGGGGGGGCGCCTCGCTCAGCCTCACGAGCTCCACATCGCAAGCCATCACGCCCATTCCGAGGCTCAGAGAGCATGCACCTTTTTTTCCAGATACGCGTTAGGCATGAAGCGCGTAGCCCATGAGGCACTTGTGCTTCCGTCGAAATTAGCCGACACATCCGCTATCGACTTTTCATAAGTCCCCATATTGGCGCAAGGCGTCATCAGGGTTGTAGCGGTGGAAATATCGCTTAAGATTTTAAAGTTTTCTATCCAGCACAGGGAGATTAACATCTTAAACATCTTAAAGTTTTCTATCCCGCACAGGGGGATTATCGCTTCGCCAGAGTCGTAACATCCACTCTGAATCGGACTACAGCTTCATCCATCGAAAATCTGGCTGATGACATACAAGCTGGTATGGCTACAATAACAGAGTCGCGAACGGTACGTACCTCCACGGACATCTCGGATAGCTGCCTACTGGATACGCTACAACCTCAGCACAAAGAAGCGCGCCAATTTCAGGCGCTTCAGCTGCGGCTGCATCCGCAGATTATTGCTCAGGGTAGCGTGTAAGTGATCTTAACCGCCAAGGATAAGGAGTTTTCAGCAAAAACAAAACTTTAGCTTACTAGCGTTAGCTTGACTAAGCATGTTCGTTCTGATACTCCTAGAATATCTAAACTCGGTTGTTCAGGCACCACAAGTCCTCCATTGTGCCCTGGTGGCGCGCTTCGGGACGATGCCTGGCTCATGGACAAGACGAGCCCACTGTATAGAACGATACACATGTAGAATAGACACTCCAAAACCTTATTCATTTCTGATCATGGCAACAACGAGGCTGCCAAAATACTGGCCTATGCTGGCTTTAGGAGGGACGAACCAGAAGCGCCACACGTACTCGTCCAGATAGGACTCAGGCTTCTGCTTCGTCCTCGATGTGGTACTGGAAGGGGGTGCCCATGTTGATGGGGCTGCTGCGGCTGGGAGCTTGAAGGTAAGTTGTATTGTGTGGGCTTGAGCCCATGAAACTGACTGGCGGATAGTGCTGGGCTTTTATTTTAAAGTATACAAAACAAAAGTTAAAATATCTTGCAATCGGCATATACGCGACAGTCGTGGGCGTTTCATGCAGAGTTGTTGCCCGCATTATGGGTACACAACTGTGTCTGAAATATTTCAGGAGTGTCATTTCTAAATTTGTATCTTTCTAAATAGTGGGCTCGTTTTACTGGTGTACGACCATGTAGCTATCTTGTGTGCAGGTACTTTAAGTGGATGGGCTATTGTTGAAAGTCTCTATCCACACTAAATTAAATTAAAAATGATAGATGGGGCATAATTAATGGATTGGCAGTACCTTTCCAACGCTCTCTAACGTTATCTGCTCAAGCTAATTCAGTAAGATTAACAAGCGATAGTGGAGGAACATATTGTAGCAAGTGCGAAAATGTACCCGTTTTCGTTGACAATGGCGTCGGACTCTGGAAACAGGGTCTGCACTTTCGCTGCAGCTTTAGCCTCAACGATAGAAATAAGAATGCCGCGGTGATGGCAACAGGTTGACGCCCCGTCTAGCAGTGCGCAACCTGCGACATAAAAGTTGAAAGTCAGACTCCTCTGCCACACGTGTGCTCCATAGCGACTCATGGATCCGCTTTTCCTTAGCACTGGCACCCATGATGCCAGACCAGCTCGATGCGCAACTTTGCCTCTAGTGGCCTCATTACACCGACATCAAGCGGCTGGCAAGCAGGTGCGCTGTTTGCGGGTAGGGGGACCACAGTAGCATTAGCAACTTCAGCAACGAGCCACTGCTTCTCTTCCGACACATGACACTCGAAGTTGTCGAGAAGGAGGACAGCAGGCCCATCAACTTCATATTTTAACAACTTTCCTACGTAAAAACGCCAGGTAAGAGCGTCCATCCAAGCGTTTTCTTGGACGGTGTAGAAGTGTCCTTCAGGGTACTCTTCGAACTCGCTTGTCTCGATTCGACCGCCCAGCTTGCCACGAAGCACGAACAGAGTCTGCAACTTTTCCCCTATAAAGTATTATAACCAAAACAAATTAGCTTAAGAAAACTAAAATTGAGAGAACAAAAAGGACATTCCTATCAGCTCGAATTGTGAGCACCGCCGTCATGCGACCGGTGTGCTTGGACGTGTTCGCAAACAACGTCCTGGCAACCTCTAACTGCCCACATCTGAGCCGGAGGCATGTCAAATTTGATGGCCGTTTCGTCCACGTTGTACATGGCCTCCGGCCCGTACGCGGCGTGCGTTCCACAAGTCAGCGCAAAACCGGCACGCGTTTGCTCTAACACCTCGATGCTTTTCTTCGCCGTTTATGGCTTCTGGGAGGTAAACCCGTGGCTAAACACTCAAATAAAGGTAAATGTTAGGAAAAGGATGACGCTTTAACAAAAAAACATTTTTTACCGAATTGCGACTCTCTCGACCTGCGCGCAAGCGCCAGGACGACGATTCGCTTATTTTGCAGATAGTCTTCGACCCACTCTGTCTCGATTTTCCAAATGAAGGACCCAATCCGGCGTGTCATGAGAGCCTGTAGATTAAAGCATAACTTTTAGTGGTTAACCACTACAAATTATGAGATTCTGTATAAACAAACTTACCTTCTCTTCGCGCCGCACGTCTTTCATGAATTTAACGACCGCAGGAATGTTGGGAAATAGTTCCCTGTGGTGCTGGCCCTTCAGTGACTTCGAAGTGGAGTGGTCAGCGAAGTTTAAAGGCTTTTCATCTTGCTTTCCCGAGCCATGGACAGTGCCCCGAACGAGTTGGAGCTCGCGGGCAGCCTTCCCCACCCCTACGTCTTCAGCCAGGCGGACCGCTTCGCGCTTCTCGCGGACGGTGTAGCTCTGCTTCTTCTTCTTGGGCGGCGGCGTGTTGTCTATGGCTCGAAAAACAATGTAAGCGACTCAGCGACCAGCTCCAAAATAGGCGATGGTACCCGGAAATTGACCAGAGCCATTCAAAAAATAAATCACGGTGATTGACGAATGTTTATTGATAACATCAATTTGATTGGACAATATGTGTGGTTGTTTTGTATGAATATGTCTACGGAATGACAGGTTTTGCATTGCCGGATTTTTCCATCGTTACGCGTGTAGCTCGTACGAGCGAGATCATCATCGATTATAAGGAGCCGAGCGCGGACCACTGACAGATAAAAAGTAGTATTTGTTGGAGAGAGTATCCCCATGACATTTTTTAAAAGGCAATCTTACCTTACAAATCCGTTCTCTCGCACGCGTGGTAGAGAGTGATTACGCGTACGACCGTTTCGGGAGAGCAACCAGCCACTCAGCAACCATTTGGTTCGTGCGTTTTCCATTGAAAATCCTCTTTTCTCTAGAGCAAAACATCTCGGTGTCTTTCACCTTCGTTTTTTTTTCTTTTGGCGCTGGTGTACTCGTATTGAATAACTATCATTTTTTGGAGAACGAAAGAAGGATAGCGAAGATCGAGATGTTGCGCTGTGATATTAAGACTCTGAGGGATTCGTTGGGGTGCTGCGGAACTACATCTTTAAATGTGACCGGCTAAAAATGTATGTACATTGGAAAAAGAAATACGCGGGTTAACCCCAATCAGGCACGTAGTTGGAAGAACATAAAAATGGTAGGACAAAACCAATTTCATTTGGGTATAGAATAGTGTACCACAAGTTTTGTCAAGCGATCCGTCTAGGACAAAAATTGTGTTCTAGAGGGATCGCTTTAAAACAGAAAGGTCAAGGAAACTTCCGTCTAGAACAAAATTTGTGTTCTAAACAGTTCTAGTTGGACCAAAAACGTCAAGGACATTTTTTGTCCTCCCGGTCTTAGCAAATGGGCGGCTGGGGCTAACGGCCTGCTGTAGTTCTTCTTGTATCTTGGGATCCCATGAGTGGCTAATGTATATGTTGACAACGAATCAAATAGTGTTCATATACAGGGTAGCGAAAAAACGTTTCTACGTTAACCACCACGTAGTACCGCCGTGCACACTTCGTGCGTGGAGGAGGAACTCTTGCCTCGTCGAAAAAATATTCTGACGGAGTGCAGTAGCCCATAGCCATACTAGGAGCAAAATAAAGCTCTGTATCAACGGACGCTCGGCGATCAGCGAAAGGTTAGAGCTCTTCCAACACTGCTAATGTAATCTAACTGTCCAGCAAGGCCGTCCACGAAATCATTTCAAATTTCCGAGCATTTCTAACAGCAGTTTGCGTAATCTTCACGTAGTGCTAATTGTCGTGTGTTAAATTACCGCAGCGGAGCCTCGGCAAGTCACTGTGCGAGTTTATCAAATCTTATTTTTTTTGTTTTTGAGCTAAAGGGAACGGTCAATTAGGGGCAGCTTTAATAGCTGTTCATTTGCGAGCAAGATACTTGTGATCCATTGGACGCAGAGAACAACATGCGACAGTTCCGAAAAGCCCGACGTCTCGGCTTCATTTTTAGGTTGTCCTTGGTCATGAACCAATGGTATTGTTCTATGGATCCGTCAGCGAATGAAACCACTTCGACAGCACCGTTTACCAATTAGAGGCCAGATTACACTTGTGTTCAGTATACTGCCGTGCTCAGGGTAACTTTGATTGTAACGGGAGGTTGATTGTCAACAAGAACATCATGGTTTTACAATCTATACGGTACGTTATGCATTTCAAAGGAGGGTAGCCACTTTTGAAAACGCTGCATTCCGAAACAGACGCCGATGCGCACGCCGCACAGGATGGCGCGCGGGGCGCTGACATTCTTGAAGCCCCACGACCGCCGCTGCCAACAGGACCACGATACACGGATGCCCACATGTGTTCTGGCTCGCAGCTACTGCGCCGCCACCAGGACCACGATACATGGCTACCCACGTGTTCTGGCACGCAGCGCCTGCGCCGCCTGGGCCCAAGATACCTTCTGTGATGTTATATCGACCCGTCAGGGCGGGCGTAATGCTGCCCGATTGATTAGCGCCAGAACCAGCACCTGTGGGAAGCACAGTTCCCTCTACCAGGTCCAAGGTGGCATGGCTCAGGACGGTAACATAGAGTGGGAGCCGTACATACTCTCATGCTCTGATGCACGGCAGGATATTCACAGGTTTAGGCCGCGGTGGTCACCCAAGACTAGAACTCATATCACGGTAAGCACTTCATTTTGTTGAACGCCATATTCGCGTATGAACTAGTACTAACCATGTGACTGCACCTGACTAACTAGTGCAGCCTCGATGGTGTCAGCGCTCAACGGAGATGACAGTAGCACTCGTGGCTTCTTTCACGTGGCAGAACGCAAGTTGGGCTTGCCCCCTTCACCTTCCTGCGGCACCGCGTGGGCGCCCGCCAACAGTAACGGGCTTCCTCTTCTTTCCAGTGCTGTTGCTTGGAGGTTGAGGCAGCATCAAAACCTCTTCCTACACAACGCCCTTCATGTGAAGCCATGCGGCTAGATGCACACCCAGTGGCGCCCCATTGCGCGCGAAAGTTTCCGGCCGCGCACGCATCCTTACCAGCGATAGTAGGGAACAGCACACAAGCCTGGAACTCTCACTGGATGTTGCGGCCAACCTGTGGTCCTCGCCATGCTACACTTGCTATCTTAATTGCGTCTTTCTTATCGATGTTGCAGTAGCCGTCATCTCTTCCTCAACCAGTTCGCTGATCATGTTGCGAATCTTGCTCTTGAGGCAGGCAAATACCGTGACGTCCAGCGGTTGAAGTAGATGAGTTGCGTTCGGGGGCAGGGAAACTAGCAGGATGCTCAGCTGCATAGCTGCATCAACGCCCTTGTCGGAGTAGTGTGACACACACGCATCAAGGGCCAGCACAAGCGTACGCTGGACGGTACTTGGCACCGAGCTCGCAAAGAAATGTAGTCATTCCTTGAAAAGGTCCGTGCTCATAAATCCCGATGGCGATGTCGTCACAGCAGCGCCGGGCACCACGCAGCCCTTCAATATCTGGCACCAGACTGGCTTGTCGTGCAAGATGAACACAGGAGGCACAACGGAACCACTTGCACTTGTGGACGCCACGATGTTCAGGTGGGAACTGGCGGTAGGTTCGGTGCACCACCCGTTACTCGATCCTCGAGCGGCAACCACGATCTTGCTCTTGAGCTGCTTCTGGAACGCTGTCTCAGCAATGTCAAAAACACGTGAGGGATCTAGTTTCAGCTCAATTACGAGCTTAGCTAGGGTGTTGCAGAGGGTGGTACGGTCCGCCGGGTCGACGCAATTGTACTCCAACGACAGCGACTGGGCCAAACGAGAGGTAAGGGCAGGGTAGCCCTCCTTGAAGCGCTTATGCCAACCCTCACCAACACCTTCGCCACAATCGAGTAGGGTGATCTCTTGGGCTTTGCGGGTGACGGCAGAGTGGCCGACGGGATGCCCCATGAGATGCCTGCCGACGACCCAATCGTAGATATGGCGCTCCCTGCCTAGTGGGAAGTAAAGCTTTGGCCCGGGCCGTGCAGAAGTTAGAGGCCGGCCCGCTGCTGTCGTCATACCGAGGTTTTAGGCTTGAATTTCAACAGCCGCAACCGCCTCAGCCGAACACGGCAGCCAACGAAGAGTGCTGCCATTTATCATCAGGATGTTTTTTTCTCATGTGAGGGGCATTGTAGCTGTTGCCACCACCAGCAAACATTGTGCCTCAAGTACACTTTGAAGCGTAAGGAAGCACTTGTTGGTGGTGGCACTTGTCATCTCCTCGAGAGCGGCATTCACAGCCGCGATGATCCCGTCGACGTCCCGCGTTTACTTCTTGTTCTGCGGGCGGCTGCATCGAGCAGAACCAGCCCAAGTCGAGCCCATTAACCCTTTCACTACCAGAGATTTTTAGTAGGTCCACTCCGGACCCATATGACAGCCAGTCGCCTTGCAGTCGCCTTAATAAATTAACCAATAGTGAATCATTTTGCTTCCACGTGGAACTTATTTTTGCCCGCGGAGTAACTCACGGTAGTGCATTATACCTGAATTTCCGATTTAGCGAGATGACCGCCGCTCCTAGTGCTATACTTCTACTGAAACATACGATGTGCAAATGGGGCGGTTTTTATCGACAACAGGATCGAATGCTGTCAAGCCGTTGTACGCCTCGCTCGAGGGCAATTTACCAGCTTATCTACCACTATAGTACTATGCAAGAATAGAGAGGTTTCGCGCGCGGCTTCCATCACCTTTACCCTCAAAAAGCTGTTTAAAACATGCAAAAAACCTATCCACCGTCTAGAAAATCTGGTGGAAGTCGCATATGTAGTGGCTTTCTCCACCACCCTCAGCCTCCATCCATCCACTGCCAACACGCTTGTCAGCGCCCGAGTAGCGTCACTTTTGCTTCGGCAATGGCAGAACCAACCAAGCGCAAGAAAATCACCGAAGAGGAAGATGTCATGCTTTTAAAGCAGACACTCGCGGACGAGCCCTACCAGCAGGAGCATGGCAAGGTGATGGAGCACTGGGAGAAGTTGGCACAAACATTGGTGGCTTGTGCCGACTTCTCACGTAAGAATCTCAGCGAAAACGGCCCAGAACCGCGTTAACGCGCTTATCGGTAAGCAAATCGTCTCCTCTTTAACCCCTCTAGCCCATATTCTGTATCCTACAGAATAAGCATTTCGACAGGTTTAATATCCGGCAAACCTGGTTTCCGCGAAAAACTTCGCATATAGGTTTTTGTATAGTGATTAATCAGCCCATCATTCCTGTTGGATCTGTGATGAGTAGATAGACGGGGATTCTTCTGCGGCTATAGAAGGACGAGTATAAATCCCCAACAGGTTGGAAAATTGGGGTGTAAGGCCAAAGTGACCGTTTGGCAGCCACTCGCGGTGCCTGTCACTTCGGAACAAAAAACCGCCCTGACCAGACGTACCTCGAGCTCTGCAAGCCTGGTAAGAACGTGCTAGTGCTGCTGCGTAGGCGAGGGCCAGGCGCTACTGGGAGCTCGAGGTCGCCATAACAGTCTACTCGTAGTAGTGATGCTAAAGGTAAGCAAGTCTATTTACAGTCTGTTCGATATATTGTCTAAGGTAAGTCTGGAATTGTATTCAAGCGCACGCGAGCCCATAGTGCGCCGTGCGAGGCGGTGCTGCCGGCTACTACTAAGTATCGAGACGCGCGTTCGTCACTCCTGGACCAGCCACCTCCATGAATGTATCCGCAGCGGTAGCAACGGCTTCAACTAGCGCTCCACAGCAGCGCATGCGTCGTTCAGGCGCTTACCAGGTAGGGGGTAAACGGCCGATGGAGACGATGCGATAGAGGGGCTAGATGGAAGCTGCAGACCAACGTGTATTGACTGAATTTATTGTGATGGTACCTACAGAATAGACCAGTCCGGCAACGATGGATATGAGGGATGCTACAGATCAAACCAGACCAACCCAAGTGGATACAGCAGAAGGTACAGAACAAGGCTTTGTGCTGATTTGAATACGACGGATGCTACAGAGTAAGGCGGCCGTGAGACGGAGTCTACTGAACAAGGGACTTCTAGCAAACGCTTCGACGTACACGGCGCGAAGCCTGGGGTGACCACCGAGAGCGTTTGGCCCGCATGCTGCTGTATATTTAGGATGTAGCAGAGCTTATCGATAATGCATTCGTATATTACATCTTATGGATACTGTGCGTGCGACGGACATGAGCGAACGCCATAGCGCGATAAAGTGATCACCAGCGCTAGTTAGCAAGACAATGGCAAGGATTCGTAGGGAGCGAATAGATGCGTACACGAAGTCTATCGGTGGTCTAGCGACGCTAGGAAATAATTGCCCAGTTCCTCCTCACTCCGTTAGTTAGGAACGGGGCATTTTTTTCCTCAGCGCCTGGGCCTCACCCGCCGCGTGGCATGAAGGACGGATGGCTGGTGCTATTAACGCTCCTCGGTTCGGACTCATACCGAACTTGACAGGTATTGCCGTTCTAAAGGTACTAACGTGTGTGTTACGTTTGTTTCGCCCAATGAGCACACACGATTTTTACCAGATGGTGGATACATTGCTCATCTTTTGTCCACTTTCGCACCTATTTTGTGCTGGAAGTGCACAATTGATGTACCGTCACCCTGTAAAGAGTTGCAATAGCATACCTCCAGCAGTTTTGACGTATACTCTAATCAAGTCATCTTATTCTGTATAATCGCTACAGAATAAGGTTGGGGCTAGAAGGGTTAAGTAACATATATTGCTAACAATTCTGAATTTGTAAAATTATTATGTAGCTGCTGCTAAGAAGAAGGATGGCACTGCCAAGCGGCTTTCCGGTGTTACGGAGACGCACAGCGAGAAGGACGAGCTCCTTGACGAGCTGATCTTAAGGCTGGAGGAGTGCAAGGCAGAGAAGGAGGCTAAGAGGAAGATGAAGGCCGACAAGGATGCTCCGAGCGAGAGTGCAGGTGAAGCCATCAGGCGTCTCGCTGTTGAGAGGTTGAAACGCTCACGAGAAGACGATGCTGTGGATGTACCTCAAGAGCGAGCAAATTCGCGAAGCTTGCCGATATCCTACAAGCTCAAAAGAGCAGGAGTTTGTCATGCGAAGGGAACAGTGGGAACAAGAGCGCCAAGATCGCCGCGACATTGAGAAACGCTTCATTCTCTTACTCGAGCATTTAGCTAACAAAAAGTAAATAGAACTGTGGTTGGTTCATGCTTTTATTTTGTGTTAATTGGTTATGTCTAAGTAGTCCTCAAGGGGCGGGGGAGGTAAGTCAAAGAACTGACTAATTTGATTGCCGCCATTATAACAGCAGTGACAATTTGTCAGTAGTATGGCAACCCGCACAAATTCACCTACCAGACTGAGCCGAACCTTTAGATTTTTCCTGTAATCAATGAAAGCCCAAAGACTTTGCATGATCCCGAATCCCATTCTACTGCGGTCCTCACTGCACTCATTTCCTTGTTGAAGATTCGCGCATGCGTTGAAAGCACTACGTCCTTAAAGCGGGTAACGACGAACTCGCTCACTGAATACGCAGGGTCGCCAAATATGGCTTTACCTTCGAATGCATCTGCATTCTCGCGAAAGTATTGCAGGAGGCAGCTAGCAGCAAGCACAGTCTTGTCGTGTCTACGCCCTTCAAAAGGCCCGAAAAAATGCATGCATAGTCCGTCGGGGGTCGTCAATCCTAATACAGTTATCATAATACAATTAGTCAAAGCCAATATCGTAGTCGTTGAAGCTCAAATTATATTACCTGAAAGATGAGACAGTGTAATCTCTTATGGCCGCTGTAGACTTGACGCTGTAGATTCTCCGACCGATGGCCCTTGCGAGGAGAAGGACGGTAAATGCCGATCTTCGTTCCGTCTAGAAGTGCGAAGACGCTAGGCACAGAGGTACGGCGCTCTATAGTTTCACAATAGGCGCCTATTTGTCTGCGAACATGATCAAGATGAAAGTACATGCGCTCGCTATACCTTGCGTCTACGTAGTCAACTAAAGCACAACGCCGTTTGCAAGTTAACAAAACCCACCCACTTCGTGTTAAATCAATACGTACTCATCCACAGGAAAATGCGGCTAAGTGCAGGTCTTCATCGGCCGAAGGTGCGAGCCATGTCGTGTAGTCGGCGAGGATAACTGAGCCGGTAGGGCATGACTGCTGCAGCTTCTTCGGCATGACAACGATCGTTGCTGTCCGTCACAACGACAGCAGGGAGCGGGAATAGGCGCACTAGTAGCCGAACACCACGCACGTCAAACCGAAAGTCCAGCACGGAGTTAATGTCCGCGTAGGTGCCAAGGTTGAACCGCACATCAGGAATTAGTGGTCGCTCTGGGACATCAAAGAACCCAGCCTGTAGAAGGGCTAGCCACAACGCCTCTTCACCAAACGAGGCTAGCAGCGCTAGCAGCTCCAGCGCTTCGTCCTGGGTGAACGGCATCGCCGCCGCTTACTTGCTTGCTTGCGTGTGCTTGCTTGGCCTTTACGCATTGGCATATTATTGGCTGTGGGATGGGTGGTACACTAGTGGTACGCGGGTAAGGAAAATGGGGCGAAACCTCTGTTGGGCATAGCCATTACCTTCACATTTATGACCTGCTCTAAAGGAAAAGTGAAGGTGAAAAATTGTACAAAACCTCTCTAATGTCTGCATTTGTAAGTTGACGCGTATCTATATTCCGCTGTGTGTGTAGGCGAAGGTAGCGCGACTGAATAATATAGCCAGGTACTACGACTGCATTGATACTGTGCATACTTGACAGTACATATAGCTCTCCTATGCTGTGCGTATTCGTTTTGATCGTCGACATCGGCGTGCGCTACGTGTACATGTAGATAATGGCGCTAAGGTTGCATCAAGGGGTGGATCAATTAGTGGCTGGATCATGAGTACGGCGAGCTTGTAACAATGGCAAGCTCACCAGTACAGCTCGCTGTTCAACCCTGTCAAGCTAGGTAGAACCTGCTGAGATAAAGATAATTGGTGTATTTACGCCTTCAGTTACATACCATTGATGGTATTGATGATATGGCATTGTGGCTAAGAGGCTGGTTGCCAGCTTTACTCGGCTTGTCAGACGCTAACTACTGGCAGGACTCCGGCATCGATCCGACTCTTTACACTGATACCTGTTGCAGCCGTTCTACGTGTTGGCTTATCTGGGATTTTAGTAAGATAGTCTACTAATAGCGCCGTTGTGCGACGTCTTTCTTGCTATTAGATGCAGCTTTCCCTATACTTCTTACCAGCTCGGGTTCATTTTTATCGCCTAACGGAGCCACCACGTAGCATCCCGAGCTTTCATGGCAGCCATTAGCCACTATTTGTGAGAATGCTTCCACAAGCAGTAACAACTAGCCGACATGTAGTGTACGCACTATTGCAACCTAAGATGTAAGCTTAGAATAGGTACGAGCTACTCGTTCTTCCCGCTTATTTGTTGCGCGCGGCACCAGGTGAATGTGGCACGCTGCTCATTGCCGCCGCTGGTTTCGTGGAGAAAGCGCCGATAGCATTTGAGCACACGCTTCTCGAACAACTCCACGTCGTAAGTGATGGCCTCATGCCCGAGATAGAATGGCACACGCGAGGCGCTCGGATGCCATGGAGTACTATGAATATGTGAATACTCTGGCGTGTATGACGCCCGTGCATCTATTTCATGTTAGCACAAAGACTTCGTGTCAATGTGAAATTTCAAGTATGCTTGCTCCCAAACTAATCTGGCGCTCACGATACTGCGCGAATTAGAGGTCCGCAGCGGTCCTACTAATCTTGGTGAGCAACATTCCCGAAACCCTTCGACGTATTTTTATCCAATCAACAGTACATGTACCTGCTCTAATAGGACCGCTACGGACCTATTCATGCATCAGGCTGGGCTGGTAGTGAAAGGGTTAAAGCCAGGGCTTCACGGTGGCTGGCTGGCGGAGAACTTAATCGACCGGCCTCCCGATGCAGCCGCAAGTTTCGCTGCCGTCCTGTCCGAGGCATGGTGAGGGCGGTGTCCTGCTGTACGATCACATCTCCCTTACCTATACACAAAAATATTCATAATAAATAATAGGGGTTGTCAATGCTAGCAGCAACTAGTCGCTTTTTTTCTGCGCAAATCGGGCAAAAATATTTTAAGCCAATCGCTGAGAGCGGCCATTAACTACCCCGTTTAGCCCGCGCAGCAGCAAGTGCAGATTTTCTGCGCGGGTCGATCGAAATGCCCATGTCCAAGGGCACGGCAAGCCGTCTTCGCAGACAGAAGGCACCCTTCGACCTTGGATGCGAAGGGATCGCTCTACCGGTGCCTTTTTGTTAACCTGAGGCGCTGGTTAAGACGACCCTTCACCGTTGCCAGCAGAAAAAAAAAGTTGTTGCTGCTGCGGGCCGCTTGCGCGACTTTTTGTTCCGTTAGCGAGAATTTTTTCCAGCCAATCACAGGCCGGGAAAAATCAGCCGACTTGCGCAGAAAAAAAGCGACTTGTTGCTGCCAGCATTGACAACCCCTATTAGTGAGCACAACACATTACAAGATATGTTGCAAAAACATGATCTGGCCAAACTCGCTTACAAGCGGCGATTACGTGCTGCGTCAGCAAGAGCTCCTAGACATCCTTCGTCATCTTAACGGGGGTCGTGACCGGAGTCCCCTTCAGCCGGTTCTTTCTGCTGTGGACAGCCAACTTGGTCTCCACCCCTTTATCCATCTGTATCTACAGTTTTGAGTTTAACCGGGGTCAGGTAAGCAGTCGTCGGAAGGAGTAGGCAACCATAAGCATGGTGGAGTTGCGCTTCTCGCGCTTGCTGCAGGACGTGGCGCCCCGCAGCGCGCCGCCCGGCAAAGCTGTGGTCGAACCTCTCGATGGCACGACCACCGGGTCGGACGACGAGGAAGCAACAAAAACATGATTTTAGTCGTGCTTCAGAAAGCGTGTCGAGACTACGAATATCTATCACATGCACTGTCTGGTTAACGGGTGCCCTTGGTGCGCCCGCACCCGCAACAAACCGTCCGCCCGCCAACCCTGATTCGCAGACGACAGCTGCAATGTGCTCGTCGAAAGTACTCGGTGCGAACAAGATGCTTAGTGATGTATTGTTGTTGACGAAGCCAACCTGGCGTTGGGTCAAAGTCCGACCAAGTCATGCTGGATCGAGCCGCTAGCATCAAGAGAGAATTTCACTTAAATTAAATGCAAGAATGGCGCGTAGACGACAATTGAAACGATAACTATGTCGTATATGTACATTAACTTTTTCTGTGATAACATAGCGTCACATCAATTCCAAAGACGTTTGGTTCCCCATATACCATTTTCAAAGGATAGCACACTACAAAAGCAGCGTTGTTATGGCCGCGGATTTATATATAGCATAATTATTGTATATATAAGAATATATTCTGAGTTTTTTTTCTTTTTGCAGATTAATTTTATAATTATTACGCATATAGCAGCGGATGTATTGGTGAGGCGGATTCAGTTCAAGTGGCATTAAAATCCGGACGTTCGCTGTCATGCCCGTCGCCATCACCGCTAAGTTCTTGTCCGCGCCCAGCCGTGCGACGGCCTTATTCTCCACAGTTTGTCCAGTTCGCAAGCCGTGCCAAAACCAAGGGGGTATGTCACGCAGGTGTTTGAGGACCAAAACATAGTTGCCGCCATTAAGTTAGTGCCAGCCCATATTTTTACCTGTAAATCCGATCCGATTTTACCGTTTTGTGTGGGCATTTATCCTGGTGGGAGGAGGACGTCGAGGGGGGGGGGGGGCTCAGCGACCCAGGTTGTACAGGATGCCAATCGTATACAGCTTTCCGAAGCCGCACCATTGAGAATGAACAACACATTCTAAGAACTATAGGCTGTAACGTATTCTACACCGACCGGTTACCACCAGCGAGTCAGCTACCTAGCATGTCGCGCGTGTCGACCGCTAAAACGTTGGTATAAATCGGTGTAGCATACGCCCTATCTCATTAGGGATGCAGGCATCCATTCATGAACTGCGTCACGATTTCCTGGGTGTGTAAAGTTGAAAGGCAGCTAGTCACCCAGGCTGCGTTAAGTGTATGGTTTACACATCAACAATTCTACTGCATAGTTTAAGTAAGTGTACAGCGGCTAAAATCAACTCGATAACCCCAAGGGATGGGTTTATTTACTCAGTTTCCAAACCAACCATCGTTATGAACACACTCAAGTCGTTGATTGCATGTTGCCGATAGCTGGTGGTAGGTCCCGTATGCATCGGTAGACTTAGCGCGCATCCTGTGCTTTACCTCGGGCTTTCCCGCCAAAGTGGCCTCAGGAGTACACAGAATGGGTACATTTACAAATATAGTGACATGTATTTCGCTTAGACTTAACGGCTACTCTGTTCCTACAGATGCTGTCCACTACAACAAACGATGAGACTAAGAAGTACTACAGAAGCACCGGCAGAGAAAAACCCTGAAGAAGGTTGGTCGAGTGGGCAGGCTCGACGTCGGACACAATAGCTCATGTCGAACGTGGTGCAAAGTGTTAAGGACCGGGACTTCATGCTCGCCGGTATCGCCCACGCGGACAAGAAGACCAAGCACGGCCGCCACATGACCTACCACACGGACCCCCCCGAACGACGTGCGGCTGGGGAAAATATCCTACCTGGTGTCCTATCAAGTGCTGTTTCCTGATGCTGCAAACAAGATCCACATCCCGAATCGGCGCGGCAATGGAGAGCACACCGAGAATACGACCATCTCCAAGGCCGGCAGTACGTCCGCAGAGCTGTCCCCAAGCCGCTTCACGACGGTGATCCGCGGAACGAGCGGCTACGCGGTGATTTTGCCTGCCAGGATTCCGCTCAGGGTCGAGTATACAGGTGAAGGTTGCCCGGATTACGACACGCCCTCGACGTTCGAGAAGCGCGTGCAGAAGAAGATGAAGAAGTTTTCTCTGGGGGCGTCGTACAATGGCTCGGAACTCACGGAACTGTTCTATTGCGACGGACCGGTCACCGACGACAGTCCACCGGCCAAGATTTTCCTGGACGAGTTCATCGAGTACAAGGCGGAGTAGCGGCTTGCTGTGTTCTCGGTGTTCGGCCTCAAGCACGCGCGCAATGCAGCCTTGGCTCAAGCCAGCGCGTCTTCGCAAGATCCGCCGCCCGCATCTGCGTGCGAGTCTCCAGTAGCTGTCTCCAGTTCTCCAGTTGTGTCAGTACCTGCCGAGTCTGCTGCCCAAGCCGATTTAGAGGAGCCCCGCTCGGTGACACTTCAACGACGCCGACCTCCCCCCCCCAAGTTCCCCAAGTGGACCATCACAAGAAGAAGATGCTGCGACTCCTATAGGCCTGGTAACTTCACGTTCGACGGAGCGTGACCAATTTTCTGTCGCTGACACGGAGTACCAACTATTTTCAGTGGGCTGCGTGGTGAAGTTGACACTGCTTTCGGCGGCATCAATGCATTTGTTGCGCTGTTATACGATCGGCAAGCATGCTTGATACATGCCTGTGACGCCGATTTGGTCTACGCGAAGAAAAAGGTTAGCTCGATCGAGGAGCCAGGTCAAACGCGAACCACCAAGATCGAAGAGCAGACGACAAAGATTGATGAGCAGACAGCGAAGATCGAAGAGCAGAGCAGGTTGATTCACGCGATGATCGACGAAGTTCAGCAGCTACGAGAAAAATGAGTTCTGAGCAAAATTGTTCTCTTACGATGTTGCACCTCTCTGTGTTGTTGCAGTATGTACATCATGCCACGACTACGGGATAACTTTAGATTGAATTCGTCTCTGATGAGGTTTGAGAACAACTTTAGCTTTGCCAAATAATGTTCAAGATTGTGCTACGTTCTAAAAGAATATGAATGTCACCATATCTGTTATATCTAAATTTCATAAATTGATTGAATGAATCAAAACGGTATATCCCTAGTTGGATTACAAATTTTGCGATTGTTAGCTTAACAACCCGGGTATGCGTCAAGTACACCGGAAAAAGCAGATTTGTGGGGGGTTACTCAAGAATAATAGATGCGCTATACAAAATTAGGAAGATCGGAAAGGTCTAAGGGAAAGAAAGGAACTTGAAAGCACGCTTGGATTCAATTGGGGTTCTTAGTTTGTTTTATCGGCTTGGAAATCTCCTCCCAAACTTTGCCCCTATGACCCCCTCCCCTCCGCATGTATTCGCATTTAGTTGGTTTTCAACCAATCAAAAGTGCCGATGCAATGATAACTGAAAATGATGGTGGTATCTTATCGTTTGTTTTGTATGGACCTCCTAAGACGCAATGCCATTTTTCGAAAAAAAGCGGCATCATTGCACGTTCTCGAAAATGGGCACAATGTTGTACTCGTGGAGCTGCTGTGCTCTACTGTTTGGTCGTTCAGGAATGCTAGCGCTTGATATACATTGTAAAGTTATGTTCTACATGTTGTAAACGTCCGCAATGCATTCATTGTTCAGCGGATCTTTTATTTACTAAAAGGTCAATCATGTCCCATTTGAGCGGTGTACTTGAGGCAGATCCGGTTGTTAAAAGTGATATTTTTAATTACACCATTTCCCTAGTAAGCTGTGCCATGACTATACACCGTGTACGTCTTGAAGAGTGAGTCACCCTGTTTTGACTTTTAGTTTTCTGGGGAACCATTTGTATTTACTAAATTCAAAATATATAGCACGCAATTCGTACTACCGCGATCTACCCGAATCCGGTCTCATTTCTCAATAAGGTGAAATTGAAAATCTGTTTTGAAACCGGTGGAATGATTATCAAAGATGCACGACTATTTTTAGGGTGAAGGGTGTACCGTTTTTGAGAGCTGTCACTTCAGACCACTGCTTATTGAAGTTGTAGCGTTGTACATTGGTTTTAGCCCCTTTCGTGCAAAATATGGTCATATTCTGCTCGTTTTGCACGTTTGCTACGGTATAAATAGGAGATCTGTCTGCGGTGGGAGTTTTCATATACGATATTAAATTCTATTAAGCTCTAATTAGATAGAAAGATAACGTAAAATACGTATTACACTAGCAAGTGAAGCAGCTGGCGACGACCCGGGTCAGCAAAAGAACCCGGGGCTCGCAAATCCTATCATCACGCATGATTAGTGGGATGAAGTTGCACAGGTATCCAGCAGTCCTACCAACATTGGATAATGTTATGGTTGTTGTAGATAGTTCTACTACCTAAGTCAACACAACACTGCCTCTAGATATTCTTGTTCAACACAATTGAATAAGTTTTAACAAAAAAATACTAGTTGACCATAGTTGTGTTCCCCAGGCCAAATAAAATAATTAAACACAAATATCCATCTTTTTGTTTGCGGGACCAGTGTCGTCGCCAATCGTTTAGAGTGCTAATTTTCCACATGCAAATTCCGCACTGCGAATTCTGCAAGACACTAAAATTGCATGTTCTGTGAGCGTAAGGCGCACTAACGCTCACAATACAATGCTCAAGTTGCAGAGGCGTGCGAAAGCTGGAGAAGGGTACTACGGTTCAAACAGTGGGGTCGAAAGTTGATTAATTTATCTTTGCTTACCTAAACGACCTCGAAGCAAAACGTTGGCGATCGTGCGTACGCTTTAGCTCGTTTTTCTTGTTACTTTTTGTCTTAAACAAAACTAGTTTGTTTTGGGAAACACGATATTTCAAAATTATACAATAGTATTAAAAATATGAATTTGTATATGTATGTTTTTATTTTATCTTCGTTTTTATCATAGTGTAGTGTATTGTTAGCATTGGCGTCTTAAGCTTAGGAAGTCGAAATCTTAGGCCGTGTTCGAGATGGCACCCAAATAGTAGTTTTGTACACATTTGGCGCAGCAAATAGCCGCTTTGAGTATTTCGCGGTTTTTTTATAGCTCAGTTTTAGAGAAACCTCAAGTGCTTTGAAATCGCTGTATTTGAAATTTAGGGTAGAGCTGTTTTCCACGAAGCAGCTATTTCACTCGGAGCTGTTAAGAAAGCAGATTATTGGAAATGGCTGCTTTATGTGAAATAGCTCGATATGCGCTAATTTAACTCGAACTCGGCCTTAGATATATCTAAAAACAAATATTGTGCCTCGCACACATTTTGCCATCCTGATTTAAGCGTCAAATTGAAATGGCTCATCAAATAAAAATACTGTAAAAACATGCCAGCACCCATAAATCGATCCTTCTAGAAGTGCTCAGGAGGCTGATCGGTGCATACACATATTCAGCAAGCAACAGATAGTGTACATGTATCGGATGTGGAAATGCCAATCAAAAATGGCATTCCAAGCTATCTGGCGCTAGATCGAAAAATGGCATTCCAAGCTATCTGGCGCTAGATCGAAGCTGCGCCAACAAATCAGGGCTGATGCATGGATCATGTGCTCGTTTCAAAAATAAAACGATCTCACTTTATATTAAATCGAGGAAACCTACGTGGGAACGGACATTTTTGGTGCAAGGCACAATACAATTTCCGGATTAATAATTATCGTTGTATTGTGAAAACCGATTAGTTTGTCCTGCTGAATTAGCCGGTTAAACATTGCTCATAGCGGATTTGAAGACTAATGAATCGGGGATGTCTCAATTATAATCGGAGTATAAATCGCTCATCGGTCTCATAATTGTGTGCAGTCTAGCAATTTCGATCAACATGCATGTACCCTCGGCCCGAGACTCGCCAAGTGCAGCGACAACACCGCGCTTAAACGCGTCACCTGCATATCTCAGTTACATGTATTATAGCGTGCGGCTTTTCCTGCTTAGTTATGATGTTAGTGTTGTAGCCTTGACTACCTTGCCAAGAGTGAATGCAACGATTGTTGTCTGGCGGCTGATTTAGCCTACAAGGAGCGAATGCCGGTTGCACATCGGACATTCCATCTGAATAGCAAGCAAATCGGCCGGCTCTGGCTTAATCGGCCGATTAGCAAATGTAAATCGGACTCATATGCTATGACTCTGTAAGTCGTTCTAGGTACCGGTAGTAATATTGAGTATAAATCGAGGTACCCCAGTCTAATTAGGAGGTCGGATTTATCAAATCGGGGGTCGTCAGCCTTATTAAGCCACTAAATCGTCGGATTAACAATCCAATAAGACATTCTAATCGGTTTTCACAATATCATGTAGATCAAAAATGTTTATGACTAAGTTGGCTACACAAACTTATATGTACTGATTTTAGATAGTTTGTTTTGCTATTTTAGCAAGTGTTGTGTGGCTCACTTCAAGAAGACCTTCACTCACACTCATCTCCGGACGGGGTGAAAGGGCTGTCCGCGGCGCGACTCCGCGTGATTAAACGCAACCTGGTTCTCGTCTTCGAGTAGATTATTTAATATATATCATGCAGCTACCTTTATGAGAATGCCACAGCTCCATAACTTTGTGCGGTGGCTTTGAGCCCCCGCGTTGCCTTTAGCAATGCGTTCATGACATTCGTCCGTTTGACTGTACAAACTGGTGATATTAATTTTCGAAGGTTTTCTCTTGGTGGAGGAGTGAAGGACGTCGAAGGGGGGCGAATGTTTGCGGAAAGTTGCCTTCATTTACAGACTTACGCCCATCAAGGTGACCGCAGCTCCTGTCGCCCTATACGACGCCCCTGCACGCCCGCGACAGACCCAAGCTCACGCATACCGTGCTCCTGCTGACAAGAGGAGTCGATCCATCCTAGTTACGCTCCTTGAAACGCCACAGCCGAGCCCGCAAGAGAATTAATCCAGGAGATCTATCCCACGAGCCATGAGTAGCACCGTCGCGGCCTCCTCGTTGACCACCGCGACGTCCGTCACCAGTGATAGTGCCATGCCGCCCAGCAAGCGCCAGAAACTGAGCGAGGACGACGTCGTTAAGCCAGAGCCCGACTCGAAGGACGGCGTCCTGGCCGCGTCGCACACGGAGGACGCTGGAGAGAACGCGCAGAAGAACGACGCGGCCTCCAGTGCAGCCGCGGCCAGCGGCCTCCCGCCGAGTGTGGCGCTGAGCCTCCAGAAGGACCCGTCCTGGATGCTGGGCGACGTCGACAGCTTCGGCGGCCTCGGCCCCATTCCGTCGATGAACGCGGTGCTGGAGAAGCGCACGTCGAGTCAGTTCTCCATCAGCTCGCTACTGCCGTCGTCCGTAAGCACGTCAACCACCGGCATCCAGAGCACGGCGGCTGAGGCTGCACGCACTGAGGTAGATAGCGGAGAGGCGACCACAGATAACGAGGGTCAAGGATCTGCAGTCTCGGCTACTACCGCTACGACTGCCAGTGCGGTGGTGCCGACGCTGGCCGAAGGATCGGGCGGTAACACCAAGTACATGGACCCGAACACGGGCGACTACATGTACCCAGAGAACGTGAAGCCCATGAGCTTCTATGACAAGCAGCGCCTCGTGCAGAAGATCACGATGCTGCCCAGCCAGTACTTGCGCGGACTTATGGACGTGATCAGCAAGTACCAGCCCGACACTGTGCGACAGATCGACGACGACGGCTACGCCTTTGATCTGGGCCAGATGAACGAGAACACCGTGTGGGCCATCAGCGACTACGTCAAGGACTCGATGATCGAGCTGGATGGGTACATCAAGTCCCTCAACCAAACAGGGATCAGTCTCTCCACAGACGAGGATCGGCAATCGGAAGGCACTGTACTGACGGCCACAAGTGCGGCCTCGAGCAGTAGTCCCAGCAGCACAGTCCGCCACCTAACCAACACACTGGCGATGAACACGTCCAAGATGTCGGCCATCACGAACAACGAAAACCAGAACAAGTTCCTGGAGCAGGTGGAGATGTACTCGAAGCCCAAGGTGACCAAGTCGCGCGTAAAGCCCAGCAAGAAGCACGAGTGCCCCACGTGCAACAAGCAGTTTCGCGGGCGCTCCGAGCTTCAGAACCACATCCGGACACACACTGGCGAGAAGCCGCTCAAGTGCTCGTACGCCGGCTGCACCAAGCGGTACGCGCACAGCTCAAACCTGCGCGCCCACGAGCGCACCCACGCGGGCATCAAGCCCTACACATGTCACTACGACGGCTGCGGCAAGAGCTTCGCGCACTCGGTGTCCTTGAAGGAGCACATCTGGATGCACGCAGGCTTCCAGCCCTACGTGTGTCCGTACGAGGGCTGCCAGAAGAAGTTCACACAGGTCTCGAATTTTGCACGACACAAGAAGACCCACGAGAAGGAGGAGCGCAGCGAGAACGAACACTCTGTGGAGAGTGATAACTAGGTCGCACACACATACACGCGCAGCCCCAGTCTATGGATACGAGGCCCGAAGCGGCCGATAGTTGATAAATAAGCTTGAAGCACTTGGAACACTTGGTTCCACCTTGTTGGATTAAAAAAAACTCTGTCTCGTTGCCTCGCTCTCTAACTGATTCACTCGCCGTCGGCCTGGCCCCTCGGCTTGGACACCACGAGCGTGCGCTCCCGCCCGCCGGTCTCGAACTTGGCGATCAGCAGCGAGCGCCTGCTCGTCTCCAGCCGTACGGTCGGCAGCGGCTGGTCCTCCTCGGGCTCGGGCGCGTCGTCGTCCTCACCCCCTTCCTTCGCGAACTGGCCCAGGTCGATGGCCTTCTCGGCGATGCACGTGAAGAAGCCGTTCTTCTGGTCGCGCGCCGTGTACGCGAGGTCGCCCTGCGCATTGAGCAGCAGCCCGTGGCCGTCGTTGAGCACGAGCCCCAGCGGCGCCTCCATCGTCGTCGTCACTCGGGTGGGCACTAAACTGGCAAGATTCTGGCGGCCTGCTTTTAACACTCGCAGTCGACGGTTCTCAGGCGTACACTTTAGTGGCATGTAAAGGTTTTCCAACATCTTCCTGCTCTTAAAACCGATGTGGTCGGTTTTACTGTCGCTGTATAACTGTACGCTCTTCATCTGGTGGGGTTGAAGGGATGTGTTCTTTCCGAGAAGAAGCTCAATTACGCATCTGCGATGAAGTCTCCCACCCGACCGACGCGTCGCGCCAGCGCGCGTACCTCTCGCCGTCGTGGCTCCGGCGACGCGCCGACAGCCCAGCCTTCTCCGCCTGATGCCGGCGTGCTGATTGAGCCGTCGACGGACCCCGAGGGCTCGCTGGAAGTGACGTTCTGCGCCGTGCAGCGCGTGGCCGGCCGCGCGTTCCTGTTGCTGTGCACGCACTCACATTGGCGCCTCTACCGCCTGGACGGCTTCAGTGCGGCTCGTGATAGCTGCACGACCGTGCAGGTGAGTTTGCGGCGCGTCGAACTGTGGCCTCCCTGCCGCGATAGGGCGCGAAATGCATTACTCAACCTAACGACACGCTGTGGAACGCTCTTGTGCTTGTTTCTAGCTGCTGATCGACCCGCAGAAGGACGCGGCGCGACTTTCAGGTGTGCGCTTCTTCCGCCTGTACGAGCGGCCGGCAACGGCGGCTTCTCGTGGCTTCGCGCTGGCTCTGGGCGGGCTCTTCGTGTCGGAGCGAAGCTTCTCGACGCCCTCGAGCGACGAGGAGGACGAGGACTTTGTGGCTGCATCGGCAGAGAATGAAGACGACGGACACGAGGACATTTCCGTGCTGGCTCTGGACGAGGAGAAACTGCTGCACAAGCTGCCGCCGTCGCCGTCGCTGGTGCTGGACGTGCAGACCAACGCTGCGACGGCCGCAGTGCTCTGCGAGACGCGCGAGCTTTTCCTGTACGACTTGGCCACTTTCCAGCTATTGCAGACAATTGTCACGGCCTCTCCAGCCATGGCGCTCGGTGCGCGCTGGCTGGCGTACCCAGGATACGCTCAGGATGTACCCGGACTTCAAGCCAACGGACGCGATCACTCGCTGTCGGGCCAAGGAGATAGCGATTCGGACTTCGACGACCTCCCTACTGACGTCCTGGTGAACGGCGGGGTGGCAGTGGAGGCATCACACAGCTCGTCGCCGTCGTACACGGCAATCGACGTGGCGCAGAATGTGGCCTCGGGGCTGTATTATCTTTCGGAAGTCGGACGCGCCACGATCGCTCCGTACTTGTCCTCCTCGCCCGGCCAACTGGCCGATGGAGCGCACAATCTTCGCACACGGGCATCGCCTTCTGGACGGCGTAGTTCCGGTCGATCTCGAAAGTCTTCCCTAAATGACCCCTCGGGTGCCCAACAGCAGAATCCCCAGTCTAGAGACGACATCACTGCCTCAGCCTCGAAGAAGCACCCGGGGTGGGTCGTGGTATTGGATCTGGTTACTAAGCGCGTGGTGGCCAACTTCCCGTGCCACTCGACAGCATTGGTTAACTTGTCGATGGACTTTTCGGGGCTACTGCTGGCAACAAGCTCCACTAAGGGCCAGAACCTCCATGTGTACAGATTGTCGCCGCCGTTGCAAAGTGTCGTAAACAAACCGGCCGGGGCAGGAGCTGCTGGTCACGGATCGCTTCACCACCAACTGGTGTACAAGTTGCAGCGTGGGATCACTCACGCCAGTATCCAGGACATCGCCTTCAGCCAGGATGGCAAGTGGATTAATGTCACGTCAGCACACGGCACCAGCCACCTCTATGCTTTGCACCCGGAGGGAGTGCGCGTGAGTGCAGACACCCATGCAAACACGGTCGAGAGTGCGACCGAATCCGACGTTGATGGCCTTGGCCCAGGCTTCCGGCATCGCGAGGTGAACGACTTCTATGCTGATTTCCGCTCTCTTGAGACGCGGACGCAGACACAGGTGCTTCGAATTCGCCATGAACTGCAAACCCCCGCTGTATCAGTCGTGGCGCCGCACAAGGCAGCAGCCAGCCCTGCGTCTTCGAAAGCGCGTACGACGCGTTCGTCATCGTCGTCGTCTTCTTCGTCTATGTCGTCTACATCGTCGTCGTCATCCCCACCCGGTTATGCGTATCACCACAGCCCGCCAACAACTGGAAGTATGCGTAGCAGCACTATCATGGAGTCGGCCCTGGATGCGTCGCAAGCGTTGCTATCTCAACTCGCCACATCCGCCATAGACTTTGGTCATCAACACTTCGAAAATGACACGGATGTAGTTGCTCGCCGCCGCCGACTGCGTCAGCGATTGTGCTGCCTGTTCGCTGCCGATGGACTAAAGGTGCTGATCTGCTGCGACTCGGCGCTGAAGTTGTACGGAATGCGAGTGACTGCGCTTTCCCAACATAAAGCAGACCACGCGCGTGCTGCGTCGACTGATCCGAAGACGAAGAATTCCAAGTCGTCGTTGTCGTCGTTCGGCTTCGAGGCCAGCGTCACGGAGCTCAAGTCGTGGGACCTGCTCGCATCAAACCGACGGAAGTCGGAATCTCTCTCGTCTGCGGTTGAAGATCTGGCAAGCGTGAATGGCAGCAGCACCGGCCCTGAAGCCAGCGCTAAAAGCGAGCTGAGAACCTATGCCCAGCGATCATTACCGTTGTGGGCCCACCCGAAAGTGACGTTCAAGGCGATCGACGAAGACCACCCGGAGGGCAGAACTCTTGAAGTTAAACGCAAGGGGCCAAATCCGAGCCAAGATCTCAGCTCTAGCACCATGGCCATGGCACCGGAGGGCTTCGTCAACGGCGACGAGCAACTGTTTGTGATGGAGATGGATTCCTACTTCGGTATTGGGGGCTCGCCAGTGTTCGACGGACGCGGTGGAGATCACTCCGCAACGCCAGAGGTGCCGCCACCTTTAGATCTAGCAGCGAGCATCAACATGGCCATGTCATCTTCACTGTCAGAAACGCCGCCGAAGCCGCTTCCAGAGGTGAAGAACACGATTTGCTTCAGACCAATCGACCAGAACTCTCCCCCTCAAACAAACGGATCAAGCCACAAGGGCAAGAAGAAAAAAGGAAAGAACCGCCGAGCGCCAACGCCACCGTCGTCTTCAGAAACCGAAGTTGAAGTCATCGAAGAGGGCAGCACTACTGGCGGGCTGGCATCGTTGCAGTTCACGATGCAGGACATGTACTTTGCGGTGCCTCCTACCGACGAAGCCAGCGACTAACAAGCGTGCATATGGATGCTGACCTCACACATACCCAAAAACCACTTTACACGTCAACAACAACCAACACCTTACAAAGGCGTCCAAAAAATTGAAGTATACATCACCACAAAGAAAGAAACCCAAGAGGTCAAGTAAAGCCAATGACAAGTACATTAGGATCTGGTCCACTACACATAGCGTCGCTCCTGCAAAGCTCCGGAGCTGTCTACTTGTCTGCGGGCGGGAGTTCCAGACCATTTTCCTTGGGCTGCAGCATGAGCTCTACAATCTGCTCTACCTGCTTCCTCAACTCCAAAGTCACTTCCTCACGCGTTTGGCCCACACGGCCGGCCAGCTCCACGTAGTACTTAAGCTTAGGCTCCGTACCGCTGGTGCGAAGCGTGGCGACGCAGCCGTTGGCGAAAGTGTACGTGATCATCTCGGTCGAGCTGCTCACGGGGAGCACAGCGCGCTTGTCGGGCTGAGAACTGTCGTAGCCCGTAGTGAGGTCCCGCACGTGGGTGATAGCGAAGTCGCCACAGCTCTCCCAGTACTTGCCATTGTTGCGTAGACGCTCGAAGATGGCACGGATCTTGACCGGGTCGTAGCACTTGGCGTAGTGGTTCTGCGTCACAAAGTGGCCGTAGCGCTCATAAAGCTCATTGAGGTGCTGGCCCACCGTCATTTGCTTGGTGGCTTCGAGCTGCACGGCCATCTCGGCGAACACAGCAGCGGCGACAACGCCGTCCTTGTCCTTGACCAGATCACCAACGCAGAAGCCGATTGCCTCCTCGAACGAGAACAGCACGGTCTTGCCTGCCTCGCGGAGCTCAGCAGTCTTGTTCCCCATCCACTTGAAGCCGGTGAGAGTCTCCTCGAAGTTGAGGCCCTCGGTCTGTGCGACCGCACGCAGCATCTTGGACGAGACAGTCGATGCGATGAAGTAGAGCTGCTTACGGTCGCAGTTCGGGTGCAGTCGCAGGTACTGCTCAAGTTCCCAGTAGCCGAGCAGGACGCCGATCTCGTTGCCCGTGAAGATGCGCCAGCCTGACTGGGAGCTCGGGTCGCGCTCAGCAACTGCAAGACGATCAGCATCGGGGTCGTTGGCCAGGATCAGCCTTGCTCCGTTGGCCTCGGCGGTCTCCATGGCGAGTTGCAGTGCACCCTTGCCCTCCTCCGGATTGGGGAAGGCCACCGTGGGGAACTCGGGGTCAGGAAGGAGCTGCGCCTGCACAGGGACGTACTCCTTGTGACCGAAAGCTGCGAAGGAGCGGCTTGTGAACGCGTGGCCGACACCGTGCATGGCTGTATAGGCAATCTTGAGCGTCGTGTTGGTGTTGGCCTCCGGGAAGCGGCACAGTCCGGCACGCGGGCGCTCAAAGTAGAGCTTCGTGAGCTCCTCCTTGGGGTTCTCGATCAGCGTCGGGAATGATTTCTTCAGCGACTCCAGCGAGTCGTACAGTCTCCATGGAGCCAGGTTGGTCATGATCTCGTTTGCGATGCCCTCGTCGTGGGGCGGGATGATCTGGCTGCCGTTGCTCCAGTACACCTTGTATCCGTTGTCCGCCTTGGGGTTGTGCGAGGCCGTGACCATTACGCCCGCCGCGCATCCCTTCTGCTCAATGCAGAACGGCTACAACAACGCCAACAAAAGCAACAGCAGTGGTCAGACACGATAATACCATCCACAAACACAAGAAAGCACTGGTGTACTCACCACCAGCGGCGTGGCCACGAAGCCCTCGTAGAGGTAAACCTTGATGCCGTAGTGCGCGCAGACTGCGGCCGTGAGCTCCGCAAACCTCTTGGAGCTGAGCGAGCCCTGCTCGCGGTGGTCGTAGCCCACCGCGACGCCCATGGACTTGGCGCGGTCTCCGAACTGCTTGGTCAGGTACTTGCAGATGCCCTGCGAGGCCTGGATCACCACCAGATCGTTCATGGCGGCGGGGCCGGGGCCCATCACGGCGCGCAGGCCGGCGGTGCCGAAGGCCACGCGACTGCCGAACAGCTCGCGGATGCGCGCCACGTCCTTGGCCTCCACGAGCTGCTGCACTTGCGCCTTGGTGCCGGCGTTCACGTCCCAGTCCGCCCACTGCTGGGCCTCCGCCAGCCACTGCTCGTCCGTGCGCGCGCTCATTGCGATAAGCTTAGGTACTCAACTTGACTTGGTCTTTGTCTGCAAATGGTAAAGTGATCCGATCCCCAAGCTGCGTCAGGTGAAGGTTAGCATTCACATGGATGCTTGACCGTTTTTTATACTTGAGGTTTGTATAGAAATGAAGGGGCATGTCACAGTGCGGTACACGCATTAACTTTGCCATACAATGTACATAAGGCCAAGTAGGGCAAAGTTGTAGGGTTATTTGCTGCACTTCAACTTTGCATGTTGGTTGTCTTCAATCTCAGGCGCGTTCTTAAGTTCCCGGGAGCAGTTTTTTAAGCCTGGGGCTGAGCTATACTCTACTGTATTGCTTACGTATGTGGCTACTACTACTACAGATGTACTACGATGCAGGGTATACCGACTCGATCTGGGTGCGCTGTTGGGTGGAAGGGGGTCCTACGAGGAGAACTCCCCCGTGACTGCCTTGCTCAACCAGTCCAGGCCCTCGTAGATTCCGTCGCCAGTCGTCGCAACGCAAGCCTGCACATGCGTAGGGTTCTTGGTGGCCTCCGTCAACTCCATTCTCTCACGGAGCTCGTCGGCCGACAGGGCGTTGGACTGGTCCTGCTTGTTGGCGTACACCAGCAGCTTCGTGTTGGCGAGCTCCTCTGCCTCGAAGATCAGGTGCAGCGCCTGCTTCGCCTCGTCGATCCGCTCGAAGTCGGCGGCGTCAACCACGAAGATGACGGCGTCGTTGTTGCACAGATAGTGCTTCCAGAGCGAGCGAATCTTCTCCTGGCCCCCGATGTCCCAGGCCGTGAACTTGATGTTCTTGTACTCGAAGGTCTCGACGTTGAAGCCGATGGTGGGGATGGTGGTCACCAACTCGCCCAGCTTGATCTTGTAGAGCAGCGTGGTCTTGCCGGCCGCGTCCAGGCCGATGATCATGATGCGACTCTCGCGGTTGCCAAAGTATGAGGCCAGGCTGCCGTAGAGAGCTTCAAGCGAGAAGGAGAAGAGGTTGCCCATGGCTGGAGGGTGAGGGGGCGGATGCTGCTGTGGGCTTTGGTGGCGAGTTGGAAAGTGAATAGCGCCGAGGACAGCTTTGACCCGCAATGGGATCCTGCGGCAACACTATTTGAAGCCTCGCTGAGTGACGGTCATCGAAGTTGCTGTTTTGAAGTGGAGCCTCCGGATTGGAGGAAAAGCCGGATGTCCAATCAAGCGGTGAGAATCCCAGAAAGTTCGGTCCACTTCAACTTGCTTTCTTCCAGCGGAAAAGTCTCCGCTAGACGGCGGCACCAAGATCGTTGATCACCCGTCGCACTCCCAGGCTCGGGCAGCAAGGGTGCGTGGATCATCAAGTTGTGCGTGGTGTTCAAGCAACACCGAGTCAAAACGGTGCTATGCTACGAGGCGAATGTAGTTTCTATATCTAAGACGGAGACATCCGCATCGTGATCGCCTCTTAACGCCCACCGGACGTCACAATGTTATCGAGGTGGATTAACGGGGAATGAACGAGCAACAGTCCTGAGAGTGTGCATGTGCACTTTACTGGGCCGTAGTGTCAGCTGGCCAAGAGTATTTCTACTTGGCTGCTACATGCATGTAACTAGAGCTGACGCGAGCACAACGCACACACATCAGCGCGCTTCGAAAAGCCTGCACTAACCGCGTCTTCATCCATTAAGTTACAAGTCCTGCCGGCATTCGCCACGCATGTATTAGTTGGCGGCGACGCCGCTCTGCTGCTGCTCTCGCTGCTGCTGCTTCTTGCGCTGCAGCTGCAGCTTCCTCTTGAGGTTCTTGGCCTTCTTCTTGGCCGCCTCCTCGCGCAGCTTGTCCAGCAGCTCGTCCTGCGCCGTGCGCTTGCGCTTCTTGTCGACCTTGGAGGCCTGCGTCTTGAGGCGCACGAGCTCCAGCTCCTCCTCGTCCTGCGCCTCGTCGCGCTCGCGCTCGGCCTCCTGCTCGGCCTTGGCCGCCTCCTCCGCGCGACTGCCGCGCGGCTTGCGCAGCAGTTTGCGCTTCATCTCGCGCTCTTGCTCCGTCAGCGTCGCGTCCTGCTGGTTGGCGCCCGGCCGCGTGAGGCTCGGCAGACTCTTGCCGCCATTGCTGCCACTGGACGACGGACGGTAGAGCGTCACGGGGCGGCGCTGCTGCGTCTGCGACTGCTGCTCCGCCTCGTCCTTGTCGTCGGCGGCGTCGCCCCCGCCCAGCAGCCAGGAGCCCACCAGGTCCAGCGCGTTCGACTGGAACGCCACGCCTTCGTCGTCGCTGTTGCCCATTGAGTTGTGTTGCCTTGTGCCGCTTGATGGGCGTCAGTCAAATGCACCCCTCGACTAAGTCCGCACCAAATAAGCCCATTCTATTGGCGCAAATTCGGGGATTAAATATCGTAATTTCAGCTAATCGAGGGTCGGTACCAGCCCGCCCGTTGGTTGGCTGGGGCGTCTGCGGCGTTGGCGCCAGCTTGCGGGCGGCGCTCACTCTTTGATCTCCTCTCCAGCAAGTCAAGTCAAAGCCACTCTCCAGTCACCATGGGCCGTATGCACTCTCGCGGAAAGGGCATGAGCAAGTCTGCTCGCCCGTACAAGCGCTCGCCGCCCTCGTGGCTCAAGGTCTCGGCCGAGGACGTGGAGGACCACATCTGCAAGTTCGCCAAGAAGGGCCTGACCCCGTCGCAGATCGGCGTCATCCTGCGTGACTCGCACGGCATTGCCCAGGTCAAGAGCGTGACCGGCTCCAAGGTGCTGCGTCTCCTCAAGAAGAACGGTGCGTCCGCATACATTACCTCCCTATTCTCTACAGGCCTAGTGCTTCATCTATCTATTGTGCGGCTGCTCACGTGCTCTGTGTATTGTGTGGCGCTTGCTCTCGTCGACTGCGTGCTCGGTATCACCTGACGTGCGGATCCGATGGCTCTGCCTCTCCGTTTGACGTGGGGGTACGCGGGTGTTGTATCATCGATCCATCGATTGATCCACTGCAGGCCTCGCCCCCGAGCTGCCGGAGGACCTGTACATGCTCATCAAGAAGGCCGTGGCTGTGCGCAAGCACCTGGAGCGCAACCGTCAGGACAAGGACTCCAAGTTCCGCCTCATTCTGATCGAGTCGCGTATCCACCGCCTCGCTCGCTACTACCGCAAGAACCGCAAGCTCTCGCCAAACTGGAAGTACGAGTCCGCCACGGCCTCGACGCTGGTGGCTTAAGCCTGACGCTTGCCTCTTGCTTAGCGTGACCGCAATACATTGTGTCCAATTGCTGGGTTGATCAACTCTACTGCTCTTCTCCTCTATCTTCTCCATCACCGCCGTCTCCTGCTGCCTCCCTGGCCTTCTGCCGCCTGCGCGCGTTCTCCACCATGACCCTGTCCCTCTCCTTGCTCTGGCTGCGGCAGTCGCGCTCCAGGTGCCTGGCCAGCGTCTTGGCCACGATCGTCTCGCCGCAGTCCGCCCACGGACACGTGATGAGGCGGTTGACGCACTCCTTGTGGCAGTGCAGCGCCATGAAGCGCCTCTGCACGAGCTGCGCGCAGTTGAGGATGCACTCGACCAGCTCGCGCTTGTCGTGGTAGCGCCGCACCAGCTCCTCGCGGAACAAGTGGCGTTCGCACTTGGCGCGCAGGTGCTCGGCCTCGCTGCTCCAGCGGTAGACCTGCTCGCAGCCGACCTCCTTGCACACGACCATGCGGTGCACGCACTCGACGCGGTGGTGGCGCTCGAGACTTCGGAAGGCCACGACCTGCTCGCAGTGCTGGCGACACGGCACCATGTCCAGCTCCCGGTCGCGCGCGCGTTGGGCCAGCAGCTTGAGCTTCTGGTTGACCACGCAGCACGTTTGGTCGCGCAGGGACGGCGTGGGCGGGATGCCGAAGCGCTTGCGGACTTCCGGCGTGTCGAACAGGACCCAGGCTGTGCCGAAGCACGCGGAGCGCGGCAGCTTGAGCGCCATGTCGTCCACCAGGTCGCCCATGCCCTCCTCGAACGTCCAGTAGCCGAGCAGCTTCTTGCACTTGCGGACGTGCAGGATGGAGGCCGCGTGCTGCTGGATCTGCTGGACGGTCCTGCACTCCTTCCAGTAGCGCACCTCCAGCACGAAGCCCTGGAACGACTCGGCCTGCTCCTTGGTGCCGATTCTGCTCATGGGCAAGCCGAAGACCCCGCGTCGGACGCTCTTAAGCTCGCCGTTGACGAAGAGGCTGAGCTCCTTGGCCCCGGCCGAGAACACGACGTGGTTCCAGCGGATGCGCTCCAGGCGGGTCTGGAAGTTGACTTCCCTGGCCGCTTTGGCGCCTGACGGACGGTAGAACGAGATCTCTCCTTTGGGTCCGGCCACGAGCGAGATGACGTTCTTACCCGAGGACGCGATGATGTGGCGGCCGCAGCGCTCCAGGAGCTGCGTCGGCTTGTTCTCCGACACGAGCGCCAGCTTGGCGTCCACCTTGGCGATCTCGCGCTCGAACCTGCGCTGCAACCGCGGCGTGTCGGCGTCGTCCGGATCCAATGCCTCCAGTTGAGCTTGAAACTCGCTGCGCTTCTTCAGCAGCTTGTTTTGCTCCGCCGCCTTGCGCTGCCGCTCCGCCTTGCTCTCCTTGCTGGGACTTCCGGACGCGAGCTGCGTTGCCCAAGCGTCCAGGTCACCTAGAGCCACGCGATCGACTTCAGGCAGCAACTGCACTAGCAACGTCCTTTCCTGCAGAATCTGCGCGGTTTGGTCGGCGATAGAGGCCGCAAGCGCCTGCTTGGCCTCCTCGTCGGCCACGTCGGCGTCGAGAATGCGCTTGGCCTCGAGGATGTTGATCTCGATCCAGCCTCGAGCCAACGCGATCTCCTTCCGAGTCGCCAGCAGCCCGTTCTCGGCGTCGTTGAAGTCTTCCGCGAGCTGCTTGGCTGCACTCGACATCTCCTCGCCCGAGAGGTGCGTCCCTGCTGCTTGCGCCTTGTCGTTCGCCTTGCGCTTCCGCTTCTGCTTGAGCTCCTTGAGCTTCTTCTTGCACGCGTCCGACTTGGCCTGCCACTGCTCGTTCTCGCGCGTGTTGAGCACGACCGTCTCCATCAGCTCCAAGCTGCTTCGGTGCAGTGCCAGAATCTCTTCCTCCGCGTCGACCATCCACACGAAATACTCGGCAGTCCACGGAGGCGGCAGATCGACGGACGATTGAGACGACGGAGCTTGACTCGTGTTGTTGTTGATCGCAATGTACGCGTTGCCGCCCGTCCTGAACTCGATCATGCTGCGGTCCTTCGAGAGCGACATGAAGTCTTCGTGCAGGTGCCGGTCTCGCCACCGCAGTCGCGCTTTACACCCGTGGGCGGCATTCTTACACGACACGATGCGGCTCACGCAGTCGTCACGAAAGTGCCGCTCGAGATGCCGCAGTCGAACCACCACCCCGCACTCGGGACAAGCCACGGGCGAGTTCTTCTCGCGAGCTCTTGCCGCCAGCGTGTTACGCTCGATCGTCACCATGCAGTCCGTACGGAGGTGCTCGTCGAATTTGCCTACTGGAACCCACTCCTTGCATCCGTTGATAGCGTTGGGACATGGGCGCTCGCGCTCCGGACACTCGTCTTCCTGGTGGTCGAGCAGCTTGCGCTTCTTCACCTTCTGCTGACACCAGTCGCAGACGATCTCCTCGTTCACTAGCAGCGCGTCGGCAGCGATCTGTCTCCGTCGCTCAGCCACGACGCATTGGCTCGCTTCGTGGGCTTCCTGCTCCTCCTGGGGGAACTTCATCTCGCACCCCCACTCAGCAAAGCGACAGGGGACTCGACGCTTTACGCACATGTACAGTTGATGGCTCTGCAGGTGGCGCTTCCTGATGATGAAGCGCGTCTCGTGACACAGCTCACACTCGACTGGGGTGTCGCCATCGTCTCGATCTCGGAGTAGTTGTCTTGTGTGCCGAGTGAATTGGCAGTCGCGTTGCTCGTGTAGCTCGCGGTGTGAGACCTGAAAAAGCTTCGTACATCCTGGCCTAACGCAGCGAATTAGGCGGAGACGACACTCGTGCTGCAGATGGAACCTCTCATCCGCAGGCCGCATTTCCTCTCCGCAGTCACACAGTATTAGATCGGTGAAAGAGTCGCAACCTGCTAGCTGACAGAAAGTTAGACGAGCAAGACCATTACTTGGGACAGTACAGCAACTTACAGTTGTTTGCGGGGTTGGACTTGTGCTTTGCTTGCCTGTAGTCTGAAGAGCACAAAGGCTCGAGTCGCACGGACGGTTGGCTAGCGCTTTTGCTCAGCAGTTTTTGACGTTGCAGGTTTACATTCTCCAGCGCTCTTGCGAGCTCCAGTCTGTCAGCAGCAGAGAAAATGCAACGGAAGTTGGAAACCTGAGTTCCATCACGAAGGCACGGGCCTGCAGCACTTACATGTCTGCCTGGAGATCTTGAGCTGCCTTTGACGGGCTGGTGACTAGGGCGGGAGATGCTGCGACCAGCTTCGGAATTCGCGCAGGCACAAACTCCAGTCGCGGTTCTCCAGCTACAGATCCTCGGCGGCTTGAGTCCATCATATCTGCTCCAGGTTCACTTACCATGGTCTCTGCTCCTCGCCTGAAATCCACCAAAGTTATTTTTTGATCTGCGGTTCACATTAGCAAAGCAAGACGAGGCTGGGTGAAGCTGTCACGCTATCTCTATTAGAGGTACAGCGACACATCGGGTCCTCGTCCAAAGAGCTGGTTCCACGAAGGCGGGAACGCAAACGGAAGCATCGGCGGCATGCGGTTGGAAGCTGTCGCTGGATCAGCAGTCGAGTGCTTGGGCGCAATTCGCAGCGAACGGAAAAGCTGCGTCGCCATAGCCGCAGCATCCGGGACATTGTTGCCCTCGGAACACGGCATCACCCACGCGATGAACGGCAGCTTCTGCTCGTCGCACTGCGCATGAAGCAGAGGAGCGAGGCCAGCACCGCGGATCGGCGCCCACTGGTCGGCAGACGAAGAAGGCTGCTCCACCTCATCCTTAGCATCAGCGGTGTTGTTGGTCAGGCCTTCAAAGCGCGTCAGGAACGCTTCCTCTAGCTGGGCAGCGTCGGCAGAGTAGATAGTACGGATCGGGCGGCTGGAAGAGTTCATGCAACGCAAGACAATTGGTAAGCAAGTAGCAGTGGTATCGAAGCAATAGCACCAGCAACCAACCTCATCATGTTGGGGTCGTGACGCAGCATGTCGTCGCAGCCAGCGACCACTCCTAGCGCAGCCACCTTGCTGCTCAGAGCCCACTGGACCAGCTCTTTAGCGAACGCACGCGCTCGACCCTTCACCAGCAACAAATGGCAAGACATGAGCGTCAGTCCACGCCTAGCATAGAAAGATGCTGATTACTCCCCCACCGGCAGCACAGGAGCTCGCTGCTGGACGATGGTGATTTTCTTCTCCTTGCTCTGGTACACTGCAACCAACAGCCCAAAACTTCAGCATTTGCGTCCCTCGAGTCCACTGTACCATCTTGGCCACGCACCCTCCAGGTTCAGACACAGTGACTGCGGCTGCTGCGTGGCGAAGGCGGCACCTCCAGCGATGGGGGGCGCCGCTTCGCTGAGCAAGTGGCCCACGCGCGTGAGCTGCACGTCCTGTTTGGCATAGCTAAAGTCAGTTCTGAGCCTTCCACTGGGCCAAATGAGGACGTATCACCACGGTTCATGCAACAAATTCACGTACAAAGGCCTCGCCATTCTGCAGCAGCGTGTTGACGGCCAGGTCCAGCGTCAATTGGCCCAGATTCGCCTGGGAAACGGCCGGCTGCAGGCACGACAAGAAAGAATGATACACAACTTTGTGAGTGGATTGAGAGGGAGCGAGAGGGGGATGGAAAGTGAAACTTGGAGGAGAAGGGAGGTGGAGATGTGGTAAAGCAGACCCGCGTACCAGAAGCACCGTGTGGTCGGCGAAAAGCGCGGCGCAAGCGGCGGCGTCGGCGGCACTCGCCGCATCTTGAGGGTAGAACTCCATCGCGGGTCAAAAGTGGGATATGAAGGAGTTTGTATGGGGTGGAATAGTTGCGTCGGATTGGCTAAAATCGGGTTGTATTGAGACCATCGTGTACCATTCGAATGGTACATGTTGAAGAGAAGTTGCCTTTTGATTATCACCGCGATGGTCGACATCCAGCGTCGACTTGGTGCCAGATGCCCGATGCCATGCTTATTTCGCTGTCCGACTAGCATCACCTTACCTTTCCTTACTTATCTTACTGTATCCATGCTGCGCGCGCAAGCACCTGTTTGCTGTTCAGCTGACAAAGCTGAAAGTTCTGCGGCCTAGGTGTGCTCGACCACGGGCTTGTTGGTTCTTGCCCTTGACAGCTCGACCATGTGCCTTCATAGAGCTGAGCGCTTTCCTGTTACCAAGCTGCAGCCCGCTCACCAGTTGTGCTAACGCTTCTCCCATCCGCTGGCAGAGGCTCGCATCAGCACATCGAGCGAGTGTTCTGATGCCACTTACCAAAATACCCCCAAGCGGAGGTAGAACGCCGAGTCCAACGATTCAGCCTCGCGTGTTCAAGCGAACGTAGAAGCCCCCACCTCAACCGACCAACCATGACCATGCGAGGGCTTTTGCACAGGATTCGGCACGCTCCATCCTCAAAAACAGTTCGAGAGGGCGCTGCTGCTGCAGCGTGCGAAGATCATGCGCCTCAGCGTCAGAGCAGGCGCTCTCGAGTCAGCCACGTCCTGAGCAAGGCCATCGACCCTGCCGACGAAGCAATGGAGGCGCCTACTCGACGCCGCAAGCGTGATCGGATCAAAAACTACTTCTCGCGTCGACGGAGCCACTTGGCCAAGAGCTCTCGGTCGTTTCTGTGGCCCGCCATGCTGTCGAGCGACAAGGACGAGTCTCGGTGCTCCGAAGGCACCGAGAGCGACGACGTGTATATGGTCGACTACCAAAGCGACTCGGACTCGGACGACGACTCGCTTTGCGACGACAACTACGTGACGCCGCCCGTGGCCATCCCCGAAATGTACCGAAGGCAGGACAGAATGGGAGGCATCACGGTGGCAGGCGCGCGCGTGCTCTTCACGTTTGCAGGGTTCAAGCGGCAGCAGATGATGCTGCGCAGGCTCCAGTCGGTCTCGGAGGCTGACGAGTTGGTGATACCGGCTGGCGTGCACCGCGAGTACATTGTCATCCCGGCGTTCTAAACCTCCATGGGCAGAGGTCTTCATATGTACATTAGAAACCGTTTAACTCTCGATGTTATGAAGCGTCTATTTGATCACTCAAGCCTTAGCCCTTGCAGAGCTCCCAGTACTTCTTCTTGCAGCTTGACTGTCACATGAAGCATCATCGGTAGCAAAATGGCAGGCAGACCCTGCGTACGGACAGAAGGCGCACTCGGCAAAGCTAGGCTTCGGCTCGAAGTTGCCGCTGCGCAGGCCCGACACAACCTCAATGATGGCGTCCTCGGCTTCCTGAGCCGCTTGCTCCGTGAAGTGGACGAAGCCGTCGTCGTTAGTCCGCACTCTGCTAATTCCCCGTCTTCCTATTGTAGTGCTGGGATCAGCGTAGTTGCCGCCGATCTGCTGCAGCTTCGCTCCGTACGGCGCCTCGCCAAAGACCTTGCGGAAGGCGTACATGTACATCTTGAGCTGCAGGCTTTCGTCCGCTAGCTTGCGCATGTTGCGCGCGGCGCCGCCCATGTTCGACTTGAACTCCTTGATGACGAGGGGGGAATGTTCTGCACCGCTGAGACTCCGTACTCGGTCGATGCGGTCCCAGACACCGCGCAACTCGACGTTTGCCTCAGGGACGTGGACAGCAAACTCCTTCTCCACGTGAACGATCTCCTGTAATCTCACGTCTCCGTGATGAGTCTCAATGAAATCCCACAACGCCATCATCCCGCGATCAAGCAGGAAGGAAGCCTGTTCCTTCGACGCGTAAAGCCCATACCCGTCACCAGCCCACGCACGCACGAAAGCTTCCTCCGCTTCGACCGCCGCTCGTGTCTTCGCGTCTTGTGTCTGGTCGCCGTTGCGCTCGGAGGCAGCGAGAGACTTTGCAAACGCAGCAATGCCTTCGTGCAAGGCGCGTCCAAACATCATCGCGGTGGAGACGTCGCCATCCAGCTTCATAACACGACCGAGGTAGTACCGGTGAGGACAGCGCAGGTACTCGGAGATCTGCGAATATGACAAGTGACGTGGTTCATACGGCAAGCTTGCTGCTGGTGCCGACAAACGACTAGTGGCAACTGCGCCTCCTTCAAATTGCTTCAGGTCTTGACTCGTTTGGTTCTCCATGGCTGGACTGTAGCCGGTCTTAAGGCTTGCAGCGGTGTTCGTGCTGGGAAGCACCTTGTCACGGTGCAACACGGGGAGTAGGACGCGATGCACGAACTCACGCAGAAACCCAGCCACCTCGGAGAGCCAAAACTGTGGGGTTTCCTGTGTTGGGGATACGGTACCTGGAGCGGCGACACCCTTTGTAGACGAACTCCCAGTTGCTGATTGCGTCCCGTGCGGAGGCGTCATGTCCGACCCGCGCCTCCCTTGGCTTCCGCCTTTACGACTTGGGGTTTTTGGTGGCCGGTCTCCCTCGTACCAGATCGGCTGGAATGACCGACTCAACACCTCGCGCTTGGACGACGAAATACGTGCAAGTTCTGCAAAAGACAGCACCACCTCATCGTACGCACCCAGTGTCAACGCCTTATACGCGAGCTGTTCGCATTGCTCGAGGTGTTCAGATCGCGTTTGAACAGGATATGGCTTGCTCAGCAGCTCGTACGGAAGCGGTTGAGTGAGACGCTTCATGCGTCCAGGAAACTTGCTATCACGCATGGACATCAACACCAGCATGTGCTTGGTATCAGCTTGCTGGTCACTTGTAGTAACCGCGAGCGACTCAAGAGCGTAAGAAGTCAGTGGAAGGACGCGAATGCACGTGTCCTCTGCAACTGCCTTGGATCCGGGAGTGTTAAGTTCCGCTGATACTTCGTCCCATGCCGCTGACGACGTCAAGTTCGTCTCCCTCAGCTGCTGCAAGTACGGAGCCACGAACGCCACTTGGGCACTCTTCACGACATTTTGTGCAGTCCCCAGCTCCCGCAGAAAGTCCGCCATAACCAGAGACTCGCGCTCTTGCTCCGGAGAATTGGGACCCAGCAATGTCTCTAATCGACCAGTTTCCTCCAGGAAGTTCTGAACGATTTCGGCGGCGGACAGCTCGTGGCACTCAGCGCGCAGTCGTCTGATGATTCTCACAAACGACTCAGCAATCTCCAGGCCAGACTCGAGTTGAGAAGACACTACGGAGGGCAGCTCCAGCTCGTCACCTTCTCTTTGGTTTAGCGAGGTACCCAAAGACTTGCCACGAGTTTCAACGAAAGCTTCGAGCACTGGGAAGAGGTCAACGTGGCTTCGGCGCTCCTTCTCCATCAACCAAGAAAGCAGCTCGGCCGGGAACGCAAAGAAACCCGAGCGTAGAACGTTGTAGAGGTGGCGAGAATCACTTGGGAAGCACAATGCGCATAGCAGCGAATACACGGCGTTGACGCCGGGTTCATCAAAGAGATGAATGGGAGCGCCACTGGAGTTAACGATTGAAGAGAACTGATCGGCGTCCATTTGCACTGGAAGTCCCTGCTTCTTGAACGCCAACAATACTCGACTCGCATCTGCATGAGAAGGACAGAGCACGGTAGCGTGCCCAGAGCCTTCTGACGCCAGCCAGTCCGCAAGATACGTACCGATACTTCTCTCCTCCGCCTCAGACGTATTGAAGTTCCAGCACTTCAATGGGACAGGTGAGGGGATACCTGCACTTACACCACCGCTCTGCGTCAAAACCTGGCTCGCAAACGCCCGCACCTTCGCTCTCTTAGCTTCACCATCATCTTGTACATCCAACGCAACGCGGTCCACTGTACGCGGACATCCTGTTGCTGCCGCAGTCACCTCCAACTGCCGCTCTAAGATCTGCGTTTGAAAACACTCGTTTCCTTCCAGCAGCACGCGACTGAAGCTCGCACTGGACAGGACACTCGGTTGGCCGCACAGATGGCCCGCAAGCCTCGCCATCGCCGGCGTCATCCGCTGCAAGTCGTCCAGCACCACGTCCGTGTATTCTCTAAGCACCGACCGACTGAACGCCGTTGTCGCCCCCGCTTCATCTGCTCCATGCTGCAGCCCACACATCTCCAGCACGTCCAGCACTAGCCCGTCCCAAGACGTGGCGTTGTGCTGCAGCAGCAGCTCCTGGTACTGTCTGTAGGTCTCGGCCAGCTCCTGAGGCACCTGCTCTCCGCCTGCAACGGCTGCGGCCGAATACTGCTCGGGCGTGACGCCCTCCCTCTCCAGCAGCCGGAAGAGCTGCAGCAAGTCCTGCACCGCCTTGCGTCTCTGCAGCGTCGACGTGGCCGCGAGTCGCGACGCCCCCGGCAGCTCCAGTCCATTGTGCAGTAGCAGCGCCACTAACTGCGCGCGACCGAACACGCGGCGCTCGCGGCCACTCTCGCGCAGCAGCAGCTGGCAGAACTCGCGCGCACCGAAGACGCCGTGGCCGCGCCGCTCCAGCTCGAAGGCGGGCGCGTCTCGCTCCAGCGCTAAGCGAGTAGCTGAGCCCGATGCAGAGCTGCCTGTGAGCAGCAGCACGCGGCGCTGCGGCTGCTGCAGGAGTCCGCGTACACGTTGCAGCGCCTGCAGGTTGGGCACATTTGTGACCAAACTTTGATGGGCGCTCCTGGAGCCATCCGGGCACGCGGAGACGTCGGAGTTGGATGCATGGGCAGAGGAGGCGACGGAGAACAATCGACGAGTATAGCCGCTGGATGGCCAGCGCTGCCGCAGGAGCGCCATGCGCTGCAGCGACCGCCTCGCCACTCGGTCCAGCTGCGCAGCCATGTTGCGACTCGAAGGACGACGAGCCAATCAAATGCAAGTGAGCCAATTGAACTGGTTGAACCGCTAGATTGACAACCCGAATTTGAAAAGCAAGCTTAGTAGAACTACCGACACGAAGGACCCTCTTCGTATTTCCTCTTTGGTCACTACTACACCACATACGTTCCCCAGCAAAAGAAAAGCAGCACGCAGCACCTTGGACTCTCTCCGACGCTCCAAAAGCCGATCAGGTTAAGCCGTGGGCTAGTACATACAGGCTGTGATGGCGGAGATTATCGCGTATCTGACGCTGTGATCAATGCGCTGCGCATCGAGAAACCACATGACCTCGAGTTTCTTGCAAACGATAGCATGCTCCATTGCTGGAATAATGGCGACCTCCGCGCGATGCTCTAACAGCCACTTAACCACGCCCAAGTGACCATGCGCTGCCGCCATATTCATCGCTTTGGCCGTGCACCCCTCGGGTCGATTCGCGTGCAACCATTGCACGACTTTCAGGTGACCTGCTGACGCCGCATCGTCCATTGCATTCGTCGTGCACCCCTCGCTTCGATTTGCATGGAGCCATTGTACGGTGTCCAGATGATCCCCGCCCGCAGCTGAGTCCATTGCTTTGGTCGTGCACTCACTCCTGCGATCGTGCAGCAACCTTAAAACCTGCACGTTTCCGTTTGCTGCAGCACCATCCATAGCTTTAGCAGTGCAGCCTTCTAGAGAATTCCAACTCAGCCAGGAGAGTGTCGCTAGTTGATCTTCGTAAAAGGACGGCGGCGTCGCGGTTAAGCAACAATTCATCGTCTTAGTGCCTGAACACGACGGAAGGTGGAAGTGTCGACAAGCCACAATGTCCATAGTATCAGTTGTAGCACCGTCATCATTTTTGTGCCAATGCAACCACTGCACTACTCTCAAATGTCCATTTGCTGCAGCACGATCGGTAGCAGATGTGGTGCAACCTTCCCAGCGATAAGCGTGAAGCCACTTCACAACATCGAGGTGCCCATTGGCGGCAGCACCATCCATCGCAGCAGTCGTACAGCACGGGTATCGGCCACGCTGGCAGACTTTTTTCGCTCTTCTTTTCAGCTTATCACGAGATTCTGTTTCAATGCGGTCCATTACCTTCAAGTGCCCGTTCGTGGCAGCGATATCCATCGCTGTTCCATTCGCCCTGGTGAAAAGAGTAATGCGTTCCCACAGCCACTTAACAACCTCCAAGCGTCCGAACTTGGCTGCCGAAAACATGGCATAAGATGGACCATGGCTTTGACCGTGGTCATCATTCTCAAGTAACCACTCTATCACTGAAATATGAGCATGTTCGCAGGCTTCATTCAAGGCATCATCGAACACATACATAGCGTCTTCAACATCTCCGCCTTTGCCAATGCCAATGGCATAAAACCATCGAAGGGTATCAAGATCACCGTGTCGCGCCGCATGCGATACCGAGACGTCTGTAATAAAACTGGTATTGCCATGTCCTCTCTCCAGCAAAAAGTGCAAAATCTCAACTCGAGTCGCCCAGTGCTCTTTTGGGCAATGTTCATAGCTAACAGTGGATCCACCAATGCCCTCCGCTACAAGCCACTTGACCTTCTCCAGATTATTTTGAAAACAGCTATCTTCAGTAGTTCATCGTTGCTGGCCTGTTGTCGTGCCCAACCAATCCGCTCATACAGCCACTTCACCAAGTCCCAGTGCCCACCTTCTGCAGCATCGCTCAGGCATTTCGTGGCCCATTCGCCGCCCCACTGAATATCACCATGCGCTTGATCAGCGTCAAGCAGTTGCAAGATCCACAAGTGGCCTCCTTTAGCGGCCTCTCGAACCACACCTTCAGTCACGGGCAGCCTGAAAAATGGCCCAGAAGCTATTGGATCATCAACAGATCAGCTCTCTTGTCCGTTGCTTGCGAGAATTCCCATTGATAATAGTCCTGGTTAGTGTTGAGAACGTGAGCCAACGTTGCCTTGGACGTCGATCGACGGCTCCTGCTCCAGATCGTCTCGAGTAGATCCAGCGACCCGATCGCACTCACTTCGCAAGCGCGCGCGACTGACATGTCGGCGATGAGGAAGTCGGAAAGAACTGCCGCCAGCGTTTCCGGCGTGTTGGTTGGTAGCTTGTGGCGCACGACGAAGCTCGCGAGCGCAAGCTCCACGGACTGCGTCATTTTGTGCTAGTTCGGGAATGGGAGCTGGAGGCAAAACGAAATGGACTTGCGAAGCTTCAAGAAAGTTCACCGAGAAGCACAACTGCCAACGGTATCGACACTCAAACTTAACTGTAGGAACAGATTCAACTTCCGCGTGATAAAACCCGTCAAACGTGCAGTCTCCGTGCACTCACTCCACTAACGCTGCGGCTCGGCGTTTCGTGTTCCACAAGTCGTGCATCCACAGGTACTGTTCAGGGTTATCAAGCACTAACTTCTCCAGCATCAAGGCGTATGTCTGAACAAGCGCACTTGCTTCGGCTCTGTCGGCGGTCTGGGTCGGGCCCGCCGTCTTCGTAGATATCTTCATTGAGCAAGAAGCACGCATTTCGAACGAATATATCTTAGCATGAGACTGACAGAGACACACAGGTTGTTTCAACTGAGCAGGCCTTACCGGTCGCAGTACGAGGCGGAAGGGCTTCTCGGCCGGATCATTCGACGTGTAGTAGCGCTTGTTGTGCAGTACGGCCGCGAACCAGAGCGTCGAGCCCGTCTCCAAGTGCAACCGCGCTGCACCCGTTGCCAAGCGCGTCGGCTGACTGAGAAACGACACGTCGGCGCGCGTAGATTCACTGTTGCAGCGCTGGTCTGCCACAAGTCCAACCAGCTGCGCCGCAGTGCCGTCCGAGTTGGGGCGCTGCAGAACATCCCGAAGCAGTCCATAGCATTTCTTGTCCTGCACAGGCAATCATCAAGGCAACTAAATACCTGCTCGTCCTCGGCACCAAGTTAAAGAACACACACACACCGGGATCAATCGGCGGCCAGGAGCGTTGCGGATCGAGGCCGCCAGGTTGTCCAGTGTAGCATCATGGAGGGGCCGATACACGATCCACTGCGTCTGAACGGGAACCGTAGGGCGTGCTAAGGCTGCCGGCAGAATCTCCCAGAAGCCTGCACAGTCAGACCCACAGCAAGTGAGTGAGCTACCTCACCAAGACAGATTTATCGACAAGCACAACGCACCGATGTGGCCGGTGGTGATGATGGCGTGCGATGAAGACCCTCCGCTCTCCAGCACTGTCTTCACGGACGTTAGCGACGCGCGGGTGTCCTCATCGACTGCGATCAGCTCCTGTGGACTGGGCACTCCTTCCAGCCGCAGCAGCCACAGCAGCGACAGCGCCGCGTACGTGTACGAGTCACGCGCGACGCGATGGACGTCAGTGTCGCCGCTCGGGAGCCCGCACGCGATTCGATGCAGCACCACGCGACGGCGCAGGCGAACAACTTGACGCCACCAGCACACAGCGTCCCAGTTAGTAACTGCTCCGGTCTCCTGTTAGTCCCCGCCCCGCCATGCATGCACATGCCGCACCATAATAGAAAACGCGTCCAAGCGCCGTCGCCGCGACCCAGAGCAGTCGGTCCGGAAGCCCGTGCGCCAGCAGCTGCAAGCCCCGCACCGCCGCCGCCGATGCCCAGCCTGCTGAGAGACCTCGTCGCCCTGGTGGTGGCGCCGCCGCTGGCCGCCAAGCGCTCACTGCAGTCTCCATCCGCCCGCCGCGCGCCCGCCAATCAGAACGTGGCGTCCAGCGTCGGCCCCGTCGCCGCCGACGTGTCCACGCCCCGCAAGCGGCCGGTCTCGGAGCGCGAGGAGGAGCAGGCCAAAATGGACGCCTTTGTCTTCTTCACCATGATGCGGTAGATGCGTCGTGGTCGGGCGGGAAGGTTGGTTATGATAGTCGAGCAGTACATTATCTAATACGACGGAGCACGCACAGTCGATTGCTTCCGTCTCGTAAGCGGCATTGGGACGTATACTGTCTGCAGCATTCTCCAATACACCTTCATGCCTACTCTGCAGTCTCAGTTGCTGTCTGCTTGTATTAAGTGACTTGGCCCTAGCAACGAACACTTTCTTTAGCAGCAGCTCCGTGCTTCTGAGTGCCGCCGTGGTCGCGGCCTGCACGGCCCCTACCTCTGCCCGGACTGTATTGCAGCGGTAGACTTTTATTTGGAACACCGGTGGGTCTGGTCCGTGTTGGGTCTTGAGGACCCGATACAGAGACCTTCCACGTAGTTACAGGTTTGTTTTGGGTGGGTCTCAAGAATAGGTCACGTACCCAAGACCCTGTTCTACCGGGAACGGAAATACCTCCCTATTATTGTGCATTTGCAGGAGTGACAGGCATCATTTCCACCACAGATAAAATCGTTTTGCAAGAGTGATAGGCATTATTTCCACCACAGACAAAATTGTTTTCTGTTCTACTTGTTCGTATGTTTCTTGTTGACATATAGGTGAGGCGAGGCGCGTCCGGTAGGCTTAGACCCGGGAGGGTTTAGCTTACGGAAACCCGAAACTTACAATGAATATAAGCTCCGGTTGACGTGTGACCTTGTGCAATCCCTATAGGTGTCGTTTATCTTCGGCGGACCGAGTTTCAAGTTGAAACTTTCAACCTTGGGAATCGCAATTGATCAAAGATACACCGTTCACCCTAATTAGTCGTGCCATGACTATTTACCGTGTACGACCTGAAGAGTGATTCACCCTGTTTTCAATTTCAGTTTTCTGAAAAACTATTCCAATCTACCAAAAACTAAAGATACTACGTAATTCGGCTTGCCGAGTTCTACACATTTACGGTCTCTTTTCTCGATTTTAGGTGAAAATGAAGAATGATTATCAAAGGTGCACGACTATTTAGGTCACACGACTAATTAGGGTGAACGGTGTACAGGAATACAGAGAACTTCCGGACGCTACTCGTTCCGGGAGTCCTGAATGGGAGTGAGATCACGAGCAAAGACCTTCTCCAAAATAACCAATATCAATACAGAGTCTGTACACACAATATGCAGCCTGTCAATTTAGGTTGCACCCCGAATACAGGTAAATTCGGGATGCCCCACGCGCAACACTCCTGAATGTCAGGAGAACAATACATGTACCTTCCTACCACACGCAATCTACAATCGGGTCATAGGGGGCGATTGCCACAACCTCCTAAAACACAGGGAATATGAAATGCAAGCGCACACTGAGAGTGTACGCCGCAACTGGGAAATGAAACAGGTGTACCAACCCGAATGGGCAATACTTTTGGGTACCTGACTTGGCTTGATGATGTAGTGAGAAGTTTCCGGGGGCCTTGGACCAGGCGTTACTCAACGCTCGCAGCGGGGCTCCGAATGGTACACCCACTCGTGGGCTCCTAGGCGGTACACTCTCCCGTGGGCGGCGGCTGTCCTTAGGCGAATCACGAACCAGGCACTTGTGCACTTGAACGCAAAACAAACTCTGTTGATCTTTATCCTCTTCTCTCTCTCTCTCTCTTTGGCTATCTCTCTTCTCTTTTGTATCTCTCACTTCTTCGTTGTACACTTCTCTTCTTCTTCGTATGGTCTTGTTACCTTGAGGGCCGCTGGATTCTTCACGCGGTCTCCTCTGCTCATATCTTCATACACTTGTTCGGGTTCTCTTGGCTTCAGTATACCCGGGCGTCGCGTCGCGGCGCACACTCATCACTGGATGTCGGGGGGACTCGGGTGCCTGACCTGGGGATCTGCTGCACTGCTGACACATCGAACTCAGACTGGCTCACTCTCCATAGTGAAACCAAGTCACGCTCGGAACTGGCACCTTGGTCGCCGACTTCGCTGACTTGGCACGTTCCTGGGCGTTGAGATATCTGTGGTGTCTTGGGGCTTTTCCATTCAGGGCAGTCATGGTCCATTCGGGATGGTCAGCACTTGGGCATTCCGGGCGTTGTCCATTCGGGATGGTCATTCACCATTCGGGGTAGTTGCATTCCATTCGAGCTCATCCAGGCTGCCGTCGACTCCACGAGTTTCGGTGGCCACTTGGTCTCGCTGCTTGAGGTCCTCAACTCGTTGTCGGGTCACACTCGGGGTCTTCGTAGTCGCAGTATCCTGGATGTTCATCTTCAACATGGCGGTGGTACAATTTAGGGTGTCGATGGCTTGGTACACTTGAGTAGCTTCACACTCGAGCTGCTGGGTATTCGAAGTACCTTGGGATGCCTCGGACTCGCCAAGAAGGGTAGCTCTCCGGGATACGTTCACCGGGGCACTTCATGGTCTACCTTCGTCAGACTAGGTCGTGGCCGGACTGGGTGCTGCGCACCTCCGGCCAGTTGAGGTCAAACGCGACCAGGTATCCATACTCCACATCTCCTCCATCATGCTCGGGCGTTCCACAGGTACGCCATCCTGAATCGACCCTTCTTTCCCACACTGTCGCTCTCCCTGGATCGGCGCCGGGGCCAGCTGCGTGGACACTCTCCAAAATTTCAAGTCGCCTCGTGTCATAGGCAATGCGTTGCTGTGAAAGTTTTTACTATCGAAAAGTCATATAGGACTGTTTCGTTTTCGCAAAATAACATTTTCGACAAAGTACATAGCATAAGGATCGATTTGCTTTGGATTGGTGAATGGGATGACCAAAGAACCGCGATTTCCATACTATATGTGTCGCCGACCGTGTCCTTCGTGGCATACTCCATTGCAGTGTGAGTTGTTCGTCAAGCTTCGGCCGTGTGCGCTATAAGGCTGGCTATCTGTAATAGTGTTCCGTGAGCAATGCTCGCTTTGGATACTAAGCATTACCCACCTTGGTTCACGGAGAATAACTACAACTGTGGCAAATCTTAGATGGAAAACAAAAGAATAACAAGAGGGGAAAATGTAGACAACGACTGGACACGAGACTGTATAAGAGACAAGCGTATCCGTTAATTTTGGGGTCAACGGCATATTTTAGATAAGGGACGATGCGTATCTGCAAAGTGGTATTGTCGTACATTCGCACGATGGCGCCGACTCTGACGACGACGACAATCATGTTCGACGCCATTCAACTGTCATCCATCTCAACGGATATCAGTACACCCGAGCGCGTCAGTCACGTGTGAGGATCGCTTACCGGCTGTAAAGGGAAGGTGCAATACGAGTTTGCCTCAGCAGCCTACATCAATTTCGTAGCCCATACATGCAGGGCTACTGTGATCACCCCTGCAGCAGCCGTAGACGTCTCTACACGGCTGGAAGCAGAGACAGACCGCCTCGCGACGACCAATCAAGGGATGACAGCTCAGCAAATCTGGGAGTCTGTGAGTCAACAATTTTATCGACGCGACGACGGGATGGTGATCAGGGGTCTCACACGGCTCCAAGTGATGGGGCGCGTACACCGAACACGCCGCATGCACTTCGGGGGTAATGTCCATGGTGTCATTGATGTCCCACCTCTTGCGCTAGTCGCAGGGACCGATTTGACGTTCTTCCAGTTCCAGCATATCTACCATGAGGCTGGCCAACTTCAACGTATTATTGGATGGGCACACCCGCGTCTGCTCGAGCTGCTCCGGTATCCTGGCATTCAGCTTTTTGTAGACGGCACATTTTGTTCGGTGCCTCGCTCATTTCACCAGTGTGTGGTTGTGATGTTGCGAGATGCCGCTAGTCGAGTCTTTATTCCGGTGGTCTACGTTCTGACAACGAACCGCACCATTCCGACGTACAACCGACTGTTCCGGTTCGTGGCGGATGCAGCCGGGCAACCGCTTCGACCAGCACAAGTTGTGGTCGACTTTGAACAAGCCCTGATTGATGCGGTTGGTGAGAACTTTCCGACGGCGCGCGTAATCGGCTGCTTCTTTCACTGGAAGCAGGCGATTCGCCGTCGGATGATTGCGCTGCACCTCCCAGCAGGCACGTGCTCCCAGCACCAGGTCCAATGGAACAACAAGACGTACGCGTAGATCGACTTGATCAGCTGCGGTGAATAAGTTGGCAAGCGTAGTCAGCTAGAATCCTTATCTTTTATATTTCTTTTTCGCCCTGCATAACGCTTTTACAATATATCTCTAATATTACATAACTTGTGTATCGAATTTCCGCATGCAATTATAAAGGTCATTATCCCCCTAAATTGGCTTGGTCCTGTTTTAGGTCCCTTACAGTTTCAGATTGGTCTCATTTTTGGGTCCTTTTCGAGCGGGTCTTGATTTTAAGTCGCAAGATCCAAAGCGGACCAGACCTGCCGGTGACCCGATTTGAATTCTTCCATTGCAGAAACGAACCCAGTCCCAACGTCGCATTGTCGCTTTCAAGGATTTGCGCACTCTATTCGTCTTATAACTCGTCTTCGCGGTGTCACAAATCGTTGTGCATTGCGGATAAATCGTTGCTCAAAGCACGAATTAGCTGTCATGGCCACAAGTTACGCAGCGATGATGAACTAGACATGAAACTTTGGCAACGTTTTACCGTAGGGAATGCATTGTTGGAATGCGGCACCACAAAGCTCACACGCACAAAATGCAACTTGTTCACTTGGAGGTCTTTTGGGGAATGACCTCAGCCAAACTCCTTCTCCCTCTCTCCTAGACATGCATGCGACCGTTAGTCTACACTACCTCAACTGCCTCGTCCCGTATCTGCTCCAGCAGCAGTTCCCTGCAACTTCAACAGCGGCAACTTGCAGTGTTTTCCAACAGTCCTCCCTTTGCCGTGACCTTGAAGCTTGCAGCTTCACGGCCGGCAAACCAAACTCAGCTAGCCTTGCTCCTTCCGCGTGCACATGCCAATCGTGGCAGACAAGCTCTCGAATCTAACCTTTGCCAGAGGCTTCGTGAAGAGGTCCGCGGGGTTGTCCTCTGATCGCACCTTCAGCATGTACAGCTCCTTCTTGCGCACTTGCTCGCGCACGTAGTGCCACTTCAATTCGATGTGGCGCGTGCGGCGCCCGAACGTGGGGTTCGTGGCCATCACATAGGACGACTGGTTGTCCACACCCAGCGTAATTTTACGCTTCATTTCAGGCAGCATCTCGTCCAAGATGTTCATCAAAGTCTTGCCTTCCATCGCTGCCTCGCAGGCTGCAATGTACTCGGCCTCTGCAGTCGATTGCGCCACGATAGTCTGGCGTCTCGATGCCCATGAGATCGCTCCACCCATCAATGTGAAGACGTATCCAGTGATACTTTTCCGTGTGTCAATATCATTTGCCCAGTCACTATCCGAATGTCCTTGCAAGTGCACTCCGATCTCACAAGTCTCACGGTCCCGGTAGGTAATCCCCTTTCCAACAGTGCCCAGTAGATAGCGCATTACGCGCTTCAGCGCGCCAATGTGCTGCTCGGTAGGATGATCCACAAAGCGACTAAGCTGACACACCGCAAACATCAGATCTGGCCGTGTACCAGTTACCAAATACATCAAACACCCCACTGCCTCGCGGTATGGCATCTTGCCGGGGGCATGATTGCAGGTCCCTTCATCTGTTTGTTCGCACTTTCTCAGCTTCGTAGTAGTCTCCATCGGGATGCCGCTCTTGTTAGACTGTCCCTCCACCAGGTCGAACCGTTCCAGGATCTCCCGAGCATACTGCTCCTGGTCCACCACCGTCTCCGTCTCCGTCTGACGGACTCGAATGCCCAAGTAGTTCGTCAACAGTCCCAAATCTTTGAGGCCGTAATCCTTATCCAAAGCTGCAAAGAACTCGCACTTGAACGCCTCCGAGTTTGTCGTAATGATCACGTCGTCCACGTAAATCAAAACGAACGCCATGGCATCGCCCTTGGCGTAGAAGTACAGACACGGCTCCGCGTGAAGCCATACTTCGTCATCCAGCTATCCAGCTCTTTATTCCACTCCCTGTCCGACTGCCTCATACCATACAACGCTTGATCCACCCGATACATAGTGCTGCCAAAACCAGGAATGTCTCTTATGTATTGCTTTATCTTCAGCTTTGCATTCAGGTATGCGTTGTTCACGTCTCCTTGCCAGATCTTTCACCCTACCTCTCGTGCCAGAGCCACCACCAATCTGAAACTCGACAGTCGTGCCACAGGTGAGAACGTGTCTTTGAAATCCAAGCCAGGCTTCTGCTTGAATCGCTTGGCTACAATCCGTGCTCGAAACCGCACGATGTATCCCTCTTCGTCCACCTTGGGGTCGAACACCCACTTCGTCTCAAGCAGGTTTGCACCCTCAGGCAGTTCATCAATCGGCGACAGCACGCTCTTCTCAATTAGCGCCCGCACCTGATCGTTCATCGCAGCGAACCACTCGTTGCACTGCGACGATCGCATCGCCTGCCGAACCGTCTTGGGGATCTTGACTTCACTCGCCTTCCATCTCCGCTGACCAATCGGTTCTGGATGCAGTTTCGAGTTCACGATGTAGTCTTCCAGGTACTTCGGTCGCTTGCGCTCACGAGGCTCGTATCGCTGCCGCTTGTCCTCCCTGCGACCAGCAATCGAGTCACGACCACGCTTCTCGCGCTGCTTCGGCTGCTCGCTGAACGACCGAATGCGATCTGCCAACGCACGCTTCTCACTGCCGGTCCCGGCACGTCAACTACAATTGACCGCTTGGTCAATGCGTGACGTTGAAGAGAGCTCGCTCGTAATGGAACGAGCGCGTCGAAGTTGAAGACCGCTGGCGCAGCAGCGGAGAATCTCTCTGCTGCTGAGTAGCATGCGCGGCAACGTGCGAAGCGCGTCGCTGCCGCGGGGGGCAGGTACCTATGTCTGCCCTCGAAGTGTCTTCGGGCGCTGCTGTTAACAGCAGCGCTCGCATTACGTTCCAGTGTGCAGCGCATGGTGGGCTTCGTACGCCCTCACCATGTCCGGGACGTCTTCGAGCAAGACGTTCCGCGGCTCCCATGTATCTTGGTTGGGACGGAATCCTCTCCAACGGATACGAAAGCGAACTGGTTGCCTGTTCGTTCTCGGGATACTGTGATCAACAATCCGCTCAACAATCCATCGAGTTGAGCCGTGTGCATCACGAATCGGCGGCGGTGGTGGCGGAAACACCCCCTGTGTGTGGTCAACTTGGTGTTGACCCTGATCTCGTGTCTCCCCACGACCAAGTCCCGGTCGTGGAGTAGTTCCAGAGTGCTGCGTTCGGCGCTCTGAAGTATTCGCAGTTTGCGGCGGCCTCCCAGACCGCCTCGATCGTTCCGACCGAGCTGGACCATTAGCCCGACCCGCTGCTCCAGCGCGAAGTCGCGCTGGAGAGGACGATCGCTTCCGCCGAGTCTTCTGCTTCGGTTCAGCCGAGCTAGGTAGCTCGTGCTGCAGGTATGGCGTCAGCCTTCCGACGTAGAACGTCGGATGGAGACGCATGCTAGACGGAATGTCTAGCGTGTAAGCATTGCCATGCCGTGCCAATACTGTGAATGGCCCGATGACGCGCGGAGCGAGCTTGCTCGCCCCGAAGTCGGAAACTGCATGTTTAGGCAGGTTTCGCGTAGCTAACAAAACCAATGAACCCTTCTTGAATACATTTGTGTTGCCCCTGCCAACATTGTCTGCGTTCAGCTTCTGTCGGTCGACAGAAGCTGCGATAGCGTCCTGGACAAACCGAATGACGGCTTATCTGCGCTGTACGAAGTGAATTGCGTCCGAGCTGAACTCGTTCAGCTCGCTTCCAGCAGTAGGCCCTGCCTCTGCGTTGGTCTTCGCGGTGTCTGTGCCCTGCACAGACCCGTTCTTCTTCTTCTTTTTGCTCTTGTCGGCGTCTGTGCCCTGCACAGACGCGTGCTTCTTCTCCTTATTGCGCGTAGTCGCGGCTGACACTATGCAAGTGTCAGCGGCATTCTGCGGCTGCTGTGTTGCAGTCGTAGATCCTCCCCCACTTAAGGAAGGAGCCACCATCCCGAGTAGACTCGGGAGGCGTGGGTGCATGATGGCATTCACGTAGAACGGTGTATGCCCGGTCGAGGCATGCACCGTGTTGTTGATGGCGAACTCCGCCATCGGCAGGCACTCGCTCCAGTGTTGGAACGACTGAGCGTAGCTCTTAAGCACGTCTACGAGTACGCGGTTCACGCGCTCGGTCTGCCCGTCCGTCTGCGGATGGTCCGCAGTCGACATTGAAAGCTGACTCCCAAGAAGTGTAAACACTTCTTGCCAAAGGTGCGCAGTGAAGCGCGGGTCTCGATCCGACACAATGTCGATCGGCATGCCATGGTGTTTAAACACCATGTCGACGAACAGACGTGCAGTCTGCTTCACTTCAGCGGGTACCGCAGCAAGATGTACCATCTTGCTGAAGCGGTCAACAAAGACCACAACGCCCGTGTTCCCCTGACTGTCCGGGGGAAGACCGAACACGAAGTCCAAAGACATGGACTGCCAACACTCCGACGGAGTCGGCAGTGACAGCAAGGGAGCCTGCGCGAAAGGCGCAGGCTTCACACGTTGACAAACCTCGCAAGCACGGACGTACTTGCGCACCCATTTATACTGGTGGGCCCAGTAGAAGTCCCGCGTGAGAAGAAGGTATGTCTTCTCACGGCCCGGATGCCCCGCAGTGATACTCATACATCATCCTGAGTCGCAGGTCATGGTCATTGGGCACGACAACGCGGTCCGTGTTGTCGTCGACTGCACGGTAGAGTAATAACCCGTCGTTCACCCGGTAACGGTGTGCACGAGCACGAAGATGCTTCGGCAGCTTCTGACGAGCTTTGTCAGGAGGAGCCGAGCCATAGGCCAGCAAGAGCTTCGCGTCCGCGTCGTGCGCGTACGCGACCTTCACGTCGTCCAACAGTGACGACGTTGGGGTGCTCGATCGCACGGCGTCAATGGCATTGACGTCGGCATCGGTCGTGGCGTTGTCAGGTCGACGCGAGAGCGCGTCGGCCACCACATTGAGTCTTCCGGGTTTGTACTCAACCCGGAAGTTATACTCTGCGAAGAATGAGAGCCATCTCGCCATCCGTTGCGAGATGTGCGGCGACTTC